AGTCCAGCTGACGGAACAGCTCCTGCAGATAGGTACTCTCAAAGGTAGTAAAGGGGAGATTAGAATCAACGATATAACCAACAGAGAGCTCTCTAATCCGTGCCATCTTTGCTCGAGGAAGAAGGAAGGAAGAAGAGGCGGGCCGTTTCTTGGATGCATTTCTCTGGAGATCGATAACTGAAGAGTCACCAGATGAACCCGCTTCAAAGGTCTCGGTGATCCCATGAGCTCTAAGAACCGTTAGTAATAGCCCGGAAATGAGAAGTATCACGAACTTGAAAAGATGAGCTGATGCCGATGATGTCGACTGGGCATTGAAAAATCGAGGCGCACCCTTATTATCGCAGAGCCGGCAACACCAGATATCTCCACTGGATGTATTGTCTTTCCTCAGCTCTGCAAGGAACCAGCCATGGTTTCCGATCCAGCTTCGCCTGCCCCTACTTTTCCTCTTATCTAAGAGGCTTGCAATAACAAAACGTCGTTGGCCCCAAATGATCTTGTAAAGGTCATCAACGGACGAATCGGCAGTCGAGGCCAAAGTTAAAGCGGCATCATACTGCTTAGCGATGGCCTTAGACCGGGATCCGAGACGAGGAAATGCGGGTGGTGGCGGCGATGACGACGGGCTACCAGCAAGGCTGCCTTTTATAGCGGTCCCCGACATTGTATGTTGCAATCAGCAGGGGCTTCAACAGATTGAAACCCATCAGCCAAGATATGCTTCCAAACATTGAAGGATGTGTCGGCTTCTCTGGCTAGGGCTGTGTCGTACCGGGGCAAGAGGTAGGAAAAAGGGGCAACCTAACCAATTAATCTGCCTGTAGATTGCTCTCCAACCGAGCCCTGAGCGGGCTGGGGTTCAAACCCAGCCAATCGGCTTGACTCCGCCCTGTAGCATCACTGCTTGTTAGGGAAGTGCCCCACTCTGAGGACCGGAAAATATGGATGATCCGGCAGTTCTAGGGTAGTCATCTTCCTTTATAAGGATATCAGATATATCAGATGCACAGATGCTTGTGTCTGAATTGATTGATCTGTTAGGATACCGTATTTGATCTGAATTGATTGAATTGATTGATATATCTGATTGTTAATCTGATCTGACGGCAGCCCTGACAGAATGACAGACTCAGATAAGATGTCTCCATATACACGAATATCAGTCACAGAAGCTCATGAAACAAGTAAGTCGAGGCTCCAACTATGAAATTTCAATGCGGAGAGCTTACGAAGTTTTATTTAGAAAGGAATACCCATTCCAATGGGTCAGCTCGTTAGATCAAAGCGAGCTGGACAAGTTATGATGCAACGTGTAGGTCAAAGAGACTACCGGACAGAAAGACCACAGGGATCTGACAATCCCGCTCTATATGGAAAAGGCTGTGGAACATGAAGAGAAGTGGCGTCTCACTATGGCTGTTGATCGAGAGAGATATCGACCGATAATCAAGATTCGAGATACCAAGGACCCCCAGGGCCTTCCCAATGCTCTATACGAGCGTGCGTTTCAGGAAGTGTTCGAGTTCAGCCTGAGTACCGGTATCACTGAGGAGTTACTTACAGACATAGCGCAGAGTTTTCACCTGGGCAAGGGCTCAAGGGATAGCTTGAGAGAAGTCATCCGACGCCTTTTCAGTATCTTTCAGGAGAAGGACGCGCTCAGTCTGGAAACAGATCTTTTGTTTCTTAAAGATGGAAAGTTTATGTGCAACAACTCGGATTTCTTCTTTGACGACGCAGCTCGGGAGCGGCAGCGAAAGCTCTTTTTCTTGAGGGATAAGAAACAGGAGATCCCAGAAGAATTGCGAGCGGAAAAGCATGGGTTGGTGTATGTTCATATGGATGGAAATATTGGGAACGTGGTTAATGGTGCGGGACTTGCGATGGCTACGAATGATGCGATTAGTCTGTATGGTGGTTCGAGTGCGAACTTTCTTGATGCTGGGGGTCAAGCGACCAAGGAGACGATGCTGCAGGCTTTCAAGATCATCATGTCTGATAAGCGAGTCAAGGCGATTCTAGTCAACATCTACGGCGGTAAGTTTGTTCCCTAAGGTATTGAGTATGAACTGACAGTAGTAGGAATCACAAGATGCGATATGATCGCAGAGTCCATCATAGCAGCAGCAAGCGAGCTTGGTCCCTTGAAAGTTCCCATGGTAGTCAGATTACAGGGAACAAACTCAGAGGCTGGACTCAAGCTGGTGAGTACTTCACGTGCATGTTGTGGATAGTTGCTGAAACAGTTCTAGCTCAAAGATGCCACCTTGAATATCCACGTTGAGGCAGACTTTGGGAAAGCCGCTCAGGAGGCAGTCAGGTTGGCAGACATAGGCGCGAAAGCTGAAAGCTGAAGGTAAAGCGACAGAGTGTTGGTGAGCTGCCCGAATAGCTTGAAGAGGACAGCGAAGCGAGATAGGTATGTTCTTAGGGGTTTGGATCAAACTGGGCTGCTTCTAAGTTCTCTGTGGTGATAAAAGCTCTCAGCCACAAGTCTCAATTGCAAATAACACATCTGAGCTGCTGCTTCAACTGGATCCTTGACATCAACGCAATTGCATGTTCTATGATTGCCAATTGGGATCTAGGGTCTATGACTATGGCTATTACTTTTATGCAGGGGGAATACTTTCTACTATTTATTACTGCTGTACATGTGAAAGACACCTCATCCGAATGGAGAAACCACCGGCATAGCATGATAACTCACGCAGACGCGCGGAATTGCGACTGTCCATTACCAACCAATAAGACCATATCTAACTAGACACTGAGTGCCGTGAACCCCTGTTCATCCTCGCCATTGACTCGATATAATAGGCCAGAATCAAGCGGGTGAATCCTTCAGGACCAGAAAGAGTATAGCATCAAATCTCCCCCGGGATATAAAACACACGTAAGCACCAGCCCACCACAAACATCAATTCTTTTCGTTTCTCGTATGAATACGTAGACTTCAACGAGACTTCAGTGAAGTGTCAATTGTCGTGCCGCGAAAATGGCCGCCCTCAAAAGCCGTCTTGGCTTCACTAACACGACGTCCTTCGTCCTGTTCTGCATCTTCGGCGGCATCCTCTTTCTCTTCTCAACTCTTCAGTTTCGCCTGATGGACATCGATGGTTTCTTCTGCAAAGAGGGAGATCCGTCGTCTGTACCGGGAGAATGTTATGTATTTCAGAAGCCAGGCCTTATGCGCTCTGGCATGCTGTTACATCTGGCGACGTTCCTACCCGCAGGAGCTCTTGTGTGTTTCCAGTTCATACCGGCTCTTCGGAGACCGAAGTTTATCAAGTTCCATCGCGTGAATGGATATGTGGTCCTGGTCCTCTCAGCATTGGGAACGGTTGCCGCATTGATTATCGAGAGTAAGGCTATGGGTGGGATATTCTCGAATAGGATTGGGACATGGACTCTTGCAACGCTGGTTACTACTGCAACGGTCAAGGGTTATGTCAGTATCAAGAACAAAGAGATTGAGAAGCATCGTGCTTGGATGCTGAGAGCCTGGTTCTGGGTGAGCCTTCCGCCAGCTAAAGACTGAAAAGCTACTGACGTGTAAAGGCAACATCAATAATTACAATGAGAGTGATCCTCATCTCTCTGGCTCATATTATAGGCCAACCTTCCAGATCGATGACTACGAGTTTGCCATGCGCAGTTATTGAGTACCTACACGAAAGCTTCCCCGGAACGAGGCAGAACCCATATCCAAGTTGTGCAGCTTATGTTTCGGGCGAGAACTTGTTGCAGGAAGCACTTGTGAGGACGAACTGGGATTTGAATGATTTGCCTGGTATAACGGCTGCTTTAAGAGTTGGATATGCTGTCGGTGGTTGGCTAGGTTTTCTTACTAATGCAATTGGAATAGAAATCTATGTGAGTTCTTCTCCCAATGAAGGGGTTCTTGGAGTACCATTATTAACAGCGGGGATAGATATGGAAGACTGCACCTGCCCGAAAACTGAAAGTTTGATAAAAGATCCGAGATATAGGTATATATAGTAACTAGAAAGGATCCGTATGCGACTAAAGAAATATCACAAAGTATAATTCAAGAGCAAGGTTCGGAAACATAGAACCGTCTCATTATAATGCGCCGTATCTAACCCGTCCATGTCTAGGCCTCTATACCCCTCTGTAGATTTCTAATTCCTAATTTGAGCAGCAGTTTTCGTAGGTGTACCGTATATTATTTCGTCTCCATTACTCCGTGGCTCCAGTCTCACAACCTCCCTGGTTGGTTCCCAATGCACAGTTCCATATCGGTACAACTCTCCAAACGTCCCAGGACGGTATGTGATATCGTGATTCTCCTTCTTCTTGACAAGATCGCCCAAAGCTGGACGATCGCCCATTGAGTTGTGATACATCTTGTACATGTGACTCTTCTCGAGCATTTCCACCATGAAGGCTTCAGCTTCACTTCTCTTGTCGAGATCAGGCTCGTCAAGTCGTGTGAGGAAATAGTCGGCTTGCTTCTGACCGTCTAGGTTTGTCTTGAGAGCACCGAGAATACCGTTTTCTATGCCTTCCACCATGAAGACTTTGTTCTCCCAGAACTCACGGCCGTTGAAGCCGGTGGTAACATCGACAAGGTTGCGAGTACGGTCACCGATGACCATCTGTGAGACATAGTCGGTCATGAAGTAAATCTGATTCTCATCCTCAGGATTTGCAAGACCTTCAGCGAGACCGATCTCAGCAATGAGAGGATGCTTGTGGAAACCGTCGACATTTGTTCTGCCCTTCCAGAGCTCTTTGTACCCTTCGTGCCAGTTCTTGATAAACTCGCAGTTCTTGCGAGCAGCGAACATGAAATTCCCAAAGTCGCCCCATTTGGCTCTGATTTGCCCTGTGATGATCCATGCCGCCATTTCATAAGGCGTATCAGGCGATGCAATGTGATCCCAGAACAGCGTATCAAGATGGATATGGAGCATATTGCTAACGTCCATCCAAACTCCGCCATGTTCGTAAATAAGAGGCAGGCGAGCAAGATCAGCAGCATGTTGAGGGGCGTGTTTTCCATCCATGGTTTTATTGACAAAGGCTTCCGGAAACCACTCTTTGCCAACAAACTTGAAAATGTTGTTAGGCGAGCCTTCGACGAAGTCTACTAGACGGACGGTCCATGAAGGACCGAGGCGTCTGACCCAGTTGATCACTGTCCGTTGATGGCTGGGGTACATTGCGTAGAAGCCTTTGTCCCAGACTGCCCAGACATTCTTCTCCGAGGTGATGGGTTGGTATGTTTGGAGTTGAGCGATGATGTCAGAGTCGGGGCGGAGATCTAGTAGTGAAGGCTCGATTTCGCGCAGGCCTGTAGCGCACTTGGGGATTGTGAATTTGCCCATTGTTGTAAATGTAGAAGTTGGTAGGAGAGTTGATGGTAGGCTCATGTGTGAGGTCTTGAGAGAATGGAGGTGAATGGTGATGGACTTGAAGAGAATGGCGAGTTTGATGCAGTTATTATAATACTGAAGTGGGTGAATCGAGATGAGTCGACTTCTTTTTCGAGGATAGTCTCATTATCTATGACTCTCGAGCTGCAGTTGAGTGATTCTAAAGGAGAAATCTAATAGGCTGATTGATCTCCGATTGACCTTGGCGAGATCTGAACTAACCGGAAATGGATCATTTCACGATGAATCATCCATTGACACTTTTGATTGGACATCAGTGATCGCACAAGCCACAACTGTGCTTATTTTCGTACTCGCATCTATTCCCCTGCAGGTGATAATTATTGAGAAACCATTCAACATTTTCCGGTTCAATGGGGCGCCTTTTCCTTGCCATCTAACTTGCAATTTCACCACCGAGGATCTATACTCTGCTAAGAGAGCTTGAACTTCAGGTACGCACTTCATCACGACTTAGCACCCATCTTGAACTCCCCTACAGGGCCGACAACATAGCAATTGCGGCTGAAGCTAGAACTAGGCTACCTAGAATCCCACCTGGAAAACAATGAGCCGCAGCAGAAACTTTCCCTGTACCAAAACCCGGAGCTTGACAGTTGCCGGTTACAGAGGGAACAGCATCGCTTCCTGCTCCGATGGCCACGATCTCCGAAGTACAGTTGGCAGCCTGAGCAATATGCACATTCTTGTTATCAAAGTCGAATACAACTAGAGGCCATTGTTAAACTTCTTCTCCGATATTATCTGCAAGAACTCACCATAAGCAGCTCTCAAGAAGCTATCCCCAAGGATCTGCTGTTTACCCTCCTCAACAGGCTCAACTCCAACTGCGCAGAGCCCTTGAGCTGTGTATATGAGCTCCCGAAGCGGAACAGTGATGGTTGTATTTTCTCCCAAGTTAAGAACGAGCCCCCCTGCATGATCTCGGAGTTTGCAGTCGACCATGTAGAACTCTAGCTCCCTATCAAGCTCGGCACCAACATCTCGGAAGATTTGCTCGGCGAGTTCTTTGTTGAGTTTGGAGAAGGTGTGGCCGCTATCTAAGTGGAAGTTGGTGTCTTTCAGAGGATAGGCCTTGGTGCTACCGTTACCTGCGTCGGCACCAATGGAGGAGATGTTGATTGTGAGCCTTCAAACGTCAGTTCATTATACAGTGAATAGGGCTGTGATATAATCACCTCGAACCGCCGTCTCGACTCTTCACGATTGGAGTCTTGTACAAGTTTCCAAAAAACCTGCCTTTGTCAAGACCACCAAAGATCAGAGAGCCTGCACGTGCAAGTGTCAGCAAATGGATACAAACCTTGCTGGCGGCATAGTGTACAGACCTTGCTTGTCATCGGCGGTACCAAGTGCGAGACTATAGACTCTGCTAGTGATAGCTCCTTGGATCGCCATAGAGTCTAAAAGAAGAGGATGTGATTCGTTGACAGCGAATGAACCGTTGAAACCTGGACCAAGACCCATGATACCAATCGGCAAACCTCGGCTATTGGAAGCGACGCCGAACATCTGGTTCCTAACCTTGATGTCTATGCAGGAGAAGTCAGTGCCATTCCCTATTTGGCTTGTCTTGACTTACCTCCGATAGTCACTGTATCTTGATAAATGTCCACCAAAGCACCATTAAGCTCATCGCCAGACCCATATCCCAACAGCTTCGAGCCAAGGGGGCCCTTACTAGAGTTCGATAGCCTATGGTCAAACCGGGGGACTTCCTCACATAACTCTTGCTGACCGAATTCAGCCGGGGCCGAGGAACAGTTTGCGTTGACCCAGAGGTCGCTTGAACCAGTATCGACTTGGACTAATGTCTTTTGTGGTGGGTTTCCAATAGCGACTAATTTCGGTTAATACATATAATAACGGCAGCAGGTTCGGGCTGGGCCTACTCTCGACTGTGTAGAGCCATTTCTCGTTGTTGATGAAGACTTCACCGAAGGAGCTGACTGATCGCGGAATGTGCCTTATGGGATACTCGATATGTCCATGACCAGATGCTTCAAAGGTCGCCGAGCATGGCAAGATAAGAATGGGAAACGCACCCAATGGGAGTGCAGCAAGGAATACAGATCGCATCTCGACGGTTTGTGATGAGTTAGACATGTAGGAATCATAAAAAGAACAGCACAGAGGGAACTCCAGGTATTTTATATGTCAAACTCAGTGCTGGGCGCAGGTGGCCAACGCGGCGTAGACTCATAGGATCCTGTGATGAACAGAACTAACGATGAAACAAATCCTTCGATCAATCCTTCTGCAACTGAATAGAAAGATCGTCGTTTCTTGCAGTGCTAAGGTCAATATTCGAGGTTTGGTTGGTGTCGTTAAGCTCTGGCGTAATCCCCATCCTAAAATCATGCTATGCTCTGGTTGGTCAGTTCGTTTGGGCACAATGCGAGATGGAGGCTTAGAACAATATAGCCCTGTAGTCTGTGCGCATTCATACGATGAATTTTAGCTTTATTCATGCGTCTACTCAGCCATCTCCCTTACCTCCTCCCAATATCCCTTGTCAAAACCATACACCATCTTCACCTTCTTATTTTCAGGCCCCAACAAATGCACACGAATGGTCCTTACTCTCGCCTCCTCAGGTATATCACCACTACACTTAACCTCCCTTCCACTCCTGGCCTCTTCAAGTTCCATCACTCTTGCCCCTACTCTGGCTGACTGAGATCCATTGAATACCCCTTCTTGTACACGCTCTGCTAGCATGACTGCAATGGCTCTTCTTCGAACGGATGGATCACGGCATCGTGCGATGACTGAAACTAAGACTGATGTATACCCGAGATCGACGTGGAAATATGCCTCTGAGGGAGAATCGTTGGCCCAGTTTCTTTGAGTGTAGTTCTTGTCAAGTCCGGCTGCTGTGGCGGCGTAGTTGACAATCTCGTCAAACTCAGCGGTGAAACGATCCCAAAAGCATGGGTCGCCTTGGCCGTGTAGGTACTTCGCGACGTTGATTTCTAGGTACTTTCGATGAAGCTGCAGCAGGGCGATTGCCCGTTTGTCACCGGCACTGAACGATTTGCCACTATTCCCAAGCTCAGTCAAGAGATTATCAAATGACTGGCCCCACTGCTCGACCTTTGAAGCATGTGAGATTGTTTCGTAGATTGGCTTTCCCTTCAAACCAGGGCTGGCCTGTTCAACAAGAAGCTCCAGTATGGCTTCTCTTGCATCAGAAAGGGATGAAAATGAAGTTTCAGGAGGCGGAAGTGTATTCCCGAAAGTTTCGTAGTATGAGGACCAAAGGCCGGCATCAACGTCACCCATGAGCTGTGGAGAAGTTAGTGAAAATTGTAAAAGCTACGCAAGTACATATGGTGAAGACATACCATAAGAAGTTGGACCGCAATACGCCTGAAGCAGGCATCAGCAAGATTGAAGGTCGCTTCGACGTCAGACTTGGTATGAGAACCGTGGCCTCTGTTGGTCGAGAAAGTCTGTCTGAACTGCTGGATCATCCGGCAGCCGTATCTGAAGAGACTAATAGCCGAGTCCGTCTTGCCATGAAGAAGCTTGACATAGGTTAGCATAAACCAAGAAGTATGAGGGAAACAAGTTACCTCAATGCAGATGAAAATCAAACATGACAGGACAAGGATATGGCCCTGTGACGAAGTATCAGGTGATGGGTTAAGAAGCTCCCTTATGGCAAGGTTGTAATGCTTCAGTGCAGATACAGACTCAAGACTTCGCCACTGTTCATGAGTAAGATAGAGCTGATGGTAATAAGCCAAGGCAACGACAGCATGTCTTATGCAATCTGTTGACTGAGCTACTTGAAGAACCCTTCTATTCCATAAGTCATCTTCAAAGAAGGTCTGGAAGTTGACTAGGGTCTTCTCGACGAAGAACTGGAATGATTGCGCCTCGGGTTGAGTGGTATATGTGGAGATGACGGAGGTTGGGGAGGAAACGGTTGATGGTGAAGATGCAGCCGGGGGGCTAGCTGTGCTGGTTTGATAACCGTCGCATTTCCGGCCAGTAGATGTACCTGCAGTTAGCCAGTCAGTCATTGATCCATGTGTCGAGCTATGTAAAGGATATACATCTTGTACAGGCTGGACGAGCTTCGTCACATTTAACTCTGCGGACTACTCCAGTTAGGACTACAGTTCACGCCAATGGAAAGTAGAAGACATGACGTACTCCTGCAGTTCGTAATGGTTAGTCACCTCGTTTACAAGCCCTGATAATGCACTCACTTGCAAGTGCCGCATCCGGTTTTCACTTTGGCAGTTCTAGCCCTCTGGCGTTGCCCAGGCTTCACTCTTGTCATATCAGATCAAGATGCCCATACGAGGTTTTGTGTAGGGATGCAAGAATTTGCAGATGAGAGGATGAATGAGTTGGATAAGCGGCCCTGTCGTTTAGATGTCATTCCGATCCCTACTGGAAGGATCGCGCACTAGGCCTAATGTAATAGTGTGGAGATGGCCCAAACGAACCGGCGAATCAATGCTCAAGGTAAAGTGGCTCGTGAATGTCCTCGGGTCAACTTTTGAACGAAACACAGAGAGCTTACGTGGGTATGGCCAATGTCGAGAGAAGAGAAGCAAGAACCAACCCTCAGAGCCTGGTGTCGAGTGCATTTTGGCGTTACCGTTCTAGTTGTGCTTGTTTATCAACAGACCAATCGCAACAGTAGTGTGTCTCATATGATGTTGGCGTTTGCAAGTTGGCTAGTCCAGTTTCATTACTCGAGGAACGGGAGGCGGCGATTGGAGAGATTCTAGAGCAAGAGAGCAGAAGCAACGAACGACGTGGCAAATGACATATTTTTTATGCAGAGACGAATTGGCACATAGTTATTTGCATATCCGTCGGATGTCTCAGATCCGTCGGAGATCGATGTAACAACGGATGCGTCGGGGTAACCACGCAGCCACTCAAAATGATCTCCCAACCCAGAAAACAGCACCCTTCTCTCTCCAAGCTACCACTTCCACCAACAGAATCTGAGTAATGTCTGACATAAGAAAGGTCTCGACACCTATCATCAGCTCCAGCCTCGTTGTTGGTGGTTGCGGTTTTCTCGGGTACCATCTCGTACGACAACTTCTCCAAGATGACGAAAGCGGCGAGGTCTACGTGCTGGACCGGGATGTATCCAGAAACCGGCACGACAACGCCTCGTATTTCAAGGGGGATATCTCTGATGGTGAATTTGTGCGAGGAGTAGTGAATGACATTCGACCTAGTGTCATTTTTCACTGTGCTTCTCCGATCGCAGCATTGCCCATGAGCAGAGAGCGCGAATTTTACGAGACAAATGTCAAGGGCACTGAGGCCCTGCTTACGGTTGCGTCTGAATGCGATGCTGTTCAGGCCTTTGTCTTCACCTCTAGTGTTGACGCGTACGCCAATCCGCCTCATACAAATGCTGATGAGACATATCCTCTTTGGTCACCCAACGACAAGTCGAATGAGTACAATCGGACAAAAGCAATTGGCGATCATCTAGTTCGGGGAGCCAATGGCCCAAGACTACGTACGGTCACTCTACGACCCGGTCACGCTTATGGAGAAAGACATGTCCAAGGCATGGTTGAGGTTCTCGATATGTGCAAGAACAAGAAGCTCGTGCAGATCGGAGATGGAAAGAATCTCATGGAAGTCGTATCTGGGGAGAACAATGCGATAGCACATGTTCTCGCTGCAAAAGCTCTCCTGGACCCAAGTCGTGCATCCGGCAAAGTTGATGGAGAAGCTTTCAATGTCTCCGATGGAGCTCCAGTACCGTTCTGGCATCACACGGGAGTTATCTGGAAAACAGCCAGAGGTGAAGATGTCTTCAAGGACGTGATTGTGCTGCCTGCCTGGGTGATGATAGTAGCAGTCTTCTTAGCGGAGTGGACATTCTGGATACTCACTCTTAACACGGCTAAGCCGCCTGTTGAGCTACGAAGAGTCTCACTAGAGTATTGCGTCTACACGCATACTCACAGCATCGAAAAGGCTAGGAAGAGATTGAGCTTCAATCCTGTTTCCGATCACGATGCGGTTGTGGCGCAGTCGGCGAGATGGATGTTGAAATATCGAGAGAGCATGAAGCAGAAGTCTAGTTAATTACAAGCTATTGCCTTGGAATCCAGACTCATGGAGATGCGCTTACAGCTCTCGCCATCTGACCATGGTGTGAAGGACGGATACTAGGAAGCCTATCTGTTAAACTTACCGCCCCGTTAGGGACAGAATACGCAACCAAACTCTATTCACCTCCTTGTACTGGAATATCAACGGACAGTCCTACTAAGCAGACGCAAACTCCCAGGACCGTGCTCACCACGATAACCACTTGTGGTTGAAAAGGGAACTGGTGTTCGTGTAATAATCCATGGACCTGGACATTGCTTGGGCACAGAAGCCTTACGTGGCCAGCCAAGGCTTGTCCAATCTTTCACAGTGTCCATACAAGGTCACGATAGTAACTACCGAAGAGAATTGAAGTACTCACCGACACGGCCTTGTAACGGTTCGTTGTTGCACCTCGGTCCGAATGAACAGTTGAAACTTGACCGGTAGTGTATCACAATTCATAAACGTTCCACCAGACTCTGGCCGTAGAATATTCTTGGAACTCTTATGATAATTAGTGGCTGGTGGATTGGTGCTACAGGATTACTGCGGCTCTGCGAATACCCAGTATCACATTGAAGAGGTCAACTGCTTCATCACGTGGAGGACCTGTGAGAAGTACAAATATCATCACACTCCCGTCCTTCATCTTCAGTCAGTCTCATCAATGCATAAAAAAGTTTCATTAACAAGATTATCAACACTATTTCAGCTTCACAACTCTACTACTTTTCAAAATGTCTTCCCTTCCAAAGCACTTCATCATCGTCGTCAACGGCCAACACGTAACCAAGCCAGAGAATGACCGCGATGAAATCCGCCCCGCTCAAGTTGGAGAGAAACCAGCTACCTTTGAGCTTAATGAAAACCGCCTCATAAGCGGTGACTGGGCCATGGGCTGCAGCAAGCTTGAAGGCCAGGTCCCTGGTACCAGAACGCCTTCCTTGGCTGTTTTCTGGTTCAGAAGGGGCCAGGCAGAGGAGCTCTACCCTGTCTATCTCAAGGAAGGGGATAATGGGCCTCAGCTCAGGTTTGCATGTTGGTGATAGTGTGCTCTAGGTTGATTGACATTTCTAACATGGGTGTATAGGTAACCCTGTTGACGAGGAAGGCCGCCCCTTGACTGTCCTTAACAAGCAACTTCTCTGCTATACCTCAGATAGTACGTCTTCTTGAACCCAGGAATAACCGTTGCTAATCACTCTTACCTAGATTCTGAACCAGGTGCGACTGTCGAGATCGTGCCCAGTGAGGATTAAAGTGTTAAACTCTTCAGACGAGGGTTATAGGGCAGATGTTAAGCCCTGCCAGAGATTTATATCATATTATAAGAATTTGAAAAGATTTATTCACGTAACCTATCTCAAACTTTGCTTAAAATTGCTCGATTGAACCAGAATGATCATAAGGATTCATAGTTTGCTCTCCTTAAAATTCTGAATTCTATCACGAAGAAGATCGTGAGAGCATGGTTGATACGAGTTGATCAAGCAGTAGGATCGTCATTAGAACACACGCACGAGGGAGTTCTAAAATCTATGTTAGTCACCAATGCTTCCTCATCTATGGGGGAAAACAAACCCATTGCTGCAATAGCCACCCTTGTAATTCATTGTCTGGCAAGTTTGCCGGCAAGGATCCCCTGCAGGACAATCTGCAACGCACAAAAAGCCCTTGGGCCTAACAGTGGAGTTAGTAACAGAGGTATCTCAAAGTCGAACCTACACTTACTGAGAGTAGAGACAAGCCCTCTTCCCGTTGACCAAGTTCTGACATTCGGGCACCGCATTGTCTGTTAGGTTGCAGTTGGTGGTATCACCGATAAAGGGAACATGTGTCTGTATACTTGGTACAGTCACCAGCGTACTTGAGCCATTGGGGGCTGGAATTGTCACCAGGATTGAGGTAGTGTTTACAGTGGATGTCGGAACTTCTGGCTTGGGAGATAGTGTCGTCAAGAAAGTCGAAGGTGAAGGCGTACCAGAGATGATGGCGGTAGTATTAGAAGCGCCTGGTGTAGAGGTTGGTGCAGGCTCAGCAGAAGAGTTGACTTGGCCATACTGTGGGATGAGTTGCAAAAGCTGTTCATTACTCATGCCAGACAAATCCCTACAAACTGCATTTCCTTCTGAACCATACGTCGCTGTTGTAGTTGGTGCGCTGCATGACTCTGACTCAGTAGAGGTTGAGGTCGGGGTTGGAGTGGACGTAGGCTCTTTCGACTTGTCATCCGGGTCTGTTGGCTTCTGTTCGTCCTCAGGTTTGGCCGTTACGACAGCACCGGCAGCAACGGGGATCAAGGCTCCACCAACAGAGATGAATCCGCCTCCCGGTCCGCCAACAACAACTGCGCCAACAGACACTACCACTGTGGCACCACCGCTGACGGTCGTAGTTGGTGCTGCCGATGACGTGGTCGCGGTCTCGATGAACGAAGTGGTAATAGGGCTACCTGATGTAAGCGGCTCTGTAGAAACCCCGCCTGGTGTAGTAACGTTGCTGGTAGGAGTCACAGGAACCTCGGAGGACAATGGTTCCGTGCTAGTCTTTGGAAAGGTAATGAAGCTAGCAGAAGTGTTCTGGAAAGGAGCAGGCGGCACAGATTATGGTAGTGGCTGTGCTTGACGCTTGAAGAAGTTTAAGAAGGGTGCTTCTTCGCGCTTCTGGGGCAGGTTGCATGACGAAGACGGAGATCCTGCAGTATCAGGGAAAGCCAATACATCGAGTGCGTATATAGCGTAGTTTTGGGCGTTCTTTAACTTTTGGGCATCGGAAAGCCGGAAGCAACTAAACTATATCAACAACAGGCTTTAGAACCTCCATTTCAGACTCACCAGCTAGCCGAATAACAGTCCTTGTTATCCTCAAACGGGTCCTGCAAGTCGTCGCATCGTTCCTCTTCTGACTCGGTTGCCTGGATCATATGCTGAACTTCATGCACGAGTGCAAAGCCGCGCGACAGATTGTCGCCCAGGGTATGCTCCGTCTTCCACAATTGAACAGCACTATCGAGGTTAGGCTTGTTTCCGAAGAAGTCGGGGCAAAGAACGAGAAGCGTCGCCCCGAATACTGCCGCTCTAGAACCGGTTGCACTCTGAACAGCTGCCACCGTATTGCCATCGCATACTGGCTCGGAAGGGGGAGGACAGGCGTAGACCAGAGAAGACTCGGTGATGGTAGAGCCTTGCTGGGGATTCAGGAACGGGCTGTGCGAGAGTCGAAATTGGGCGGCGGCAGTGGACGGGACCAGATTCTCCAAAACGGCTTGAAAATGTCTTTTGAGAATGATATCTCTTCTATCAGGAGTCCCGTTGCCTTCGAACTGTAGTTAGAATAGTTATCATGTTGTGCAGGAGGGACATACTTGAGCCAAACCAAGACTCGAAGGCGATCGACTGTTCGGAGCTAGGCTTCGAAAGGACATTGATAGCTGCCTTGGAAAGATCATGTGCCTCGTCTATGGCCCCAGAAATTGTTTTCAGCTGATCTTGGGAACATGGCCAAGCTCCGTTGAAAACGTAGAATGCCGTGTCGAACGGTTTGCGAGGGGTCAATATGGCTTGTCCCAGACAAGCCCATAAAACGAAAGGAAGAAAGTAGAGTGCAATCATCTTGACTGATACAACGAGCGTGATAGAGACGAAAAGAACGAAGGAAAAGACTGTGGTTTGTAACAACTTGAGGCATGGCATAAACGTCAGATCCTTCTAGATCGCGCTACTGTTATACCAACTCATAATTGTTATGAAAGTTAATTAAGATTATAGATCCATCTTTACGAACGACGATCTCTAGTAAAGTTCCTTGGAAGGGTTTCAAATACCCCAAAATTCTCACCTGAAACAAGAAATGGTTTTCAGTAAACCTTATTTCGCAGATATACCTGCCGATTCGGATATATCCGTCCACAGCTCGACCTTATTTATGAGTAGAGGCGTCTGTGCTTCTAAAGGTCCAGAAAATAGCATTATCTGTTAAGTACCGTTGTCTCAAGTGTATGGAGTATTGAACGAGAGTGCGTCATGACGGCGCGTCATGGGACGACTCCGGGGACTTTTGAAGCTTTTCGGATAGACTAAACGGGATATTGACAAGATCCGAGCACGCTTTGCAAGGCGGGAAGCTTATAATAGATGATTGGATCCCAAAGTTCTGATTTATTCGTGTCAAAAGCTTAGGCATATCGACCGAGCGTCCATCAACCTCGAGATGAGCCTGGGTTTAACTAGAATTGGCTCAAGCTCATAAGTGATCGAAAACCAGGTGATATCGATGTTTATCGTCTAGATGTTTATCTCAGATAATGGCTCTGCCATGAGCATAAGCCTTAGAATCAGATACACCTCTTAAACATATTTGTCATTGCCTTTGCTCTTGCCCTAACTTTGGCTTTTCATATATGCAAATTTAAAGTTTCTATAAGTAATGGTCGGCAAATGATACTCACTGGTATAAATGACGTGAATATTTACGGAACGAAAGTGCATCTACTCTACTATCTAAGGAATAGTCTAGAAACCTGCTCTGAGAGTTCTGTTTCGAAGATGACTATGCGTTCTTCCGCGCCTCACCACTCAACTCTGCTTCTCTTCCTTTGACTCCCTTAAATGAATCACTATCCACAAACTCAACAATCTTGCAAATCTTATCACCATCTTCGTTAAAGTGCAAGAACCATGAGAAATCCAACTTCAACTCCTCCCCATTATTGAACACCAACTCTGCAACAGTCGTAACAGCTGCCTTCCGGGCATCAACATCAATAATCAAGTCTGAGATGGTGTTTTTATGCATGCCGCCAACTTTCAGACCGTCAGCGAAGACGTGAAGGTATGCGTCGTTTGTCATGGTGAAACCGCCGCCTAGGGTGGAGGGAAGCATCGAACGTGCGCAGTCGGATGTGACGTTTCGGTTGACAAGAGAGGGATTGTTCTGCGTACGAGCGTCGATAAAAGATGCTAGATAGCTTTTTACAGTAGCCTCGATGGCTGATTTGATGTCCTTGGTCTGTGGAGAGGCCATGATTGCGGTTATCTGATGCGATGATGTCAAGTTCAGAAGTGTTACTGGAGCTTACCCAGACATAGGGCTCAGAGGCATGCTTATATACTAAAGAACGCTTCTGTGATCTTCAGGCAAAGATGATGTATCACCAGACTGAATTTTAATGCATATGGCCTATTCGGGTGTGATATAAGCTTAATTCTGACGCGACCCTGACAAAGAAGCTAATGTCTCACTCAGCAATGTCAACAGGACTCGTCGTCAGATCTCGCGTCTCGCTTCTCGCATTTGCGTGCATCTAATTGAACCCAGCGAGATGTTATTGCTGACACCAGACCTCCCGGGTAATCATTATCAAGACCATCGCCGCCCTCGGCATTGCTGACCCATCCGTGTTAGCGAAGTTGCGTGAATACAAAAATCAAGGCGAGCCTCGCCCCAGCCATCGTACCAGAATCTTTGGTCCCCGCTGCAAGGGCGCGTTGATTGCTTTACTCTTCAGTTTGTGGAGTTCTTAGCTTGAAAAATGGAGGGAACCCCATACCGCATAGCGGGTCAACATGTCGTTGAAAAGTAACGGTCTGGGAGATCTGATTGGGCGATGGTACCGCCGGATGCGCCCTTTGCGTCTTGACTGACTTGACTTGTGCTGGGCATGTAAGCCTTCAACGATATATAGTTATGGATATGGCCAATATTAATTCTTGCAACCAAATACTCATCACCTCAAGATGTCTCAACCAACTGAATCAGTCATCATCGTCGGCACCGGCATCGTCGGTTCTTCCCTCGCCTATTTCCTGTCTCAATCTTCGACGCCCCGAACCATAACCCTCATCGACCGTTCTTTCACTTCCCTCCTCGGCTCATCAGGGATTGCACCCGGCTTCGTCGGCCAGTTCAACGAATCTGAAGTCCTCACCAAACTTGCAATCGACACTGTCTCAGAATATGTCAAAATTCCTGGTGGTTTTGACAGAGTTGGCGGTCTGGAGATTGCGTTTCAAGGTGAGGGTATTCAACGATTGAAGGCGAGGTGTGAGGATGCGAAGAAGCTTGGGCTTGAGGCTAGGATGTTGAGCATTGAGGAGGCGCATCAGCTTGCCCCAGAATTGGTCAATGAGGATGGTGAAGGGCAGGCGGTCTTCTTTGAGAAAGATGGGACGGCGAATGCAGTGAAAATAACGACTTGGTATCAACAAGAGGCGAAGAAGCATGGTGTCAACTTTGTGGAAGCTGATGTGAAGCAGCTCACCATCTCGGAGGGTAGTGTCACAGGCATTGATGTTGTTGAGAATGAGGCATCGCGCCATCTCACCGCTGATAAAGTCATCATGACGACTGGAATCTGGGCCCAAGGTCTCTCATCAAACCTCCCCTTTCCTGTCCCAGTCATCCCCGTTGGTCATCCCTACATGCATGCTCAACCTCACGAACCACTTCCCCACAAGATATCTTTTGTCCGTTGGCCAGAACATCACGTCTACGCCCGCGATCACGGTACAAATTTTGGCATCGGAAGTTACGACCATGCACCTATCGGCTACAAACCCGACACTACAGCCAAGGGAGAGTGGGTTGACTGGTTCAAGCAACCTCTTGATTTCGCTACGGGGTTACTTCCTCCTGCAGCAGCTCGGGAGTTCCAAGATGGGAATCATTTCAACGGAGTGTTTAGTATGACGCCTGACAATATGCCTCTTGCTGGAAAGGTTGAGTCGGTCGAGGGATTGTTCATGGCAGTTGCAGTATGGGTTACGCATGCTGCTGGTACAGCCAAGGTTCTGACAAGGATTATTGATGGAGAAGAAGTGGATGGCAAGACGAGGGAGGCTCTTGATCCCGAGAGATTTAGAGGACAGGACTTTGCGCAGTTGGAAGAGAAGTCGTTGACGGGCTATAACTCTATTTATAAGACTATTAAGTCAGGCTCGGCTTAGGGATCATTGTAGGCTCTCAAGTAGAGTTGTATAAAATTTGCCAAGTTTGTAAAGTGTAGAGAATGAAGATGAGTTCTTAAGATATTTATATAAAGCTAGCTATTTATGTAACTAGATTTAGGGATGCTTACAAAGCTTTATCTAAGACTTAACATAAAGATAGCAACAGTAAATTAAATCACTGGGTTGGCTTTGCGATAGGGTTCAATTCCGCAGGGGATGTCTTCTCGAGCCCCAGCGTCGGCGTATGATTCTCTCCCTGACCGTCACTCTTATCGTCACTCACATCCCCGTTTTCACGCGCAAGCTGCTGCTGGATCTCAGCAACCTTGGAGCGGCGCCAGATCTTATCGTCGAAGAAACGAAGGACCGCGAGCGCGAGACCAATTGCGAGGACAACGATGTTGATTGTAAAGCCACGGCGGTATTTGGGCTTGTCGTCGGATCGGAAGATCTGGGCACCATAAATACCTGCAATCAGTTAGCATTTGATAGAAGTTTAAGAGCTCGATAGCCTCGTAAGAGGCTCAAGGCAAGGGGGAAGGAGAAAATAATTACCTGCAATATTGGCCCCCATAATAACCCTAAGAGCATTAGTATGCATGCATCATGGAGTGCAGTGAGCAGATGACTTACATGGCCATAGCAAGAGCTCGTTCCTCTGAATCATCACATGCAAGGGACATCCAAGCGATGTTGAGAGGGTGAGAAAAGGTGCCAAAGGTCTGAGTCCACACAACACCAAAATAACTGACTCCTCTACGTCCGAGCTCCGTGAAGATACGGTTGAACACGTAACCTAACAAGTGCATACTCAAACCCGCGATGACAGTCTCTGGTCTCTTATTACTATAGAGGTGTTAGCAGTGACTACTCCCTGGCGGAAAATGACTCACAATCGATCGGAAACGTAGCTGAAGGACCATGAAACAGGGATCTGGAGGAAGAGACCAACAGAGGCGAGGGCATTACTAGTGAGACCTTCGAAGCCGAAGCTCTTGACGATGGAAGGTGAGTATGTATCGAAGGCGCGCTGAGGGCCGTTGTTCGAGAGTGTGATGATGACATGGACCCAGAGACGCCAGTTGGAGAACTGTTGATGTTAGTTACTCTCTTCGTAAATGGAGGTGATGCTCTTACAGCCTTCTTGAAGGCACCGAGACCGATCTTCTTCTTCTTCTTTCCCTTCATAGGGTCATCAAGAAGAACGCGAGTCTGGAGAATGTGCAATTCTCTCTCATTGAAGATCTTAACGTTGGGCAGGAACGTGCTTCGAGGATTCTTGAAAGAGTCGGGCAAGCAGCAGCCCAAAACAACACCGCTCAGAACAGTGAAGGCACCCATAAGGACAAAAAGCCAGAACCAGCCAGCCTTGTCTCCAACGCCACGCATGTGAAGAATACCATACGCCAAGAGTTTACTAGAAGCTTGACCGAACTGGTTTCCAAAGTAAAAGAACATGACACGCTTAGCTGTTTCCTTACGTGTGTACCATGTTGACAGGGTCCAAAGTCCGCCAGGGATGAATCCCGATTCGGTGATACCGAGAAGGAATCGCGTCGCGACGAAGGATCCGTAGTTGTTTTGGAAGGCTTGGAAGGTGCTGACTGTGCCAAAGAGGAATAGTTGGAGGGTGAGCCACTTGCCGGGGCCGACTCGGTAGAGGATCATGTTGGAGGGGATTTCGAAGAGGACGATGCCAAGGGAGAGCATCTGTTGGCCGACGTTGAATTGGTTTTGGGTGACGCCGACATCTTCCATGAAGTTATCAGTCAGGGCGTTGGCGATGTTACCTCGATCGAGCTCTGGTCAAGTTAGCGTTGAGTCGTTGGATGACGATGTCATTGTCGGTGGGGTCGTACGAAGGCAGAAGAACCCGAGGGTCAAGAGCGGCATGATAATAAGGTCCAGCCTACATAACGGTTAGTCCTTAGATAAAGGCACCATAGTGACAACTATAGAAAGAGTTCAAGCCGCAACAGTACGCCTGGGGCAGCGGGGTCGCCGCACAGCAAATACGAGACTGTATTTGATGGTAGACTGCTATGCCTCCAAAAGCAAGGCAACAGGAAAACAAGGCGTAACATACTTGCGCTTAGCTCTTCTTTCTTCCTCCACGGACCAGTCCGTTCGAAGAGTTAGAGATTCCTCATCCTCTCTGGGCTGAGGGAAGTCCGAGTGGGACTTTGATGAAACTGTGTCAAGTTTGCCCATTTTCGAGGTCGGTAAAGATGCTGATGAAGCCTGCATCGGGGACGAAAAAAGGGTTCTGATGTCGCCCTTTTCTATCATCTCAAGCCTTTGCCAAGAGAAAAAGGGCCAGAATTGGTCTCGGTCTCGATGGTCTTGGCGTTGAAGCCAAGTGAGCACGCAATACCCCAAGTGCCGGGGCTGCGCGTCTCCGATGTGGCAGATGAAATGACAGGTCTTTGATGAAGAGAATCTTAGAATTATTTAATAAATTTAGGGAAGAATTTATAAGAGATAATAAATTAAGGAAAACATTCATATAGTTCTTTATAAACTTGGGTTTCTTTACCTAAAGAAGATCATTTATTTTATCAATATCATCTAAATTCACAAAAGTTCCAAGCTTTACGACCCTTCAGCCATCTTCCGTCATTCCCCTGGCAGGCTTTCAGAGCGCTTGAATCTCTTCACAACATAATAGCGGGGCTCGAATTCAATAAAGTAACACAGGAAAAAGAAAAATGACAGTGGCGACACTAACGAACCATAACTACGGTCCAAGATGGTGTCGTCGTGTCGAAGATCAGCATCCCATCCTTGCAACCTTTGGAACTCCCCGTCCTCGAACCGACCCAAGACATCTTGGCTTATCTCAATTACCACCAATTTCACCACCTTGTGGGGGTTGCAAGCAAAATAAATGACTCACGGAATCAACGAGAGTCCAATCATCATCCTGGGTTACCACCATCTCCCCGGTGAGGCGTCTGCATGGTGTCGAACTTTATCACAGTAGCCCAGATCAACTCCCCGCCAGAGCTCCCGAAACTTTTCGCTCGGCGCACTTGGCGTAAGAATGCCAAGGGAGATGACAACAAACACTCTGAGCGGGGGGTTTAATAACGTCGAATTCTACAAACGGCTTACAAAAGCCGTTGGTAACATGAGAAATGCGGCAAGAGAGAAGCGCATCTTCTTTCCCGGGACATTCAATCACATGAATGCAACTCAAATAAGCTTAAGAATTAGCTCATGAGCTTTAATCCAAGCCTTATTCTGTGGGTACCGCGTCCAGCCCAACCAACCCTTGAAATCATGCTCTTAGCGTCGGAATCATCGGTCCAACCGTCCAATTCCACGAGTTCCGAATGACGGAATTCTTGTCCTAATGAGACGATAAGCTTAAATGAGCAGAGATCACCCCCATGCTGAGACCTTGGACAGTACGCGATGACCAACGACAAGCACGACGAGACATGCACCCCGACTTGGCAACAGAATTGCTTCTTCCTTGAACACGAGACCAAGCCTCTTGTCTGACCGAGCATGCATACGCGGGATGACATTCATTGACTCCGCACCGATAATCCGAGCATGTTTTCCTCCTTTTGGCCCTTGTCGCTTCGGATGTCGCAATTCCAGCCTCAAATTCCTACCACTAGAACATGGTTTTTCTAGCTTGGCTGATGAAGTTTATCACAAACTAATGCGTGCTCACCCCCACGGACGAAACCTTGCAGGAAATTGAGGTAATCTGGATGAGAGATGTCCTTAATCGGCGGCCGTCCGAGTCTGAGAACTTTATCTCACAGGGATATGCGGCGGTTGACATCGTGATGGACCATGTCGAGGGATGGGTGAATCCGTAAAACGGCAACCATTGAGCCGCGATGGCTCTCCTCCATATTTGACCGTGGAAGAGACGACTATGAATGGTTTTTACGCTAGATTAATGGTCCAAAATTTCGTAAGCGGCACTTCAAAGCCAGATCACGACCAGTTAACGGCCACGAGCAGCTACTGATCGAGGCCACATCCCGTTGCGCCTCTCCTACCAACGCTAACCATCCTTGCCAAGGCCAAGGCCAAGCCAATTCGCAACCCCTAGTTCAAATGTCGTGATTATGAGGCCTCCACAGCGAGAAGCCGTTGACCCACCGCGACGGTCCGTGACAGCCTCGAACTCCCCGTCCCAACGGATGGCGTTCGATAGTTTGTTCAGCTCGGAGGCAAGTTGGTGTCTTAGCAGGCACACCTTCTTTGAACTCCCCGTCCAGTTGGATATGAGTCTAGAATTGGTGGCATGAAACAGGTGGATTGCGTAAGATAGGTTGATCATTGCTTTGTGGCCATCTGTCTCGTTCTCGCCCCCTTGCGGCTGAATAGAATCAAGATGTTGCACGGGCTGACGGCTTGTCTAAATTTCGTGGGGTGAAGAGGCCATGCCCATGTCCAGCATACTTGATGGTGTCAAGTTGGTCTTTGCTTCTTCTTGCCCAGATTCCTGCTATTACTTGCGATTTGTGAGACTTTTGCCATCAACTAGTGCCTTCGCCATTGCCACAAAGCCTGATGCGGCTTGTGTTTGGACTAGGGGCCAAGGTCACGATCCCGCGCTCGTCGTGATACTCATGGGGAGCATTCTCGCTTTCTCATTACGATACCCCTAATGCCAGAGAATACCGCTCAGTAAATTTGAGGGAAAGGTGCTAGATGACAGATCACGGAACAGTCCTGGGCAAGGTTGGCCGGAAAGATGACCATCAGATACTTTAACGAGTGGCATCATGTTTAACATGACAGATAGATTAACAGTTTTCCAAAAATCAGTACATACATAAAGAAGGACTTTGTAAATCACCAATACCATTACGTGCTTAAACAAACGCGATGCCGCGCTTCTGCCCCTTGCCAAGATCCTCATCGTCCGAGAGGTTATGATCATCAAGAGATTTTCTAGATGGCAGATGAACTGCACTAGGGTCAACATGACGACTGAAGCGGTTGTACGCAATAAAAGTATCCTTGTCTCCCGCGATAGCATTTGGAGGAGTCGCGACTCGCACAGAGATGCGTCTCAGTTCAACAGCATCATCCCGGATTGGTGCCTTTCCAGTGTAATGGTAAAAGATATTGAGAGCGGGGATAGAAAGCCCATGGACGATGATGGAGAAGAGAACCAGCCAGTAGACAACGGGGCCCATCGCACGAACGAGGTTTGTCTCCTCTTCATCGCCTTCGCCATCGTGGGGGAACAGATGTCTAGCATGCTCAACGTAGAAGACAGCGCCAGCGCCGATGGGTCCGAAGTATCCCATGAATAGAGCTTCCTTCCAGTTGGTACAGACGTCGGGCATGAGCTTGTAGAAGGCGAAAATGGCAGGCAGACGGCGGAAGACAAGGATGAGGAGACCAAGTCCAATAAGACGGCCCCAGGTGATGCCAGTACCAGTGGGATCATGGAAGTCCCCCCAAGGTAGAATAGCACCAATGTACATGAATCCTCCAAAGTTCAGTAGTACATCGATACATGAGTTGACTTCATCGTGACGACGCTCAGTCTCTCGGAGATAGTTGCCGTCCCAGTTCAAAGCCATACCTGCAACGAAGCAGGCCAAGAGGTCATCAGTACCAATGGCTCCACAGGTTCCAACAGTGAAAAGACCAAGGGCGGTCGGGAAAAGAACATAGGATTCTTCGTCAATCCATTTACTGTCAAGCGTCAGATTTGGATGCCAAAGGACAATCGTGCATTACTTACGACTTGAGTGCAAATTTGACACCCTTACAAGATCCGTACCCAAGGACAGCACCATATGCGATAGACAATACAATGGTATACAGCCAGGTCTCAACAAACCAGTTCGTCATGGCCACTCCAACGCCGCCACCGAGACGCCCAACCTCACCAGCGCGTACCATCAACGCATGCCCCGCCTCAACTCCGCCCACAGCTTCGGCAACAGCTTTAGCTGGAGCAGGAGGGTTCTCGGCGTGCTGGAGCAAGTATGTCGCGAGCATAAGGAAGGGAAAGCCAAAACCATCATTAGCACCAGCCTCGGCGGAGATGACCTCTCGCAATGGGCGAGCCACATATTTATCGGCAAAGGGTCCCTTTGCAATGGCCTGCGATAAGATGGGATCGGTGCAGGTGACACAGGAGCCGATGACGAGGGCGGCGAGGAGGGTCAAGTTGGGGATGGTGACCATGATACAGGCTGTTGTGCAAAGTCACATGACGGTCATGATGGGGAGCAGGCAGAGAGCCATCTCTTTCCATCGTGTGAGTCCATATTTGGCAGGGAGCTGGTAGCCTGCGATTACAAGCTGTACTCCAATCATTACTCGAGCGATGCCCTATTATTCAACATAAGTTATTGTTCGTGCATAGCTTGGTGGTGATTTGAGGTGGATGGCATACCAGGGTGATGGCGCTAGTCTGTCCTGGCTCAGCGGAGCCCCATTTCTCGCTCTCGATGAACTTTGCTGCTATAGGTCCGAGAATGACTCCAAAGAAGACCGCGGGGACTTTTCAAGTCAGTCACTAAAGTGGTTGAAGGAATGGAAAATACTAACGGGCCTCGCCAAGATACCAAGCCTGCTTGATCTTGACAGAGATGATGCCATAAAGGACCATGAAAGCGCCTGTAAACTGTCAACAGATGCCTTGGCGATAGATGAATGTCCGCCAAGTACTAACCCAAGACGCCGAGAACAATGTTCAGCTCAGACAGGTTAAGGACAGGCATCTTGGCAGAACCACTGTACCCCAAAAATCTGAAGATGGCGAAAAAGAAAAGGAACAAGAGAGGAAGGAAACGAGGGAAAATAACAGAAGATAATACAACAGAGGTCCAGCCTGCAAATTAAGAAAGGAAATTAGAATGGAACGAAGCAAGCTAAATATCTCATTCCCCAGGACGACATCCGTGCATCTTTTAACAACTTCATCCCAGACATAGGGCTTCTGGCGGACCATCAGGCCGACCGGAGCTAGTAGCTCTAAACCGCCATGAAACGATATATCTCTAACTAAAAAAAGAGAGAGCCTCGAAGAATGAAGAGCAAGGCTAAAAAAAGACTCACTTCAATGATGCATTCTGCGATTTCGCGTCTCATCTGCTTTGTCTACTTTGTTCTCGGTTGGACAGTTGGCATTTGGGCGAAACTCTTGGCAGAACGCCATTGTCGAGGGATGAGCTTGGCGTTGGGGATCGACAGGGAGAAATGTCAGCGATCGTAATTAAAAGTGAGAACTATTGACTCAGGGATTGTTTTGAGGAACTTTGTTCCGACGACTTGAAGAAGGAGAGTTGATGGTTAAAATAAGCATAAAATACCGCCGTACTTGAACAGTGGCTGTGGCGGGTCTGAAATGTTATACATACACCCAACTGGGCCAACTCCATCTAGCTCTAGCCTCAGGGCCACCCAAGCATTTTAAAACATCTTTCTGTAATATGTTATACTATACACCTCTCGAAATCGGTGTTTGAATATCTCTCAGTAAATAGATGCTATTCCCAAACGCGCGGCTAAACAAGATATTCGTGCGGGGAATCGGGCATGAGCTGAAACACGGATATCATTTCGGCGATATCTGGACGCGTGGGCCGTCTCAATAAGCATAGATCTTTGATCAACTTGACTCCTGTGCTACGTCATTGGTGTTGGGACCTACCAGATAGTTCTGGACTTCAAACACGAGGCTCTCAGTGTTGGTTAAGCCTAAAAGGGGCTCTTGTTAGAATATCTCCTTACTACGTCCAGAGGAAAGGGGAGATCTCTGCATTGAGGCTGAAACGTGATATCGCGGGCGAGATATCAGCATGTTGTGACCGTCATGTTTTATATTGAGGTTTGTAATACGACTGGATGGTGAACTTTGCCTGAAACGCATAGATAATCGCTGAGATTGTTTATTTCATAATACTCTTCTTAGGCTTCAGATAATTAGAGTGAGCTTGCTTAGCTTTTCTGATCGACCTGAAGGGTATATACAGGGTAGTGTGTAATGTGAAGAAATCCCAAATAGCCTCTACGAGTAATAGAAATGACTCTTTTCTTGGCCTATTGTTCCCCCATACTATAAACACCTAATCTACGAGGTCGGCGTAACTAAGGTTGACGAGAATGTTCTTCCGACAAGCCACAGGTCATAAAGACTCCGAACGCCCGCCCACAACATCCTCATCCTGGGCTTAGCCGGTGAACGCGACGAGCACCAGCACAGCCAGTCGACGATGCCTTGATGCCCCTTGAAATAACCTCTCCGCTTTCTTGTGGTCGGAGTGTCAGTTGCCAACACGACAACGGTCGTTGAACTCTTAGTAGTGAACAGTGTCTCTTCAATATCCCACCGGACCCAACGCTGGTGGAAGCTTCTCAGGTACAAAATGACCGCTATACAACGGCATATAGAAGAGATTGAAGCGAGAGATTGACAAGTTTCACATTTCGTTGTTGAAACAAGCTGACTCAATTGCTATAGAACGGAATACCCGGATTGATATACTTGTAGATTATGACTCCAGCCCTACTACCTATACCTATACAGACATAAAATAAAGGATGAATAAAAGAAAGCCTGAAAGTTAGAAAATAGAATATTGCCGGGGCAGGATTCGAACCTGCGACACACACCACCCCACATGTAAGTTACATAAACGACTCGTAGAAGCGATACCGTGAACGGGTGACATGGATGTTACCACTACACCACCCGGCATTGGTTTTGTTTAAAAATAATTAATTTAATCTTTAATATGTATCTTAGGCAGATATACCTAGTATCGGGTACAGCCAATACTTCGAGTAGCTGGGGGGTCGGACATGAGTTGAAACACGGGTATCCTCTCGGTGATATAAAAACACATATATCATGTCAACAAGCACAGATCTTATGACGGAAACGTGGCATTTGGGCAGATAGTAGTGACTCGTGGCAGATATAGATATTCTGTTCCTAGGTTTGTAATGCGACTCGGTGATTTCCTTCTGTCTCTCTATATGCCCTATGCCTTACTAGCATATAGTCACTAAGTACTAGCTCTGCGTATTCTAACCTGAAAGGAGTTTTCTAATATGGCATTACAACTTATTGTAACTAGAGATAGCTCCGGAAAGTTTGAGAAACCCAGCTTGTTCATAAGAGGCGGGTCTTCCTATGAAATACGTAGAATCAGCATTCAAGTGTAGATGGAGCAAGTTACTATACTGAAGCTAATGGTTTTTCATGACCTGTTTCTCCAATCCAAATAGTGAGGAACGCCTCAATCTCAGTGAGCCTTGAGCGCTATCAGGTGATAACAATTTCGGGGGCTCTATCATCAAGCAGGGGGAAGGTGCTGCCAGTGCCAACAGTTATGTGCCTGCCGCCTGCCTCCCTCCTGACCTCTCTGCCTCAGCCCCACTTAACTCTTTTATCACCAAAACAATTTCTCCTTTCTCTAAAAACGCTTTGTTTTCTCATCGCCTGCAACTTCTGCACCTCATCTTCGTAATTCTCCCATACGACTGCAGCCGCGTGACGGCAAATGTTTGCAACCATGGGGGCAGCACCTTTGTCTCTGACATTTCTCTGTCAGGGGTTCGCGTTTAGTATTCCTCAGTCAATCGCGCGAGCGCAGTCTCCAAAGCTCGCAGCTTCTCTCGATGCCGCCCAGAAAGTATGATATCCCGCAGCTCATGCTCTGAAAAGGAACTGACGCTTTGTGGATATCTCAAAATCCGGTTGTCACCGTGAAAGAGTTCTCTCTGGACACAGTAAACTGCATGGTTGAATTCTTCAAGTCTGGTTGCTATGAAGTTGACCGAAGGAACTTCCCAAGTGTGATGCAAGCAGGTATGGAGTTGGGCATAACCGTTCATAGCAAAAGCTAATCACTATCAGTTTCAGGTGCACCGGTGGCTCCGGATCGTTTCATGCGAGATGAATTAACCTGCCATCTTCAAATCTGTGCCATCGGTACCCTCTATGGCGTTCCCAAGCTATGCGAGCTTGCTAGGGACAAAATCCAGAAGGTATTCGGAGGGAAATGGTTCGATTCGGTTTTCCTTTTCACTGTCGCCGTTGTGTTGAAGTCAAAGGACCATAAGCTGCAAAGGTTGCTTGTTACTCTTGCGAGAGGGCACTTGCATTCCCTCACCACTTCAAACGGTTTCGACCATGCAACGATGCTAAAAAGCTTCCATCCCAAGTTCAGAGACCAAGATGATATTCTTCACCAAAGCGGAGATCAACCCAAACCTACACCGGCTCCGACGACCCAGGACGAAAGCTCCACCAAGCTTGAGGCCCTCCGGATCCAAGTCTCTTCCCTCAAACAACAAGTAATAGCAGTGTCCCGTGAGCGAGACGAACTCCGCGACCAGTTTTCGGCTGCTTCAGTCAAAAAGGAAGAACTCTGGCAGAGCGTCGCAACTCTTGCCGCTGAGCAAGACCTGTTGCGGAATGAGTTGTCAAATGTTGCAGCCGAGAATAAAGAGCTCCGAGATATTGCCGCGAAAGTGTCCACTGCGAGGGATCATGCTGAGCAAGTCATGAGTGATGCAAAGAACAAGAAGTCTTCAGCGGAAGTAAAAGCAGAAGAAAACGAAAAAATACTCGAGACACTTCAACGAGAGCTGAGGGTCACAAGATCCGAGAGTGGCTTGCTCAAGGCCAGATGGGATAAGGAGAAGACAAAGTCGTCCATTCTGACTCAAGAGAACGACGACCTGAAGAAGTCTCTCGAGCTTGAGAGACGTAGCAGGGTCAATATCACGGAATTTGCACGGGCCGATGTTCGAAATGCTCTCAAAGACGAGCAGAAGGTGGCAACAGACTTGACCGCGAGACTCACTCAAGCGTCACAAGTCCTTGAGACAGAAAGGAAGCACTCAGAAACTCTAGTGCAAGAACTCACTCAAGCCAAGAGAAACCTTGAATCGGAAAGACAAAGCAAGACAGGCATGTCCTTGAGCGAACGAGACAGAATGCACGAAACTATTGGGTCCCAGAGAAGTGAAATATCGGCGCTCGTTAAAGAACGAGACGAGATCAAGAGGGAACTAAAGATGGCAAGAACTGAGAGGAACAATGAGAGTGACAGAAAATGGGAGATCACCAACAAGATGAATGCGTTGATCCAAGCAATGGACGAGTGGGATGAGTGCCGTCATTGCGGTGCCGATTTTGGGACGTACGTGGAAGACCACGGCAGCACGCTAGTTCTGCGTTGCCATTACTGTACAACTCGACACTGGGCGTGATGTGTTAGGATGATGTGTCTGGCTTGGGATGGAGTAAGCAAGGAAGGCATTGTGAGGCATTACTTGGGATCATATGTACGACAGATTCTGTTTTACGAGGATTCATTACGGGATAAGGAGAGGTACAGATTATTTGTTTGTAAGCTACAGAAACAATGACATGACTATTGTTCGCTCTGATACATCTCGGTTCCTTGACCCGGGTCCCCCGCATAAGTCAACGGATACGCATCCGACTATCTATCAACTCCAACTTTCGGATACCAGTACCCGATTACGGAGAATCTAAGATGCTTTTAGGTTACATCACTAGACTGAGTGAGGGGTTGTGAGTCAACCCAGAGAGGCCTATTTATGATTGTGATTACAGATACTCATTCTTCGCCGTCACCCTCCACCAGCCAATCTACATCATTGTCCCGACGCCAACATGTCACCTAGCAACGGAAAGTACGTCGTCTTCGACATCGTTGGGACCTGCGTCTCATACGACAAGCTTACCGAAGCAGTCGAAAAGCAACTCGGTGAAAGACTGCTGGCCGAGAATGTGAAGCCCAGTCTTCTTGTGAACCTCTGGATCGAGGCTGGAGAGAGGGAATATACGTATCTTTCAATAACTAATCGATACGTCGCATTCGACAAGCTGTTCGCATCCCTCTTTTATCGCATGCTCTGGCTCGCCGGTATCCAAGAGCCACGCTCCTTCGCAAATGGGGCTGATATCGAGAAGATTATGCATGGCTACATGGAACTCGAGCCAAGACCTGATCTCAAAGAATGTTTTGATAAGCTTCGAGCAGCGGGATTCACGGTGCGTGGTCTGACAGCTGGGGACTTTGACAGAGTGCTTGGGTACTTTGATAAGGCGGGCATCGAGTTTCCAAAGGAGCACCTGATTTCTTGCGACTCGTTTGGCGTGGGTAAGCCGGATCTCAAGGCATATGCCTCGACCTTTGAGGAGTTGAAGGGAGCAAAGGAGCTTTGGTTCGCCGCGGCCCATATGTGGGACGTCAGCGCGGCCAGGCTAGTTGGGTAAGTGAATTATCGTTGCTTGTTTGCTGTTGCTAATGGTTGTTGTAAAGGTTCAAAGCTGCGTATTGCTCTGTGTTAGAGAAAGAGCCTTGTGTAGACATATTTGGGGAGATGGATGTCATGTCGGATACTCTGAGTGACATGGCAGATAAGATTATTCAAGGTTCATCTTAAGCTATCATGAATAACAATAGAGGTTACATTATGATGTAAGCGAAGCTCAGTTCTGTCCTGAATCCCAATACCAAAGTGTCACAATTGTCTAAGCCAGGGGTTTAGGGACGTTTGGGACTTCTAACAAACCACTGACCAAACATCAAAGCAAACCACGGAGAGCCTTACGCATTCTTCAAGTTCGACGTTTGCGTCGCATCTAGGAAGGTGCATCCAACAGCACCGATTTGGCCTTCAATAACCGTATCCACCAAACTCAAAGTAACAGTTTGTTCCTGTCACATTTGAAACAAACAAGAATAAAGATAAGGTTATCATTAAAGTTAGCGAAAGCTTGCCGTCACATATCTTAGCCAGTACATTCCAATGGCTTCGCTGGAGGTCTAAGACATCTGGCCCTCGCCAAGAGATTTACCGAGGAAGGACAACATTTGTGAACCAGTCTAGAATAGAATTTCTATGATATTGAATCGAGATGTTTGAACAATGGGCGCATGTCTTGGACGGGTGCGGTCGAACGCTCCCGTTTGCGACTTAAAATGCTGGCTGAGTGGCGTTTGTTGGTGACTAGAGGGGATATACAGGGGAAGATGCATGCCTGTTGGGTCCTGGAAGCCTTTTGTGAGGGGCTTTATAGGGAGTGCTTGTTAGGGTTTGGAATGTGGTGAATGGTCAGATCAAAACCCTGGGGATCAAGGGAGGATTTTCACAAGAGCATTATGGCTGGGCAAGACGCTTTTGGCAATTCGTAACCTCACAATAAAATTGTCACTTACAATGCCATTCACCAAGTGTCTCGTCTCACCCATCATTCCTCAGCTTGAAGCTGAGCGCATAAGGCATATTTCAACAAGGTAGGCCCAAGCTCCATCCGGCGTTCATAGCGCAGAAGTCTCCCGCTCAATCTCATACTTTAACAGCGCCACGATACCAGGTACAGCTCTAGCGAAGAGATTCAGGGCCGATGGAACGTTTCAGTTGGAGTCAAATATGTTGCACATGGTGGCTTAAGCTTAGATTTAACCATGTGCCTTAAAAGGATTGTGATACCGGCTAGTAGAGACAGAAACAGGATGTTGGGCAGATAAGATCCGATCGATCGACATCTGGGCTGAAATATTCCTGAGGTCTGTTCTTTGGTTTTGCTGCTGTTTCCATCATGTGATTGTGGCTTAGCAACAGCTGTTCGAAGCAGAGATACTCTTGTAACGTTCGACTGTGTTCCACGGTGTTGTGGAATGTCCCGAGTCGTTTTAACGACGAACTGCACGCCCCATGATTCAATATTGAGAGACGGCTTGCAAGACACACTTGTGTTTTCATAAAAGTCGAGACATGGCATCCTCGATAAGCCACTGCAGCACAATATCAAAATATTGAAACACATGATCACGCAAGTTTTCCGTCTGTCCTTGAGACATTGGCATTTGAGGCTTTAAGCTGTCCACATCCGGGAATGTCGCTGTAGAACGTGGTGGCGTTGATAGATCCGGTCTAGACCATTTGGCTTTTGAGACTGCCATTCCAGGGTCACTTGGCGAACAAAACGACAAGATATATATAATATTCGAAAGAAACACTCTGAAGGCAAATAAATAATAACACACAAGTGCTTTCTCCTTTCAGACCACAGTTACTGCTAGTCAGTTTCAACTTCACGATGCCATCACTTAAGACATCTTCACTCCTCGGTTTCGCAACTTCAGCCGCGCGAGTCGCCGCTCACGGCCATGTGGACTGGCTCGTAACAAATGGCGTTGCTTTTCGCGGTTACTCTGCCCCGGAGATGAGCTGGAACCCCAATCATCCTCCTGTCGTCGGTTGGACCAATGGTGCCACTGATAACGGCTATGTTGAGCCCAATTCCTTCGCAGACCCCGATATCATCTGCCACAGGGCTGCTCGACCTGGCAAAGGTCACGTAAGTGTTGCAGCAGGCGACAAGATTACTCTTCAATGGAATACTTGGCCAGAGAGTCACAAGGGCCCAGTGATTGATTATCTTGCGAGATGTCCTGGAGACTGCGAGAGTGTTGACAAGAACGATCTTGAGTTCTTCAAGATTGGTCAAGAAGGTCTCATCGATATGTCGATGCACAGCGGCAAGTGGGCAGCTGACGTTCTTGTGGCTACTGGCTTCTCTTGGACGCTTCAGATTCCAGAAGCGCTGGCTCCGGGCAACTATGTCCTTCGCCACGAGATTATTGCTCTTCACGGCTCTGGTCAGCCTAACGGAGCGCAAAACTACCCTCAATGCTTCAACCTCAAAGTCACTGGTGACGGAGACTTGGCTCCAGATGGCGTCAAGGGTACTCAGCTTTACAAGGCCAACGATCCTGGTATTCTCTTCAACCTCTACACGACACCTTTGTCCTATAAGATCCCCGGTCCTACACTGGTGCCTGGTCTCCCGTCTACAGTCTCTCAGCGCGTTGTCGCCGCAACTGCAACCTCAAGTGCAACTGTGCCAGGACAGACCCAAGCTAGCATGAGCAGTAAATCATCTTCGTCAACATCGAAAGGAAGCTCTACATCGGCCAGCACCGCTGTTGGAGGAGACACAACACTCAAGACTTCAACAACAAGCCGGTCTTCTTCGTCCAGCACAACGAAGGACACGCCACAGCCCACAGAAGACGACGATATCATCTGCGGTCCTGCAACAGGAGGTCTTCCCAAGTACAGCCAATGTGGAGGAAAGGACTACACAGGCCCGACAGTCTGTCAGTGGGGATCAAGTTGTAAGGTTCTCAATCCTTATTACTCGCAATGTCTTTGATTAGATTGTCTCTGCGCCGGATTGCAGGAGACTCGATTCCTTCATTGAAGTTGTCGCACATTTTGATGAAGTTCGGTAGCGCCTGTGGATGCCTGTTGCAAGACTCCTGCAGCTTTTATTGGCTAGAAAACCGGGGCTATCCACTTCAGTCTGTAGGACGAGGCTTTAAAGCCGTCTCATTCCCAGTTGACCAATTACCAAGCATCAATTTGGTCGCTTGACCCCACAGGCGCTACCGAATTACATGACTTCCTACGGTAGCCATACCTTTTTTGTGTGGAATTTCAACTTCAGCTTTAACGTTATGTAATGATATTTTTTCTTACTGGCTCGATTTCGAAGCGCGACATGATTCATGAATGAACAAGAGCCGTTCGAAGGCTTCATTATAGTGCACCTTGGGAATTATCCTACAGTTGAAAAGGTCATAGAACCTTTACCCTACTGTATGATGATTTTGGAAGAATTGTGACGAATTTAAGAATCCTCCGGCAGTACCGGCAGCATCAGATCATGATTCTTGGATGCCAAAGTCAAAAACAAGAGCTAAAAGTTTGATATTAGTCAATTATTCTTCATTTCAGCTTAGCTTGTGCTCTTCTGGATATCATCGACGTCATGCTTCACTTTCTCCGCGGAGCCAAGATCCTGAAAGCGTCACGCTTTGGGTCTTGATAAACTGTTAGACCACGCTCAATGTTCAATTCCATCAATTTGTAAAAATTCTTCTCAGAGACTGACAACATGCCTCACAGCAAGCCTTGGGTTGTCAAAGTGCAAGCCCATCCTGGGTCAACGGCTGAAGAGATCCGGAACGAGCCGGATTGGGTTTCTGGGCACCAGCACCGCATTGGCTTCAGAGATCGAAATAACCGACTTCCTGGGCTTACTCATAAAGATGATGAGTATAGAGAGGAAGTGGCGAGAGAGAAGCAGAAGTATCTTGCATTTCAGAAGAGAGCCAAGAGTGGAGAATTGATCAATTTCAGAGACTTGATTGAGAATCAAAAGGTCAGTTTCTTATGGTTCAACCAGTGAGGAAGCTAATACTTTCAAGGACTTTCATCTGCGGCATCCGGAAAATCGCTCACTTGGATGGAGATATGTTCTCAACGCGACTGAAGATTGGGTCAAGAATAAAGAGCCATGGCCTGCAAACCTAAAGAAGCAGGAGGAGGAAGAGAAGAAGAAGAAAGAGGAAGAAGCAAAGAGTGATAAAAAGAATGATACGCCTGAGCAAGAGCATGAGTGGAAACGTTCCTCGGATAAAGACAAGCATCACGATGCATACGCAAAGAACAAAGAGAACGAGGAAAAGAAACAGGAAAAGACTTCGAGTGAGAAGCCAAAGCTCTCAGACAAGTATACACCAGCCGAGATAGCCCTTCTCAGAGCATTGGAGCATGAAAAGAACTACATACAACACCTCAAAGAAAATAACGGAAAGAGAAAGTCCCCTCAGCACAAAAATCTCACACAGATCTCAATCGACGACCAGGACCAATTCAGCCCAGACAACTGGCTTCCTCGCTCTCCTGATCTCATCCGTCTCACTGGAAAACACCCTCTCAATGCCGAGGCACCATTGACGCGATTGTACGAAGCTGGCTTGATCACACCTAACGAGCTTCACTATGTTCGAAACCACGGTCCTGTTCCTCGTATTCTGTGGGAGTTCCACGAGTTGGAGATCACCTACGATGGCAAAACTCAGACGCTTTCTATGGATGATCTGAAAGAGTTTGATACGATCAACATCGCTGTTGCGCTTGCTTGTGATGGAAACAGACGCAAGGAGCTCAACATGATCAAGAAGAGCAAAGGTTTCAACTGGGGCGCTGGAGGAGCGAGTTGCGCATATTGGAAAGGACCTCTTCTTCGAGACGTGCTCCTTGCGAATGGTGTTCCCGAGAAACCGCCCGGTCTCGGGGAGAAGCGATATTGGGTCAACTTTGAAGGCACTGATGATTTGAGCGAGGGTAAGTACGCCACTTCTATACCTTTCGAACACGCGATGTCGCCCAACAACGACGTAATTCTAGCCTACGAAATGAATGACGTTCCGTTGCCACCTGACCACGGATATCCCGTTCGTGTCATCATCCCAGGCTATGTTGGTGGCAGGAATGTCAAGTGGCTAAAGAAGATATGGGTAAGCGAAAAGGAAAATGATTCTTATTATCATATCTGGGATAACCGAGTTCTTCCATCATTTGTCACTGAGAAAGATGGCCCTTTCGCAGAAGCCCTCTTTCATCATCCCGATACAGCCTGCAATGAGCAGAACCTCAACTCAATTATCGTCAAGCCTGCACAAGGCGAGAGGATTCCCTTGGGCAGAGCCAAGAAGGGAGAAAATTATCGCATCGAAGGGTATGCCTATGAAGGTGGAGGACATAAAATCCAGCGTGTTGAAGTCTCCCTCGACGATGGAGCAACTTGGCTGTACTGCATCCGCAAATTCCCCGACTACCCAATTCGTCACGGGAACAAGTTCTGGAGTTGGCTCCATTGGCATGTTGACGTTGAGATTTCGCATGTTATTCGTGCAAAGAGTATCATGGTACGATGCTTCAACGTGTTCAAAAACACACAGCCAAGAGAGCCAAACTGGAATGTCATGGGTATGATGAACAACTGCTGGTATACCGTACGTCCTGAGATCACCGATGACGATGACTCAGAAACACCTTCGATTCTATTTAGACACCCTGTTGAGCCAGCTACAAAAGACGGTGGATGGATGAAGCCAAGCGTTGAGAATAAGATTGCAGAGGCGAAGCAAGAAGCTGGCGCGCCTCAGAAGGAGTTTACCCGAGAAGAGATTGAGAAGCATAATACTCAGGATGACTGCTGGCTTGTTGTCGACGGAAAGGTCTACGACGCAACTAGTGTTCTAGGCTGGCATCCTGGCGGTACGGCGGCCATTCTCGGTCATGCAGGCAAGGTCCATCAGGAGACGAGTGACGAATTTGCTAGTATCCACGATGACTACGCTTACAAGAAACTCAAAGGTGAGTCTACAGTCTTGTCCATGGGTGTGTCTAACGAGTATCAGAATGTGCTCTTGGTGTCGTGACTGAAAAGGCCGCCAACTTCATCAAACAAAATGCAGAGGCCGCTGCCAAAGATACATCCCGGTCGAGTAACAAGGATGAGCATCTAGCGTTGGAAAAGCATAGATGGATTCCAGTCAAACTCATTGATCGCAAGAATCTTTCTAAAGACACAAGAGCCTATACCTTCCAACTGCCTGAGGGTAAGAGCATTCTCGGCCTTGGGACATGTCAGCATGTTCAGATTGGCTTCCATATGCTGGATAGGATGCTCATCCGCTCCTACACACCCACGAAGCCACTCCTCCCAGCCCCAGGTGACAATATGACCAATGGAAGTGCCAAGTCTCTTCGTGATGGAGATGCCACCTTTGAGCTCACGGTCAAAACCTATTTTCCCGATGAGAACCAACCAGGCGGCGCCCTTTCCAACATCTTGGACTGTATGCCCATCGGCGAAGAAGTCGAGCTTCGCGGCCCAACTGGAGAAATAGTCTACAACGGCAATGGAGACTTCGTTATCGAGGGTAAAGATCGTCACTTCGATCGTGTATCCCTCGTACTTGGCGGTTCAGGCATAACACCCGGCTACTCTCTCCTCGCGCGTATTCTTCTCTCCAACAACGACAAGACAGAGGTTCGAGTGGTGGACGCTAACAAAACAGAGGCTGATATCTTGCTGAAAGAGGAGCTTGAGGATTTTGAGACGAAGGCCCATGGACAGTTGAAGGTAACTCATGTGCTCAGCCATGCTGATGATAGTTGGAAGGGAAAGACGGGCCATGTGAATGAGGATATCATCAAAGAGGGTTTGTTCGAGCCGTCTGAGAAGAGCGCTGTGTTCTTGTGCGGTCCGCCGGCAATGATACAGAAGGCTGCTCTCCCTGCTCTCAAAGGTATGTTTAGTTCTGTGATTAATGGCTGGTTACTAACGATTTAATAGATTGGGGTTACGTGGAAGATGAGAATATGTTTGGATTCTAGTGTGCCGATCTTATGGAACTATGTTCTATACTCACGCAAGGAAATAAATATATGCAATTACCTTATTATCTTGATTTCACTGTTGATGACGTGGCTTGGCACAAAATGTAGGTTTAGGTCCAAGTGTACGAGAAAGTAAGGTCATCTCAACATCAAGACAGCAATGCAGTCCTCCTACCGCAGATTATTCATGTTTCACAAGTTATTCATCATCCTATTTGGACATGAGATGGATTTGCTTGATGCGGAATTTTGAAATATGTCGCCTTGTCCGCGATCGAAAACGTTCAGGACTTGCAAGAGAAGATTATCACCACTGGAGCATGAAGCTCACATACATTGGACCCCTTCATTATTTCTCCAGCACCTTTAATTCGATGTTGTCTGTTTCGTGAAGATAGTCGATGAAAGCTTATCTGCGGACATACACGCCAAGTCGCCAACCCTAAAAATCCCAACCTTATCAACAACCGTCCACATGTCCTATCATTTCATCAGGGTCCAGGAGGTTAAAGTCCCTCATGAAGAGCGGTCAGAAACTGGTCCATGCTTATGATAAGATGTTGTTTTGTGATATGTGAGAGATGATTTGACTGGTCACTGATAAGAAGTACCTATACGGGAGTTGATCTATCGGATAACCGTATGCAAGATCTCGCCGAGATAGATCAAGGGTGCGTCCTGTATATGGCGCGATTTTGTAGATCATTGATGAGATTATACATCCTATCGGCGCACTTGCCGAAAATTGAGGCCATCTCGATAAAGATAGATGCTCAGTGGGTGGCAGCTCAGTTTGAAGTTGTCGTCAAATACTGATTATTTGACGTCTGAATTCATCCTCTCTCACGCATGAGTGGTTCTGATTGAAGTAAACAAATTGTCTATCTTCAGGGTCTCCATATCATTTGCCGTGATGGTTTTCATATCATGTATCACGACGTTACAAAAATTATTACCAGAATTGTTTGAAATGTGATCAATTTCATCTCTTTCCAAACAGCGGAATGACTCTCATGCTAACTTTTGTCCCGCTAACCAAACGCTATAATACACTCTTTTCCTTTCCATTCTTTTCATTCATCCAGGGTATTCATCATAATCTCATAACTTAAACAGCAGAGGTTCCGTTCTCAGGAGTCTCCTCAGGCCAGACATCGTAACCGAAGGTATCCTTCATGTTGACAAAGCGAGTATGTCGGCCCTTGGCAACACTCTGGATAGCCTCAAAGTCCTCGTCAGACAGGTTGGGAACCTGGAAGTTGCTCTCAATTCGAGAGGGTGTTGAGCTCTTGGGCAGCACGGCATAGCCGCGTCGCAGACCCCAGGCGAGGAGCACTTGAGCGAGGGTGTTACCGCTGCGCTCGGCGACGGCGTTGAGGGTCTCGTTGGTGCGGACCTTCTCACCAGTAGTGGGGACCTGGTTCTGGGATCCGAGGGGAGAGTAAGCGGAGGGGAGAATATCGTTCTCCTGGCAGAACTTAACGAGCTCCTCGTTGGGCAGGAAGGGATGGATCTCGATCTGGTTGACAGCTGGCTTCACCTTGGCGAAGGACAGCAGCTTCTTGAGACCCTCGATGGTCCAGTTGGAAACGCCAATAGCACGGGCCTTGCCGCTAGCATAAATCTCCTCCATGGCGCGCCATGTGGGCTCAGGGTTCTCAGTGAGATCCTTCTTGATGACGTACTTGCCATCTGGTCCAATCTTGGGCTTGTAGTCCTCGTCCTTCTCAGCAGCGATGGGCCAGTGGACAAGGAAGAGATCAATGTAGTCGAGGCCAAAGTTCTTGAGGGAGTTCTCGAACGACCACTTGACCTCCTCGGGCTCGTGGAGGTGGTTCCAGACCTTTGTGCAGATGAAGATGTCCTCACGCTTGACATCCTTGTTCTCGGCGAGGAAATCCCTCACTGCCTGACCGACCTCACCTTCGTTGAGGTAGAACCAGGCGCAGTCGAGGTGTCGGTAGCCGACCTTGAGGGCGCACTTGACGGCATCGTAGGTCTCGCCTTTTGCGCCCTCGTTAGCAAAAGTGCCGAAGCCCAGGCCGGGCATCTTGACGCCATTGTTGAGGGTGAATGTGGTCTTGTTTGAGACGGCCATGGTGTAGATGTTTGGGTGAAGTTTGGGTGTGAGTGATGGGTATGTGAGTAGGTGAAAGATAGGGAGTGAGAATCTTGACTAGCGAGGGGCAGTTTTACAGATGAACGGCTTTTAAAGGGATTAATTAATGATAAAATATCTCAATTGACGTTTCGTCAGTGGAGAGGTACCAATGCTGAAAACTCTATACGAAACGGCAATTGTATGGATGGCACGTTTTTACTGTACAGTACATACTTGATGAGGTGGCTGTCATCCATCATCCACGGTCATGGTTTTTTCGCCGAGGCCGCGCGAGGCGAGTTTGGGTCAAGGTGGTCATTGACGTCATGTCCTGAATTGGGAAACTTCTAGAAAGGCTAAGCTAGACCAAACGGGAGACTCTTACAGTAACGAATTTTCACGCCGATGGAAAATTACTGAGGCTGTTCCGTTTTGCCAAGAACTGTGGTGTACGTACTGTGCCAGTACAGTTACTTGATCGCCCCTCGCTTCAGCTAAGGCACTGTACTGCATGTAGAGTTTTCGTCCAAGGAGAGCTACGTGGACAAAGACTTGAGTCAGGGAAATGTGCAGCGACCAACCAGAAGAGCAAGAGTTGAAAAAAGTAATCTTATCACTTGAAAATTGGAGCCGCAAGTGGCGATCCTTTCAAAAACGTCCCTTGAAATTTGAGGTACGTTTCGAGACGAGAGGCTGAATGCTAGCAATACCCGCTCTAGCCGTATTTTCTTCAGTAACGGTATCCACCCCAAAAAGACGGTCGACGAGTCTCTAGGGTCCCTGTTCGGCAGTGGAGACAAGGATGAAGGATGATGTCAGAAATGAACCCTTGGCATGCATTTATCGTCTTCTCCAATTTAATTCCCGTGCAAAAACAGGCACCGCCAGAAGTCATCTCCACTGGCAGTCCACTTGGTGCGGACTCTTCTCGGCCAGCAGCTCCAAGATAGCGAAGCGATAATGAGGCCTCGAGGTACTTTTATCGCTGAGGCATATCTTTCTCGAATGGTGTAACTTGCTAAGAGGGGCTGCGGAGTCAATCTTGACACAAACCTCACGTCACCTCTGCTACGAGCTATGACGACTGGCTCAAAGTTTAACTCTGCCTCCTCGTGTACCTAGGGGCGTGCGTAGAACTCATATTTTTCACACTGCTTGTCGCGGGAAAACGGGAAGAAACGGTTCAAACGTGTCGTCTTCCAGTCCGTTCTTTGGCTCTCTAGACTAGCCCTTTAGATAACGGATATCCCATGTACTGTATGTACTGACAACAATTGCATTGACGGTGAACGCCCGAGATCCACTTCGGTAGCGCCGTTTGACAAGAGGAAACATGGACTTTGTCTTGAACGGACGAGACGTTCCCGGGAAAAAAAGGGAAAAGTGAGAAAAGATGATGATATCAACAAGAAGGGCGAGTTTTCACTGAATCTCACAGTATCTGGGAGAACCCTCAAGATAGATAAATACGGATCCCCGCCCCATTTCTCTTGTCCATCATCTCGATCTCATACCATCATCATACCCAAGCAGTCTTCCCTTCACTCATACTTGATACCCCCCCGATATAACCCAATCCACGACTGTCTTCTTTCCCTCTCTAACTTGACATTCATCTTCACCTTCGTATCGACTGTCTTTCTTGTTCATCATGCCTGCCTACGACGACAACGAACTTCACACCCCAAACTCCCCCAGCACCCTCCGCAAGATGTCAAACATGAACAATGGCGAGGGTAACGGCGAGGGCCACCACGATAGCCTGGCCATTCCCGGCGACGATGTCAACGGTCCTCAGGAGATCCCCGCTACCAGGTCCTCCATCTCAGAGGCCGCAAAGTACATGCACAACCTCAGCGTCTCGCCCTCAATGAGGGACCGACGATCCTCCCGAAACTCCTTCGGTACTGCTCTGCCTATCCCCCGCAAGCGCCAGTCGCGCCTCTCCTCCGTTCACCATGCGGACGGACGACCCACCCGTCCCGGCATGCCCCCGATCCAGCCTACCCGAGAGCTCCTCGTCGCTCAGGTTCAGGACCTCCAGGCTGAGAAGGTCAAGAAGGCCAAGAACATGGCCTTCGCCTTTGACATTGATGGTGTTCTCGTCCATGGTGATCGTCTGATCCCCGAGGGTAAGAAGGCTCTTGAGATCCTTAACGGTGACAACGAGCTTGGCATCAAGATCCCTCACATCTTCCTTACCAACGGATCTGGTAAGATCGAGAAGGATCGCTGTGCGCAGCTCTCCAAGATCCTTGGCAACCCTGTCGAGACCGACCAGTTCATCCAGTCTCACACTCCCATGAGTGCTCTGGCTGAGTACTACAGCACCGTCCTTGTCGTCGGTGGTGAGGGTTACCGCTGCCGTGAGGTCGCTGAGCAGTACGGCTTCCGCAACATCGTCGTCCCTAACGACATTGTCGCCTGGGACCCTACCATTGCTCCTTACCGCGTCTTCACCGAGGAGGAGCGCGCCACCTCTCGTCCCCGTGACTTCACCAAGATCTGCATCGAGGCCATCATGGTCTTCTCTGACTCGCGAGACTATGCTACCGACATGCAGATCATCATGGATGTCCTTCGCGCAAAGAACGGTCGTCTCGGCACCGTTGCTGAGGACCCCGTTGCTGAGCGCGTTCCCATCTACTTCTCCCAGGGCGATCTTCTCTGCCCTACCGAGCACCCTTACCCTCGCATGTCCCAGGGTGCTTTCCGCATCGGTCTCGAGGCTATGTACAAGGCCCTCACCGGTGCTGACCTCGAGCGTGTTGTCTACGGCAAGCCTGAGTTGGCTACCTACAAGTACGCTGACGATGTTCTGACCTCATGGATGGGCGAGCTCCACGGCGAGGAGCGTCTTCCCGAGCACATCTACATGATCGGCGACAACCCCGCGTCCGACATCATCGGTGGAAACATGTACGGGTGGAACACCTGCTTGGTGCGCACCGGTGTTTTCCAGGGCGGAGACAACGACGAGAACAACCCCGCCAACTTTGGCGTCTTCCCCAACGTTCTGGAAGCCGTCAAGAAGGCTCTCCGCAACGAGCTCGGCCAGGACTTCAAGTGCTTCTTCGACGAGAAGATCAACCCCGTCCTGCACGGTGACGCTACCGACGCCGCCGCTGTCGTCTAAGCGTGCGACAATGACATTTTAACGAAACTTTGTTTTTATTTTATGGCGTTTGGATTGGGGGAATTGAAAAGTCTACGACGAATTTGAACCCATGGATTTTTGACTTTTTGGCATAGACCAGCGATAGAATCTTGATATCAATAGCATAGATTGAATTGACCAAGTTGACACTAGGCGGACGCGTCTGAGTGTGTCTTGGGGAATTGCCTGGAGCAGTTCAATTGAAAGCAAATTCTGAACTTTTTCATGTCGTGCATCGTGAATGCGACCGGACCGTGATTGAGTCGTGCCTCAATTGAGATGGTCTATGTACCTGCAACCATTCTCTCTGCCTTGGCTGCCCTGTAGGCCCTGTACCTTTACTGTCCTTCACTGTGCCTTGTACCTGCAACTCGCAACCACCAAGAAATTTTCCCCGATCGGCAGCGATACCCGCCCTGAACCAGGCTGCAAGCGTGGGTACAAGGAAAATGACAAGTTGGTTGCCAGGGTTGTGATCTCGCTCTTGGCTGCTCATCTGGGATCGGCACAGATTCAAGGCAAGTGCCGAACTCAAAAGCAAGATCAGCAGAGATGAAAACCTGGAAAGCTTCATAAGATCAGCGATACATATTTCTCAAGCGACACTCTTTTGCACCGTCGAGACCGTTTTGAATCGTAAAGACCGTTCGGTCAGCAACGTAAAGTGAGGAGTTCGAGTGGGTGGATGCAACGATGTCATGGCGTCAGCGGGGAGTTTTAGGCCAGTTTCTAGGGGTTGGTCCACTATCACGAAAATAGCCCAGTTCAGGTGGACATGTGAAATACGACATCATCAGCTTCTCCTCCGAGTCGAGCTTCAGTTGCGTTCTTGAGGACGGGCTCATGGAGCAGTTCAGAATAATTACAATTACCTCGTGGCGGACCAGAGTTTGTAAGCAGAAATCGGATTCAATGAAGCTCTCGTAAGCTTACTCTGTCAATCGTGCGCTCGCCAATCGCGCCTGTGCCGCGTTTCGCTACAAGCAAACGCGAGGTTGAGCCATTAGGCCAAGACATCAACAATGCCTCATCAATTCCTCGACAGGACAAATCTTACGTGTAGAATTCGTCCGAGAATAAGGCCACTTTGAGTGATTGATTAGATGATTTGAGATAGATGGCAGGGTAGTTCAATGATAAAAGCCGATAGTCTGCATCAATCAGCTCATTTCTCAACATCCAGTCTCAGTCAATCATCGTGCACCGAGAACTATTTATCAGCGTCTAAACAACACACCAAAATCATGGTTCGACTTCTATCAGCTCTCATCTTAGGAGCCCAGCTCATCTCGACCGTGACGTCTCACTCAATTCCTCATTCTCGAGCAGGACAATACCCTTACCCTGTACTCGGCACAGATGAGCCAGCAGACTGGGCGACAACCGGCTATTTCATCAATCATTTCGCCATATATACTAGAAATCTCACTGCTAGTCTTGACTTCTACTCCAAAGTCCTCGGCTTCCGCAAGATGTTTACCCTGCACGTCTCCAAAACATACTCCATCACCTACCTAGCTCACGCCCATGGCGGCAAGAACGGAACAGGCTATCAAACCGCCCTCGAGTTGAACCGCGAGAAGAATAATGCCCAGGGTCTTCTCGAGATTTACTACCTCGATATTCCTACCAAGAACATCGAGTCTAGCTCTCAGCACCCCAACACCTTTGCCCATATTGGGCTTGTTGTACCTGATGCCCAGGCGATACAAGAGCGTCTGGAGACGATGTCCGATGTAAAGATTGTCAAGAAATATGGAGAGAAGTTTACTGAGCTCACTGACGATCTTGTGATTGGCCCAGCTGTTGGTTTGCCGCCAGCTGTTGTTGCTCAGTTGAGTCTGGAGGAGAGGGAAGCGATTGTTCAAGGACTTGGACCTAGTGTCGATCCGCTGATCTTTATTGTTGATCCTGATGGGAATTTTATTGAGATTCAAGGTGAGGAGGGTGCTGAGTTGGTGCAGGGATGAGTGTGAGTTGCACAAGAGTTGAAGAGAGTAGGGGGCATGTGACTGGAAAAGGCGTGTGCAGGATAGTTGGGTAGACAACAAGATCCTGGGCTCCTTGTACTGTCGTTTCAGAAACATAAACCATTTACGCAAGAGTACAATAAACCGTTTATGGCCGCTGTTGGTTTGATATTAATTTGAGATATGTTTATTTACGAATGGTGGGAACGACAGTGCATGGAAGCCACCGGACCAAGAGATACAGTAAGCCGCCAACATGGGAGAGGACTTTCAGTAGTTTCACAGGCCTGTCCTACCTGAGAAATCTTTTAATAGTCGCAATAAAGAGTTAAATCCTCCTAGTAGCCCTACGAAATTATACACCTCCAAGCTAAGGGCCGAGAACGCTTTAGACTTGCCACCCTTGGGCCAAACCCCACGTGTTTCTGCAAGTTCAGGCACTAGGTCTTCTAATAATCACGCAACAGATCCAATGGTGTTCAGTTAATATATTCCGAAGCTTCGATAGGTCGCCAAGGTCAGTGCCCCTGCATTATCGGCACCAAATAAGCTGCCGTTCCTGAGTCCCCCGCAGTTTCCGTGGGTTGTTCTCCATCAGCTCGGCACAGCAGAAATAGACTTGAACTGAATATTTACATAGAATCACAAGCCAGTGATGTCCAAATTTTTGTTTTCTCAATATGCCATACTAGTCAGCTATCATTCACACACACATGGAGGGTCCCCTCAACACCAACACCGCAAGGCATGCCAAATTCAGACCCTTCCGCCCCCAACTCAACAGCAACACAACCAGGCTGTCGAAACCACCCGCAATTTCACCCTGCATACGACCTCAATCAAATGCCAAAAAGGCGGTCAACGGTGCATCCGAGCCACGTAGCTGTTGGAGTACATATATATGCAGGCAACCGGTTGATCAGACCCAAAAGGGGTTGGGCATTGGGGTTGGGCAATTTGGAGACATGAGGGGTCAGAAAAAACACCAAAAAGGGAGCGAAAAATGTAGTTGCGATGAAAATAAGTCATCAAGCGGCTCTGCAGTCATCATGTGTCTCAAAGGCCCAATTCCCGGTTCTTCATTTCTGCTCACACAAATCCTGAGGCAGCCTCCATCTCGCAACGTTTCTTTGCTTTATTCCTTTTTGAGTACCGTACCGTAAGGTAGTCTATTCCTGTGCTCCTCACGCTTTGGCTGTGGTATACCAGGAAAGGTAAGTCGACTCTCTGCTGTCCAACGAGGCGCGATTGTTTGACGCGACACTGTCTGACTGTTAGCTGCACAGCTAAGACAAAGTCTCACCACCTATCGGTCATCATCTCTCGATCCCGTTACATCGAGCAAAGCCCCCCAAGCAAAAGAGTATTGACAACGTCACATCGACTGGACAGTAGGCCTGCCCCTGTCTCAAGCTGGGAAGGAATGACCGTCTGCTGGGTCCATCCCGCCCGCCGACAAGGACTTCAGAAGGCATCGTCAGTGACTAGAGAGAGGGTCACGTAAGACCGAATCCAGAGAACGACCATACGGTCGACCGAAACGTACCATTCACTGCCTGTGATAATGAGAAGAGCTACCTCTCATCGCGGCGCTGCATCACAAGAAAGGCCATATCCCTGCATCATCGCGGATAGGTTCCCAGGGAAATGCAAGAAGAGTTTCAACAACATAGAAAAGCTCAAGTAAGTCAGACATCTCGTCCCAACCCCCAAACATGCTAACAAGCCTCAGTGAGCATATCAAGCGATGCCACAGTCCATTTCTCTGGTGCAATGATTGCCTGAAAAAGTTCAACAGCTCCATGAGCCGCGAGGCTCTGGAACGCGAGAAGGAATACCACAAGGCGATATGCCCCAAAAAGCCTTCGGAGAAGAACAAAGCCCTCAGGGAGAGGGCTTACATCATTGACGAAGCTCGATACGAGCGTTGTACGAAACTCGGATGGAAGCAGACTGCTGCTTCACATGAACTCGACAAAAACAACGGAAAAAAGGAATGCGTTTCTCAACGGAGCTGGAGACAGATCCGTGACACTATCTTTCCGAACGATACCGTAACTGTGGACGAGTCTCATGAGCTTGTTGCCAGAGTCGAGAACGAGACGAGAAACGAGATGTTCTTGGCGCAGTTCCAAGACAGAAACTCACATGTCCCGACACAGATAGAGATCAGCACGATCTCTCAGCCGCCCCCAACGGCTGATAACACGTCTCACTTGTCCACAATCCTGTCTGAGGTGACTGCCCCTCTGACAGGTCCAACGACGATTGCTTTCTCTGATCCTGGACCGGATGGGAAAGACGACATGTTTGGGTTTCTTCCACGAGAGATGGAAAATTTGGATTATGTATTACCACCAATCCCTAATTTCCAAGAATATGAATTTGCAGACTCTTTGACTGGTACGGGAGAATGGGATACTGGAAACCCGGGTCCAGAACAGGAACTTGACATGGATTTGGACCAGTGGTTTAAGTAAATATACTCAGAATGATAGAGAGCAATGAGAAATGTATGGGTCAGATTGTCAATTTTCATGGAGGAGTTTAAACTGGAATTTTTCTGAAAGAATGGACACAACTCAGCTTTATATAACAATATTAGATAAGACCGATGACTTGAGAGTGATTCAACATGAATGTGCGAATTACCATGCCGCGTGTTTGCTGACTTGAGACCATCTAATTGTGATTTGGGCTGAAAGGGATGGCACAAGTGAGTAATCGATATGCTGTGCGTCTACCACGATAAAGCTGCACGTCATCATGTAAATTACAGTAAGCTGAAATAAAACATTGTATTGGCTCGGCTGTATGTTGTGCAGACTCTTGATCACCAGTTAACTGATGACTGTCCTCGTGAACTTCTGCACGCAACCTTTGAGGTAGTCAACAGGGATAAGTGACAAGGGCGCGCAACATGACATCTCACGCCTTTAATGCAGTTCGCTTTAATGACATATGCTGTATCGGTGGCTACTCCCATCAGATCATCAAAAATCTCGACGTTGTTAAGATATCCGATCTTCGGAGTCAAGGTTCGGCTCCTTCCGCCTGGGCGTACTTGACATCTCTTACTAAATAAATTAAGTGGGCCTTCAATCGTCCTAAGCCAAAGTCAACTTCGCCTCCTCACCAGCATTTCTTTACTCTCAAGTCCGCGCCCTACGGATACATTCATCCGAGAATAGACGCTATGCGTGTTGATAACGTTGATATGGGTGATACTAACGATTCGGAGCACCGTGCCCCTCCCGATGCAACCTCCAGTGGGGGGCCCTTTTTGGACTTGGATGCATTGGCCTTTGATCCTGGTGCACTCGAATCGAATGCATATGAGCCTACTTTTGAGAATGGATCAGAGGGAAATGAGTTTGAGTTCAACTTTGACGATTTATGGTCTGTGGATATGGCTCAACTCCCTCTTGCGGCAGATGACACCGATTTCACACAGACCCATCAGCTTCAAGAAGATACCAGCTTGCAACATGATGGCCTACAGCGCCCAGGGTCTGATCAACTCGCACTCAACTTCGGGGATCTCATGAGAAACATTTCAGAGTCACCATCGTCAACTCAATCACCAAACATCCTTACTCCGCCAATCCCTTCTCCCCTTCCCCCAAAGATCGGTCATCGCTTCACCCTCGATGCCATCCGCTCATTGAAGGACTGGTTCGCTCGAAACACCGACAACCCCTATCCAAATGAAGAAGAGAAGAATATGCTGGAGCTCCAGACCGGCTTGACTCGAACTCAAATTACAAATTGGCTAGCAAATGCCCGAAGACGGAGAACTACTACCGATAGCGGAACCCAGACGGCTTCGGGAAAGTCTGGCAAGGTTCCATCTGAGTACACGCCAACACGAGCTGGTACTCCCATCCCGAGAAGACGATCTGAGAAAGGAATGCATCCTTTGCAGAGATGGGTTGACTCACCACCTGAGAATGAACCAGCTGCGGTGTCTGCTATTGCACATGCGATGGCTTCGGGTGAATTAGTCACATCCAGTACGTTACTCACCCAAACTAGAAACCGAGTCTGACAAGAACAGGAAGCCGAAGCCGAAGAGGGACATTCTCAAGTGACGAGAGAATACCCCGAAGGCGTGGCCATAGATCAACCACGAGCAGTCTTGGAACATCAAGAAGTGCATCAACAGACTCACGTTCTTCACGAGGCTCCATCAGTGGTACCTCATCACACAGCCGTGGCAGGTCGATCCAAAAACGAAGACCGCAGAAAACATCACTTATGAAACCCCGGCTCACATTTCAATGTACATTCTGTACTGAAACATTTAGTCGGAAATATGATTGGCAACGGCATGAGAATTCATTGCATCTGTCTTTGGAACGATGGGAGTGTTCCCCCGACGGCCCAACAACCACGGATCCAAATACTGGCCAAGCCATCTGCCTGTTCTGCGGTGAGAGTAGCCCAAGTAGTGAGCATATAGCTGGTCATAACCCATCTGCATGTCAGGAAAGGTCATTTAGCAGGAAAGACCACCTCAAGCAACATCTGCGCCTCGTGCACAACGCTAAATTAACTGACCTTTCTATGAAGCTATGGAGGACAGCACAACCAGATATCATTTCGAGATGTGGATTCTGTCAAGCTTCCATGACTAGATGGATTGATAGAGTTGATCATGTTGCGAACCATTTCAAGATGGGTTGTACGATGAATAATTGGGTTGGCGACTGGGGGTTTGAGGATGATATATTGAAGACTATAGAGAAGGCTTTGCCACCATGTAAGTAAATTGAGACGCTTTGAGGTATTTTGCTAACTTGTATCAGATTTGGTAGAATTGGAACGCGGAACTCCATTCCCCTTCGCAGCGAGTGGCAAGCCACCTGATTCTCCTCGAAGTGCATACGAGCTCATCACGCTAGAGTTGGCATATTTTATTTCTAATCATAGCGACACTATTGGGAGTCTGCCGAGTCACGAAAGTCTACAACTGGAGGCTTGCCGCATCATGTTTGCCTCTGAAGTAACGTTTCCTGAAGCGAACCTGGACTCTCACGGCAGTCCATCATGGTTCAGAGACTTGCTTCTGTCCTCTGACGAGATTGCTCAACAAGCTCGCTTCGCACCGATTCGATCGAGTACGGAGAGTAGACTTTCTGTGTTGAGAGTCAAGGGCAAGAACTCGTTGTTTGAGGAGTGTCCACTGGAGTCACGACTGCAAGCGTTCATGCGTGATCGAAGAATGAGGGGGTTATCTGAGGTATCAGATGGAGAACTACAAAAAGAGGCGGGTCGCATTTTCATGCAGATGGAAAGCGAACTTCAAACGAAGCCAGAATTTGTGGCTAACTGGTTGATTGGGTTTCTGTATAACTCGACGAATTGGATAAGCGACTTTCGGCGGCGTGCAGACCTGGTGTCAGCCGATGACAGCTGGAAACTCCCATCGCCAGGTAATATAGCATGGTCTACTGAGCCGACAAGTGTCCAGACACAGCATGATCTATCTTGGGTGAACAACCCGTCTCTCTTTGACGGAAATGGTTGGTCTTTTGGAGAGCAAGCTGGGCCGTCGGGCGCAAGCATGACCTGGCAAGCAAACGAACCAGACAAGAACGCTGATCAATCCACGTTTGATGCATCACTCGATGACTTTACATGGCTTTGGTCAGACGACAAATCACCACCTAAAATACCACAGACGACCCCGAGTCCTGGAGCAGAAGGGGAGTCAGGCCTCCGACCGACGTGGCTTGGTCCGGGGATCTATGTCTTGAATGACCCGAATCACCTCCCCTGGTTTGCTCGTGAGATGAAGAGATGGGTAAAAGCCGCCATGTCACCGAATAACCCGATCTGTCATGTTCCTTCGGATGAGGAGCTTAGACATCAAGCTCGATGTCTGCTTTACAATGAGTAAGTCCGCGCCCTCTTGTCATTTGATGCATCTAACTTACCCTGTCAGTGACGATCCTTGGAACCAAACACCTGCTGACCACGCGCAATGGTTGGAGATGTTCAAGAAGGAGGTTGGAATTATTTAAAACACGGGTAAGAGGATCCCTACACGTACGGGAGAGGACTGTGATAGCGATGCGAGAACCCGCCACCGCAGCAGGCCATGAGAGGGCAGTCTATGGTTGGAAAGGCTTCTGCGCACAAAGCGAATGGAAGTGGACATAAGCATGCACCGAAGGATCCTTCAAGTCCTTTCGAACCTTGACAAGGAAGACTTCAACCTCTTCAGGCGTCCATCCCAAGGCTCGAGTGAAGGGACCGATGGTGATTGCGTACAGACCATCATAGATGACACTCCTGTTATAGAGTCCAATCATCTTGAGGTTGGAGTCCTTGGGCCACGGTCCGACTGGCACCTTCTTGATCTCGTGGCGGATATTGACGAACCCAGCGTCGTGCAGTCTATCGGGGTTCTTCTCGGCAGCGTGCATCTCGATGCCTGACTTGGCGAGGGCAGCTCGAATGTTGGCCACCATTTGCGGTGGGGTAAAGTCGGGACGTAGTGTTCCGTCGTCGCATCCGTATACCCATCGGAATTCAGGAAGCTCGATCCATCCTCCTGGTTTTAATGCGCTGGGCATGTTAGTGGGAGCCTTATAACGGACGTGGGAGTGTTACCGGTAGATCTGCCCCAGCAGCGCAGGCCAATCCTTGATTGCCGTGGACATGTTGCGCAAATGGACAAGGTCTATTGAGTTTTCGGAGTATAGCCACGGTGCTTCGGCGTCGTCGACGAGGAATCGAACATTGGGAGGAACCCACGGTGGTTGAATGGGACTGAGATCAATCCCAATGACTTCGGCGCTGGGATATTCGTCGCCCACTACAAGGCATCAGCATTCTTCTTTCCGCCTCGATTATTTCGCGTACTATCAATTGCCCAACTTCCAGTTCCTGTCCCAATATCGATGATCTTCTGAGGATGGTCCAAAGGCGCATTATGCAACTTCCCACCAAGAAGATGCACCGCGACCGTATGCTTCATGTCCTCTCTTTCTTGTTCGGGTAGATCGTTTGGGAATTGGTATAAACCCTCTTTAAATTTATGGTATCGTCGACTATTCTCGAATTGATAATCGCGCACGCTCGAAGCCAGAGATGACGACTGTGCGGAAGGCGCGGCTGAATCGTAACCATCATCCGTTGCAATATCATCGTTGGTTGGAGGAGGTGGGTGATCGGGTTCAATTGGAGGATCGTGTTGTTGTAGCTCGGGTACTTGATACGATGGATTTGTCGTGGGATCTGTTATATCAGCCATGACGAATCAATTGATGGTGAAGAAGTTGAGGAGAATGCCTGGGGAAGTGGAGTTCCTATCTATTAGTGACTGTCCATCCCCATTTCTTGGTTCTTAAGTGATATCGGGGCGGGAGATCAGCAGCCCGTGACGGCGGATCACTGCCCGTCTCCGCCTGTTACTGCAACCAACCCCACCACGAGCGTTTTTCTGCTGTTGTATCACTCAGCTTATCTTATGCTGTTGGTCTAGACAAACAGCAGCCACAACTGATTCTCATTGCTTGGCGTGTCGTTTATGCTTAATTGGTTAGACGTCATGGAACCTTTTAAACTCTTCCTGCAAGACGGCACAGTGCTCTCTGGAATATCCAACATTCCGTCGTCGCCGTCAACTTTGAAGCATGGACCGTTGGTGGTTGGACTTCACGGGGGGTGCTATACGAGCCACTACTTTGATGCTACCCCAGAATACTCAGCGAGGGGTATCAGTGAAGCACTCTCTGTGCCGTTTGTGGCTATAGATCGACCGGATTATGGAGATACTACGCCCGTGGGTAGTATTCCCGAAGGATCGAGCTATCCTGAACAATGGGGACGAAGACTCCATGAATCCATTCTCCCAGCCCTTTGGAAAGAGTTTGGATTAGCCAATGCATGCACATGCATCGTTCTTCACTGTCACAGTCTCGGAGCCAACGGCGCAATCGTCACATCATCCCTGCACGCAACCTCCTCATCACCTGCATATCCCCTCGGCGGTATCGTCATATCAGGCTTTGGCTCCCTGTTACAAGACACAGGCGGCCATGTTTCGCAGCCCGATCCTCCACCCTTGTATTTGAACATCCCTGTCGAAGTAAAAGACAAGACTTTGCTTCTTCCAGGAACGGCAGACGAAACTGTTTATGCACAGTCTGAGCGTCTCGACCACGCCATTCCTTTTGAGGAACTTGCGGCTTTGAGAAAGTCTTGGTTGGGGGAGTGGAAGGAGAAATGGGGAGTTACTGTTACGGTGCCTGTTATGATTGCTTTGGCGGAGAGAGATCATTATTGGGTTGCTACGGAGGAGCATTTGAAGGATTTCAAAGAGGGGTTTCCGAAGAGTGAGAGGGTGGATTTGAGTGTTGTTAAAGCGGCACCGCATAATCTTGAGTTGAGTTATTGGGGTCCTGGGTGGTATGCGAGGAGTTTTGGGTTTGCGGTTGAGTGTGCGGTTTCACTTGCATTAGAGAAGTGAGGTCGAGTTGATCTATGTTTTATATTTATACCATACACGATGGACGGAGCCTAGATCATTAAATTCTTACAAAAGTGTACGCGTTTTCCATACATCATACGTTTATTAAGGTGGCTTATATCATCGTTCATACAAGGTAAAGACTTGAGATTTGGCTGGAAATGAATTATCTTATGGTATTATCGAATCTCTAACATACATTACTATTCGATTCCAGTGCCTGTATACTTGATACGGACTGCGAGACTATTTTGAATTGGTTTTCCATGGCATTGGTCGAATGACCTGACTCATCAGTCGAAAGGCGCGCCCCTCATTGTCCAACTCGGAGATAAAAGGAAAAGAGTTCATCAACCTAATTCTCGATACTTCTCACTGCAAGCCTCGAAAAGCTACCATGAGTCAAACACCACCTCCGAATGTTTTGGACGCCTTTGGTGCAGAGGGCTCTCTGATACACGTCCCAGGTGGTCGAGGTCTCTGCTATCGTACTTCGCAAAACATCCTTCTCCGACCATCAGACGATGGCAAAGAATCCGAATACATCGCAATCCTTTGCAAATCTCTCCTTGAGCTTCGTCCCATCGACTACCGCGTCCCTAGGCCAATCCCAGCTTCAGAGTTTTCTGCGAGATATGTTTGTAGTGGCTGGACGGCCTGGGAATATCTTGAAGGGAAAGCAACTCCTCAGGGAAACTTTGATATTCTTATGAGAGCTTGCCGTGCCTTTCATGCTGATGCCATGGGATTGGCTACTGAGAAGCCCTTGTTTTTATCGACGAGACAGGATCGATTTACAGAGGCAGATCTTGTGACTTGGGAGGAAAAGAAACTCGAGGATGTCGAGGAGATCAACAGCGATGTTATGGCTACTATTCAAACAACCCTTGACCAACTTCTGAAGCTACGACAACCATTTCGACAGGAAATCACAAATCACCTTATACATGGCGACTTAACCGGAAATGTCTTATTCGACTCGGAAAACAACAGCCCTCCGGCAATTATCGATATCACGCTTTACTGGCGACCAGTTGACTATGCAGAAGCTATCATAGTGGCAGACGGGCTCATCTGGCTGAACGAAGATCGAAAGTTGGTTGAGATGTTTGGCACTGATCATACAAGGATCCAGCTCCTCGTGAGAGCCTTGTACTGGCGGTGCTTGTGTTTTGCTATTGATCCAATTCTCCCCTGGGTAAACGATAATCTTCCAAAAGCGAACTTTAAAGAAGCTATTGAGATTGTGAGGGAATTGATAGGCGAATGCATTTGAGATAATGAGAGATAGGTTGCTGGGTGCTTGCTCTTGATACCGTACACAGAGCGTATGAATACCAGGATGGTTTTAAAGGTGCTCATGGAAGCTTCATCATTTCTAGAATGGTATTGATAACTACCTATGGACAATTCAGGCGGCTCAAAGCATAGATTCCGGCTTGTCTTTGGATATGGTCTGGCACATGCCGTGGAAGAACTCCCGCATGCCCAACCTGGTAAGCTAAGCCTGTTTGCTGTAGCTTGATGCCTGATAAGCGGCGCATTTTTCCTCCGTAGAATTAAATATTAAGCTTATTTCTCACGCACTGTCTCCCCTTTCATCCATTGGTTCATCACTGTCAGCATCGATTGCCAAGCAGGGAATCCCACGCTTACATAACACGTCTGCCCGTCATCTTCCATCAAGGGATATCTCACCCCCGTTACCTAACTTTGAACAGTCATCAAACAAAAATGGTCGGTGTTCCGAGCAGCCGCGGGTGCAACTCATGTCGAAAGGCAAAGAAGAGGGTATGTACGAGTTATTATGATCTTGGAGATGAAGCACCGACTAATTAGATAAGTGTGATCAAAAGCAACCAAAATGCGGTCGCTGTATCAGACTTGGTGAGGAGTGCGTAGGCAGTGGGACAAGACGCTTCAAATTTCATCAGTACAAGCCCGACGTACAGACTACACAACTTATCACGCCTCCTGCTGAAACACCTAGCAACGATACGACTAGACTGACCGCAGAGTTTATATCGCTTATGGAGATTGATGATGATCGGTTTGGGTTTGAAGCCTACGGTCCTTATTTCTTTGCAGATCTTCCTCGACGTATTGGGTCGAATCCTGCTCTCGATACTACCACTTCTGCCATGATTGCATCGTTCCAAGCAATACGTCTGCGGAAGACTGCTGATAAAAAGACTTTCTCCCTGTATGGGAAAGCACTGAGATCCTTGCAGGTCTGTTTGAGTGATGATGGTCAACCAGTTATGCTTAAGCTGGAGCTCGTTTTGATGATGATGCTGTGCCAGGTAACTATACCCGTTGAAACATTTTGGCTTCGTCCATTACTGATATTGTTAGGTCTGGATTGATAACAAACACGCCAACAAGCATCGAGGGGTGATAGCGTATTTGTTGAAAGAAGCTGTATCTCAAGGCGAAATACTTCACTCAGGTGATATACGAGCCTGGTGCTTACAAGCGGTAAGGCCTAGATCTACTTGTCCACAACTAGACTGACAAGAGAGATCAGATATACGCCGCTCTATGCGACCCAAAAGTTGAACTCGGCTCATGGTTCTGGGACGTAGCCGTCCAAGACACTATCATGACACGACCATACCACTACGAACAGAACCTCTACTGCTTCGAACTCGGAGCAATAGGAGATTTACCTGTGTTTCTTCGAGATCCAGAGAGATATCTCTACCAGCTGAAATGCTACTACAATATTCTCTCTCAAGAACGACTAGTGATGAAGAAACTCTACGAAGAGGCCATGGTGGCAACGCTCTCAACGGATGCATCGCCTGCGTGTAGAATGAGAGCTATAGAGTACGCCTCCGGTCACGCAGGCCTTCTCGTCCAAGCAGCACTCATCGGCCCAACACTGAACCCCTTCGGTGTTCTCCCGGACTACACGCAAGATTCTCACGAGATATGTGATGATGCAATACTTCTTGCACATCGATGTCAGACCTTTAGACCTTGTGGAGCGTCCTACGTGCCTGAGCTCTTGAAGTTGGTCTGGGCGTCTTTGGGCGATGGATATAGACATGAGGGGCTGGAGAAGTTGATGGACGAGTATGCTGAGGATGTTCAAGGAGCTAGCTATCTTGAGGAGGCGAAAATTATGAGACTGAGGCTTGATAGTCTTGGCTGGAGCGATGAACAGCGGTTTTTGGAGGAGAGAGAGGACGGACCAGGAACACCGCCGCCATGTGTGATTTTGTGAGATGAGATGCCATGCGGGGATGTACTGGGGACATAAGAAAGAAATTGGAACAAGTAGTCCGATAAACCTACAGCCGTTCAAGATTTCACATGGCCCAAATCCAAGTCAGACGAATGTCATTCCCCAGGGTAAGTTATTTGCTGGAGGTCGCACCTGGTAAGGCATTGCTGCTAATTTTAGAACCCAATTACACCATTGATTAAGCAACAACGTTTAGCTGCACCTTTAATTCCTGCACCTCATCATAAGTCACCAAGCTAATCTCATTCTGCCTAAGCCAAATTCCCTCACTCGCACCATCTCTTCTCTTGATCATGAACATTCTTGGGAAAACATCCGCTGCGCAAAGCTTGCCCAACTGGGGGCCTCTTTTTCAGCTCCTGCAGATCGCAAGGGTGATCCCTGGGCGTCGGTGCAACGCGACCCCGCTATTAGTGATCTAACAGAAATGAGAGAGAATATCGTTGGTGACAGTTAGTGCTGTAGCTGGACCTTGTGTCAGCCACAGTGCGCCAGATGGGGTAGTGTACCCCTCCAATTCATGACTCGTTGAGCTGTTTGCCCTCGACAATACGAAAATGGAATGAAGTCCCAAGACTTTAGTTTGTGTTGGTCTCTGAGATTGACAAGATGCTAACTATATGCGAGCATTTATCCCACGATCATCATCGCCGCCCTCATAAACAGGGCAAGCAAGCATAGCCTGCGCTGTGGAGAATCCTCACCAAAAGCAAGGAAGCTCATCAAATGACAACCCTTCACGACATTACACCCACCACTGGAAACCACCAACTAGCATCTAGCGCTCTCTCAATATGTAGTAGCTTCAATTAAACCCCTGTCATGGCGGTCTCATGTCCTGGAAGCTTGGTGAGTTAAGCTTATTTCAGTGCCTATCCCCGTCGATCAGCCTTGCGGTGTGAGTCTCCCTCGGATAGCCCTACGGTATTTCAAGGCCTTGCTTTCCCAGCCCAGCCTTGGGAATGTCGTCTCTGCTCGCGTCTTCCTCTTTTGCCTCAGCACTTGCTCACCTTCAAATACTACATACCTCGTGCTCATGGCCGATAAACCCACAACCGCCCCTCAAACATCAACCATCCCCACAATGACCACCGCCGAAAAGTCATCATCCGGCTTCCTCAAAGTCATCGCCTTCTTCGACCTCGTCGTCAAACTCGCTGCGACAGGTGCGCTCATCGGAATTCTCGTGCTACTTGTGCAGTTCAACAACAACATCGATAAGCTCTTCAACGGCAGCAGGTCTCTCCCCGTTCGTGTCTCCGATGCCGCGCCGCTGCGTATCATGCCCGGTTATTCGGGCACCTTCGATGTTCGTATGACGAATAACGCGAATGACCCCGTGTGGTTCAAGGTGGACAATTAGACGGAAGATCAGACGTGTATAATGTTTTGGCGCTTCGTGGGAGTCGGTCTCATTTCGGTGGGAGATGGCGGTGGACGGTTCATTTCAAGGCCTGTAGCGTGTTAATGTTATTCTGGTGGCGTGTTATGGATCCTTACCTGCGCTGAGACTTCAATAACATATTCTCTATCTCATGATTATCATGCTAGATAGATCCAGTCTTTCACGATCTATGTTACTGTAAGAGCAAGCTAAGAGTCGCGGTGCACGACGCGACACATCCATCACGGCGGTACTTGAACTGAGCACAAAAGCGACAAGACAGCAGTCTAGAAAAAAAAAGAGTATCATTTAGCAAACACCACAAACTAAATGCGAGCTATAAATAGTCTAAGCAGATCAAATGTGAATGTCTTTCCCATGCCGTAACTGACTGATTATTCCCGTGCGCCCGTCTAAGGTAATGGTACCGAAGGAAACTCCCGATCGGGTGAAACCGTTGAAATCCGGAAGAGGGGGTTCAGGGATACACGTGACCACCCGGATCGTGACCGTTGCCGGCCCCACCCGGGCCGAGGATTTGAACGCCGAGAAAATAACGTGGGAGAAACGCCATGAGTAGTAGGAAATTTGGTCGTTGTCGAATTCAAAAAGACGCCGCTAGTGTTGTTTCTTCTTCCGTGTATATGTGGTTTTCAATTGCTTTGTGCTGGGTATTTTGTTGTGTCTTGTTGCTACGATGTCCCCGAAGTCGGCCACGCTCAAGCCTTCCATGCGGCAAGGTTGCCGAGCAAGCCGCGAACGCTGTTACGGCTCTCCTCGAGAACGGCGGTGTCTCGTGTTTGCTGTACTTTCGACTCGACGGCTTGCAGGACGCGCAAATGCTCCTTCTTGAGCTCCTCGAAGCCATCGTCAAGCTGCTTGTGCCATGGGTACAGGACACCCACCTGGAAGCTGAGTGCCGAGCCAGCGATGACAAAGTTGGTGATGGAGAGGGCGCGAGTGATGATCATGGTGACTGATTTGAAGGAGTTGTTTTTACTGACTTGTAGAGAGTAATGCAGTTGTGCGAATGAAGCTGAAGATGAAGGCTTGGGTTGGCGACAGACACGGGAAGCAAGACACAACAAAGTTACAGAAAAAAAATAGAAGAAAGAACGAAATGTGAGAGAAGAAAAAAAGAAGAACAAAGTTAAAAAGGAGTACCGACAGAAAAGAACAACAGAGAAGAATCCCCGCATACGTACGTGACATTCGGCTCGGTGTTGCCCAATTTATCCAAAAAGGTAAGGCCGCCGTAAATAAACAGGAATCAACAGTCTCGGCTCGCGTGAGCAAGGGATGGTCGAGACTCTGACAAGTCATGGAGAGTCGGACCAGGGGCTGTCAAATGAGACGCTGTCATCCGAACTCCGGATTTCACATGTCCACTGTTCTTGTGCGCGTGTCTGTTGTCACTTGTCAAAGAGAGTTTGACATTTGCCACAACTTCATGATTCCCCACAATGGCGCAGGGGTGCTGGAGTACGAGGGAGTCACTGAGTATTGGTCTCTTGAACTTGAGCTGAACTCCTGGTCGTGAAGAAGCTGTTCTTGAGGCTTGCGCATTTCGCTTAATGGTTTCGAATGTCGAATCAATTGAACAATGCTTCTACGGGCCTTCTGGACTTAACCGCCGTTAACCGTCAGTGGAGTCACTAGGACAGGGTTCCCACGTGTCGAATACAGGGCTGCATCGGTTCCTCCGACTGTCTCCATTCTTCCGTACCGATGCCGGGTCAGTGACATCTCCCGTATCCGCATCCACCTCCAAGAGCGGCTCATCTACCGGTCTTCGGTACCCATATTCCCGGGGTCGTGGATCCCGGATCCTCCAACCCATTGCTCCATCGTCAACCCGGACCGGAAGTGAGCAGCGATGTGATCTGTTCGTTCTCCCCAGCTGTCCATCATGACTTGACAGAAACCACATTTGCTTCTTATTATATCTTGTCGGTGTTGTAGCAGACTCAGGTCCGGTTTCCAGCCATCCCACTTGCGACAGCCATGAAACTTGTGAAGGTGTTGCCAGAGGTGGTCTTTGCGCGTAAACTTGCGCTCTGAAACAGGGCGTTCGGCACAGGTGTCGAATTCGTGAGCTTGAATGTGCTCGTCGCTGGGTGAGTTCTCACCACAGAAAAGGCATTGCGGGCCATCTTCACTCATGCGCCAGACTAAAAACGATTGATCTGGCGTGACAGGCAATGCGCAAATCCATGAGTCAAGACCCGGGAGATGAATTGACCGTTCATGACGAACCCAGTCGTACTTTTTCTTGAAGCTTTGTCCGCAAAATGTACATTGAAACGCGATGAACTTCTTTGTTCGTGACCTCGAGGATGCAGTCCTAGATATGGAGGGCCCTTCTACCACTGAACTACTACCAGAGCGAGAGAAGAATGCCGCATCCCTTGAACGATACGAGTAACAAGAAGATGCCGAGTTGGACGAGGCCTCTTGTAAATTAGAAAGCCAGAGAGAGTCGTTGCTCGCAGATGACCCTGGTCCATCAGACGCACCCGCGTCGCTATCCAACGAACTATGTCCACTCGACTGAGCAGCTAGAGCATTTTGGATCGCCGTCGCTGAAGCTGGTTCCTCATCGGGCGGAGAATTTTTCCAACGATCCAAGGGTGACATGTTTTTGCGGAGGTAATGCGGCATGGGGGATCCTGGTGCAAATCCTTGACGACCCCGGCCAGGCGATGCAGAGTAAGTCGAGGAGAGTCGATGGCGTCGTCTAGTATTGGCAAACCAATTGACTACTTGACTCCTGCTCAACCCTGACTGTTGAGAAAGACTGACTTTCTCTTCCTCTGATGGGTAGGGATGGTCCAGATTGGAAAGGTACCAATTTCGCAGCACCCTCGTTTTTCGCACCGATCGAGTATTCGCCCTTTTGCCCGACAGTGCTGCCATTGAAAGACCATGCGATGACTGACCTTCATCAACTGTCGCAGGTACTCCTAGGATGCTGTGCTCGCTAACGCCATGGAGGCGACCGATCACAGGCTCCGACGTCTCAAATTCCGAAGGCTTCCTCTTCTTCTGCCCTGCCAGACTGCATTCGCGGAACAAAGCAACACAGCTCGAACAACTCTTGGTAGGGTTCGGGTTTGCTACCGTAGTTTGCAAGATTAGGCATTGCAAACGAGTTCGACGACAATTGGTGCATGGAACAGGAGGACGGGATGCTCCATTCTTGACAAAGAATTCATCAATTGTGGTCATGGGCGTTTTAATAGGATCATTGGAAGCTGGCAACGGCGCTGGGATACCCCAATCTGTGGCTGGTTGATTGAGAAAAGAAAAGTCCTGATTGAGATCATCTGCGGGAGTCTCGGAGGCTGCTTTGGCCTGCTGAAAATCGGCATTCCAATCAATCTGAAAATCTGGGATTTCGGAGTTTTGAAGGTTGAACGCTTCTTGAGGGTTGATCGTCTGTAGCATGGTGTCGATATTCGCTCCCTCAGCAAGCGAATTTGAAGGACTCCGCGATTGAGGGGCTGGATCGTCAATCTGGTCGTAAGGAAGTGTCAACGCAGCATCTTCGCCGCCAGTGAACAAAATATCATCCAGTGAAAAGTCCATTGTCGCATTGAACTGAGGGCAACGGCCTCTCAACGACTTCAAAGGGTTGATGAAGAGGCATGTGAAGAAGATGTTGGAGTGTGGAGTTAGGCGAGAAGTTGCAATAACGTCACGCGTAGCGTTCGCTTGAAGCGATGTCGGGCTTAGTCACAGCCGCGATGCAAGTAACAGCGCGCACCGCCTGTTTGGGATATCCTTAACGACATTCTTTGGTGTTTTACTGCAGGTCATCATTTGTTGTTTATCCTCGAAGAATGAAGAGGTCAGCCGTTATCGCACCAATGCGCACGTCCAGTATTGTCAAGTTAACTCTGCTGTGGAAGGAAAAATAGGTAGGTACTTAGAGGGCGCTGCGCTATCTTGAATTTGATAGCCAGCCCACTGAACCTGCCCTTAATCGCATTTACAGTACTTATTTTGATGGTTTCCAAGTGGAAGTCACACAATGGGTCTTAGATAAATTGCTTCAAGTTCTTTCCCTTTTTACTGTGATAACTACCTTAACTTCCTCACAACGCAACGGTCGGTTACAGGGTGGCTGTCAGTGGTTCTGGGACGTCCAACGTGCTGCCACAACCAATGCCAAACTGGCTGTCCCTTGCAGTCGCAGTAATCAGAGCTCATTGTTCTAGTCTCTATGAAAACATGTTCAAAAACTCCGTCCGATATACAATGTGGCTGATACAATTGGCCTCACCTGCAGAACCGAATTGCGGAGCGACGCAGGAAGTCGTCTACACAGACCTGTTAAATGCGTACAGCGACGATCTAGACGCCGTATAGAATCGCCCGTTTCTGCATAATCTTACGAGCCAAGCTAGCCTACATCAGAACAGCGGCCAAACATGCGCCCGAAAATTATTGGTCTACGCTCCTGTGTTGATGGGTAATTGTGCGATATCTCAACTTCATCACAGAACCTTGAACCATCAAAGGACTATTAATAAGAAAAATGTAGATTTTTTTTTGAGACTCAAGCCCTGCGAAAGATATCAATCATTTCAGGGTGACCGAGAGCACGAATTTGAATGGAGAATATGAGACTGCTCATTGTGTGGGGTTAGTAAGTATGGAGGGCAATGTCCCTGTCGCCAGAAGGCGCATCACCAATGTTAACTTGGGCGCATTCTCTTGCAATTGTGTATATAAATGTTGCAAGAATTCTTCTGAAGACTTTGAGAACATCTCAACACTATTATCTCTCCTTCATTCATCTTCCCATCGAATCTTGTTCTGGCTTCCCCGCTCAATTCTCCACATCAAACCTTCATCGCAGTTGGAGAAACCCAGTACAAGCATCATGACCACTCGTCGACACGTCCACTTCAACTCCAAAGCCAAATCATGGACTTCACCTGAGCCCACCTCTGCAGAAGCAATTGATCGGTTTCACCAGAGTCTCCCCAATTATGAGCCAACACCTCTTGTTAGTCTGGACAGCCTGGCTAAGGAGATCGGGGTCGGAGCTGTCCATGTCAAAGATGAGACGAACCGCTTTGGTCTTCCGGCGTTCAAGATCTTAGGTGCTTCTTGGGGCGCATTCCGCTCCATAACCGAGAAGTTTGGGTTGCCTCTTGACTCAGATACTGATGCTGTCCGAGAAGCGGCAAAGTCTCATCAATTGACCTTGTACGCGGCGACGGAGGGGAACCATGGGCGTGCGGTTGCGCGCATGGGTGCTATCTTCGATGTCTCAGCTGAGATTCACGTCCCGGCGTCTATGCATCCTTCTACGGTCAAGTTAATTGAGTCTGAAGGCGCAAAAGTTGTTATATCAAAGGGTAGATATGAAGATGCGATGCTTGAGGCCGAGTCTGCGTCCAAGCATGAGAAGGGGATCATGGTTCAGGACCATGCATTCGGTGACTATCAGACCGTTCCACAGGCAAGTGATGTTTCTCTACCCATGACTAGCTTTTACTCTAACGTGTTGTTATAGTGGATTGTCGATGGCTATGGTACCATGATGCGAGAGGTTGACAAACAGCTCGGTTCTACCAAAGCTGACTTGGTCATCGCTCCTGTCGGAGTCGGATCATTTGCCCAAGCTGTCGTCTCTCACTTCAAGAGACAAGGTACATCCACCTCCACGTTGACAGTCGAGCCTGACACTGCGGCGTGTCTATGGAAAAGCCTAGAGAAGGGCGAATTCACTGAGATCCCAACAACCGGTACCATCATGGCTGGTCTCAATTGCGGAGCTCCTTCAACAATCGCATGGGACCTGCTGAAGAATGGCGTAGATGCAAGCTTGACTGTGTCGGACTACGAAGCTCACCAGTCAGTTCTGTATCTGCAATCTCAAGGCATCAATGCTGGGCCTTGCGGGGCCTCGACTCTTGCTGCGCTGAGACGGCTTACACCGGATGACAAGAAGGCCCTTGGACTCAATGAGAAGTCTACGGTGGTGATCTTCTGCACAGAGCGAAACAGAGACTATGATGTACCTCATGGTGTTTCTGGCACTGATCCAGTTGCACTTACCCAGACCCTTGTCCAGATCAACTCAGCCAGTCCCGACTTGGGCTCTGTTCCCGGACCTGGTGAGACAACCATCGCTCGGTACGTCGCTGCGTGGCTCGAACATCGGGATCTGGAGACACATTGGGTCGAATACACAAAAGGTCGCCCTTCTGTCATTGGTGTTGTTCGTGGCTCTGGCGGCGGAAAGAGTGTCATGTTCAACGGACACCTGGACACGGTCACTATCATGGGCTACGACGATGATCCATTGAGCGGAAAGATCGTTGATGGCCGTCTGTACGGTCGTGGCTCGGCTGACATGAAGGGAGGCGTCGCAGCAGGTATGATCGCGCTCGCCAATACTAAGAAGCTTGGACTTCGTGGTGATGTGATCTTCACTGGTGTTGCCGACGAGGAAAGCTTGAGTAAGGGAACGGAAGACATCCTTCGCGCTGGATGGAGAGCGGATGCCGCTGTTGTATCGGAGTCAACGAACCTCGAGATAAATCACGCGCACAAGGGATATTGTCACGTTGAGATCAAGGTCTATGGACTGGCAGCACATGGTTCACGGGCTGATCTGGGCATCGACGCCATTGTCAATGCCGGCCATTTCCTCGTGGAGTTCGGTAAATACGTGCAGAAGTTGCAGGAAGGCCCAGGCGATGAGACCCTCGGAACAGGCACTGCACACGCTTCAGTTATCTCAGGCGGCGAGGAAGCCTCGTCCTATCCCGCACAGTGCACCATCATCGCAGAGCGCCGAACAATCCCAGGCGAGACCAATGAGGTTGTCCAAAAGGAGTTTGACGACATGATTGCCAGCGTAGCAAAGGAAGTCACCGACTTCAAGGCAGAAGCCAAGATCTTCTTCAGTCGCCCGCCCCAGTTCACAGCTGAAGACCATCCTTTCACCAAGCTCGTCTCCGGAGTTGTAGGCACTGTCACTGGCAAAGATGCGGTTATTGCCGGTGCCCCTTTTTGGACTGATTGCGCTTTGTTGGCTGAGAAAGGGATAGTGCCTCTGCTCTGGGGGCCAAAGGGAGAGGGATTTCACGGAAAGGAGGAGTTCGTTCACATCAAGTCAATTGAACAAGTGGCTGAGGGATTGACCAATATCGCAGCCGAGTTCTGTAAGTAGGTAGATAGGTGATGTTTTGTACGTTGAGTGTAATTGTGGAATAGAGACCTTTGTTCTCACCCGAGTTGACACCGTGGCTCTCCCGTTCGAGGACCCCATGCCGCAGGCCAGGCTATAGAAGAGACAAATGGATCGTCTAAGCATCTGATCAACCACTGTGAAGCTAGTTTTTGGTTCTACCAGTGGAATTTATCACTGAAACAGGTGGTTCGCATCGATGAACAAACCTCCGCTGACACCGAGCCCAACGCGTATATAATGTTTCCCGTCTTATTCTTCCATCCGTCTTTTCTGTTAGAATTTTATTTTCTTCCTTCACCAGGGCTCGACAAGCCATCATCAACCTCTGGCTCTCTTCAAGTGACCCTTTACCCCCTAACAACAACTCACCCACGATGACACTACCCGTACATCCCACGACCACATCCCTTAAAATAGCACCTTCAATGGTACCAGGCAAACTAGTCGGCGCCTTGCAGCGGTATAAGGAGGACACAAACTCCGTCGCCGCTTGGCTTGCGTCAACGGCAAAGCATTATGGCTACAAGTCACAGGCGGCTGGGCCCAATGACAAGGACGCTCAGCAGAAGACTTCCGGTCGTCTCAAGGGAAAAGCCCTCAAGGAGGCAAAGAGCCAGCCTACTGGCACTAAGAATGGGACCGGCCAAAAGTATATCGTCGCCTTGAACGACGATATCCCCATGGCCGAAGACATCGCTAGACATCGAAAGCCTACCATCCCGGTACCTATGTCTTTCGTCAGCACTATCAACCGAGTCATCGACCGTAGATCTTCGTTTAAAGCATGAATGGTAGAGCAGGGAACTGATGTTGATGAAAAAGCCAACAAAAATCATCTTTACTTCGTCCGTGTACTAGAAGATAGTGCTACATACCAGGCAGAAGAACAGGACTCACTAGATGATGCATTGGTCATATGGAATTTCCTGATGGTGGACGCTGAAATAATCCGAAACCAAATCGCCTGGATTTGGAAAGGCTATTGCGACGGGAAATTCGATCTTACAGTTGCTGCAGTCATCACGGATGCTGACATCTACATGGTAGAGAGTCTTGTGGGCCAGTCATTCCAACTCTTCGACAAACACGGCGGTTATCTTCAAGTTGCGAGGACATATTTCGGCATAAAAGCCACTCAACAGGATTATTCCTCGCAGGAAATAGACGAATCCTGGAATGGCAGGCATGCAGATCATCAGCTGTTTGAACTATTCAACACCACGTTCTCTCATGCACTCACAATCATTGAGCTGCTGAGTACGATGCTCCCAAATCCGAGGGAAAGAACCCTGGATTCTTCTAAGGTGATGAGCAAGCTGAAGACTCGTTGCGGTGTGCCAGGGAGCGACGGTGCCACTCTGGAACTCAGTAGACCAGTTGATGGCAGCACGATTTTGGAACGAAGCCCTGGTATTTGCCACGAATCGTAGAGAGTGTGGATTCATGGACAGGTTCTCATCGTATATATATGAAACGAGCCAGGATCACGGGATTTCGTTCCAACTGGCATTTGCATGCCAAGTTCACCTTGACGTGTTCCATCTGATGCGGCAAGACCTACCACGAGGCTCATCGGAGTTCTACAAACATGCGAAGGACTTGAGAGACCAGTTGCAGGCTTTCGTTGTCAGTCTCTCCCGTCCAGGCTCGCCCCCGGGTCCCTCAAACGTCGATGAGAGCGTTGGTCCACTTATCCAGCATTTCAACACTATCCTGGGATACTGTGAACCCCAAAAGAAACATGCTAAGCGAGAAAAAGGAACCCGTTTATAAAGTGAAGCTACATTCGAAATCTTCAAGATCTTGCCAGCATTCTCTGGTCTTTATTTATGTCATGCCAGAGTTGACGCAGCTGATATGGCATTGAAGCTTATCAAGGATGCTGACGTAATGACAGTTATGGTTCACTTGCACAATGCCATGCAACAGCTGCAGAAGCTCAAGACACCGTGGGTTGACATGGAAACATTTGAAAAGTGCTTTGAGGCGCGCGATTTATTTTTCGCGACCAAGCCAGTGAGACGTAAAGATTTCATGACGCCCGTCTTGATCCAGCTTGGCTTTCCACCGTCTGCTTTGAAAAATCACAAAGGATTCAAGCGCAGGGAACCACGGGAACTATTTAAATCATTCATCCCTGAAATTCAGGGTGTAGCTCCGGTGTCGATGATATTCGCTGGAATAGTTCATCAACGTCCCATCTTAGACTTATCATGGGATGAGTTGGCCTACGTCCTATCTGCTAGCCTATACAAGGAGGTGACCGATGATGACGGTACGCACGCTCTTGTCTCTCTCGACTCGGAAGAGAGAAAGCAAGTGAAGAATCGCTTCACAAAACCCAAGTCGAAAGACCGGCAACAGTCAGCGCCGCATTCCCCTGACCAACTACTGAGACAATTTGCATTAGCTTTGGCCGGAGAGTCGAGGGAGCTCGCATTTCCCTACATGGAAAAGCACAATCTTTGCCTTTTGCTGTTTAGCAATATCAGCGATCGATGCGCCTCGACACTGGATGCCCTGGACTTAAGGATTGATCCCCTTGGACAGACGCTTAGTGTCGTGCTCAGAATCGTTTCGCTAGCCAGCACGAAGCATGAGGTTGTAACTCTTCGTGAGGCAGCGGGTGTGATTGGGGAACATATTAACGCCAATCCAGCGATTGTGACTGAGAAAATCGCAAATGTTGGCGCTTTTGGTTCGATACCCATGCCAAGCTTCGAGCTGTACAAGATCCCTCGCACAATGTTTGTCAAGGTCAGCGCAGATACAAGACCTGTGGATGAGGTTATCGTCATTCCTTTCCAAGGAAGCGATTCATCCCCTGGAGAAATGGAAGAAATAATAAGGTCCCGCAGGGGCATTCGCATGTCGATCCCCCTGGCACACCTCATCATAAAGTTGGTGAGGATAGCCAGAGTTCTGTGATTCATAACCTTTTGAAAGATTCAGAGTAAATCTTGTCATGAAAGATGATGGGATGAGATACTCTAGACTTTCATCTTGATTCAGCCGAGTTGACTTTTGGAAGGTATGGCGAACATATTGATGAGATCTTGCTAAGATTCTGGATGAAACAAGAAGAACTACCTATGCTAGACAAAGGAATAAGACTTTTGGGACGAGCTCTATTACCTTTGATATTTTTAGTGAATTAAATCTATACAACACATGATCATAAGTTTCTCACCGTTTCTAGGTATTTTCAGCACCTTTATCGTAATATTCAGTTAGTGTTCGAATACTTCGTTAGTATGAATCATTTTATTGTAGATTCTCTCACCTGCGGTGCTTTATCAGATAGCGAAAAAAAGATATTCTTTGGTAAGTGTGTATTGTTACTTGAAGTGATGACAGGCATTGTGATTTGGTGTTAGAGAGTAAGTGTTGCAAGAGGCACGTGTGTTACATTGCGATTTAAGCTGAAATGTAAGCTGGAGCTCTTACTGCATGGTGACGGCTGAAACATTCCTAGCCAGGGTTATGATTGTCACTGTAATCCTTGCAACTGACCCATCTCGAAGCGATGGCACTTGGCGGCCAACGCAACGTCGTGATACGCTGTCAGATTTCACAGATACAGATGAGATTGTCGAGTAACGATGCACAATGAGAAAACAGTGACTTGAAGAATAATTGTTTCCTTGTGACATTTTTGTTTGTCGTGCGGGGGAACTGTTTCAATTAGATGTAACCAGCCGAACCAAGTAAGAAAGCGTCCGGTTGAGGAAAGAAGAGAGATTAGAGAGGTTTGAGGTTGGTTACACTTCAAGCCAAGCAAGCAAAAAGGTCGGGTGCGAATAGCTTCAACGTAGCACTTGGAGTAGCAGCCGTTATCAAAAGAGCAGCAATTGGTGATAAATGGCCGGATTGCAGCCGTAGGTTGTTGCATTCATGTTCCACAGAGAGCCTACCTAACTGAGTTAATCTCACTGGACTATCAGGCTATCTCCCTATCGGAAGGTGATTGAATGGGCACCCTCTTTTGAACGGGGTCGCAGATCATGCCTTGAGCCTGTCAGGTGGCTGGCCCTATCGCCTATCAGTGCACGGCTATCTTGACCCCGCGATAAGTAGCGGGGGAATGGCCCCCAGCATTGTGCATTTACTGGTAGTCTAGGGTCTGTTCCATGGTACTGTAGGGGTTGGTAGGGCAGGCCGCAGGGTGTAACGTCGCACTGATGCGTCCAGGACCGTCCTTCGTCTCATCTCGTCTCCTCCCCCCTCAATAATCTGCCCGCCGACCAGTGAGTGAGAGCGTTTGGGTGTTTATTTTGGTACAGTCGCCGAATCTTACGGTCGCGTGCCACTCCTTCCAGTTCGTACCCATTATCGCAGTCTCCACTGCCACGCCACGGCCACGGTCACTTCTTTCTTTATTATCACCATCTCCACCCCCACCTTTTCAACGGGTTTAAATCAGCCAAAACATCCACTTCCTCTCTTACAACGGTTCAACGGCTACTCCAATTGAGCTTCACCAACAATCACTCAAACATGGCCGACGAACAACCAACCGCTACCTCAAAGGGTGGCATCGCGACTGAGGCTGATTACCATGATCACACCGATGTTGATCTTCCGCGTGGATGGAAATACCGGCGATTCAGCCTCTTTGGAAAGACTCTCCCCTGGTATGCCTCGCCGCGCATTCAGCTTGGCATGGTCGCCTTTGTCTGCTTCATGTGTCCTGGCATGTTCAATGCCCTCGGAGGTCTCGGCGGTGGTGGTAAAACTGATCCCACGCTAGCTGACAACATGGTGAGCATTACGTTCCTCAGGAGTGACGCGCGCTGACTGGGGTAGAACACGGCTCTGTACGCCACGTTTGCAGTCTTTGGCTTCTTCGGCGGTACTTTTGTCAACGTACTCGGTGTCAAGTTATGTCTTGCTTTCGGTGGTGTCGGTTACGGTATCTACGCCATCAGTCTTCTCGTCTCGGTTCACAAGCATGTTCCTGGCTTCAACATCTTTGCTGGTGTTTGGCTCGGTCTCTGCGCTGCTTTGTTATGGACCGCGCAGGGTACTATCATGATCTCGTATCCTCACGAGAACAAGAAGGGAAAGTATTTCGCTTGGTTCTGGGGTATCTTCAACATGGGCGCTGTTATTGGCAGCTTGGTAAGTTTCTTGGTCCATTCCTCTGTACCGGTGCTAATTCAAAATGCAGATTCCCCTTGGTGAAAATATCAACATCAAAGAGAACAAGACCGTCAGCGATGGAACTTATATCGGTTTCATCGTCCTGATGTTCTTCGGTGCCATTCTTGCGCTCACACTTTGCAACGCCAACGACATCATCCGTAAGGACGGTTCCCGCGTCATCCTCATGAAGAACCCAACATGGCAGAGCGAGCTTTGGGGTCTCTGGGAGACACTTCGTTTCGAGCCTTTCGTTATTCTTCTCTTCCCCATGTTTTTCTCATCTAATTGGTTCTACGTCTACCAACAGAACTCTGTCAATGGCGCCTATTTCAACACTCGAACCAAGGCGCTCAATGGTCTGCTTTACTGGTTGGCCCAAATTCTCGCGGCCGCCCTCTGGGGCTGGCTTCTCGATATCGAGAAGTTCCGCCGTACCACCCGTGCCAAAGCTGCCTGGGTTGCACTATTCGTCCTGACCTTTGCCATCTGGGGTGGTGGTTATGCCTTCGAGAAGACCTACACGCGTGAGACTGTTTCTCCTGATTCAGGATTCGTGCCAGGCGACTGGACCGACTCTGGATACGCTGGACCCATGTTCCTGTACATTTTCTACGGTTTTTATGATGCTGCTTGGCAGGCTACTGTCTACTGGTCAGTCTCCTCAGTTGTAGCTTTCAATTTTGCTTTGCTAACATCTCCAGGTTTATGGGCGCCTTGTCCAACTCTGGTCGACGATCTGCCAACTATGTCGGTTTCTACAAGGGCATTCAGTCCGTCGGTGCCGCAGTCGTCAACAACCTTGATGCACGCAAGATCTCCTACCGATCTGAGTTCATCAGCAACTGGACTCTTCTCTCCATTTCTCTTGTCGTTGCTGCTCCTGTCATCCTCCTCAAGATTCGCGACCACGTGAGCACTGAGGACGATCTCAAGGGTACTGATGAGACTTTGGCCGATGTTCTGCCTTCTGGCCATCCCGAAAAGCAACCTGAGCGAGGTAGTGTTTAAGTGTTGGGAGTACTATTTAATGTGAATGAAGGGGAAGATGGAGAGATTGTGAAACACTATTGCTATGGAACCAGATTCCAGGAACAGATTACCTAGTTAGGGCTATCTCAGTAATGAATGAATTGACGTACCTCTCATAATGACGAATGAACTGATGATTTTACCTTGTCTTACTGTGCTTACTCCGTGTCTAACCCAGTGCCTCAAAAGCTTGGCGAGATGTGTCAAAGTCAAATTATCGGATAGATTGAGCGTTAGTTCCGTTCTGTAACCTTTGTTGTTCTCTAGACTTCACAGATAGAATCTTGAACCAGTTCGAGGTCAAATAGGAATTGAGTTTCGTTGCATGTTCAATCTTGTTGCTGGCCCATAGTTTCATCCAACGTCAAACAAAATCAACATGCCCAAAGAACTTGGTGATATGAAAGCTCGCTTTGTCGGGCGAACTCCAGCCCCCAAGCTCCTGGTCAGGAAAGATCTTCGGATTCGTAACAGTCCTGAAGAAATTCATCCTCCACTTTGTCCCCTTCGCACATCCCGGATCGACATTAAATAAACCCAGTGGAATCTTGACTTTACTAACCCACGTTCCCGCACGTCTATTCAATTTCGTCTCCGCCTCAAAACCATCAGCCTCTGGATCCACGATGAAGAAGTGATCGAATGGAGCTCCCTCTTCACGGTCTTTGGTGGGGTTGTAGACGAAGGCTTGGTATGTCACGTTGTTGGGATTGATTTCATACTCGAGATATGTTTGCGGATCCTTAGTCCCCTTGTAGATGAATGCCTCGACGACTTCGTACTCCCAAATATCATCGTTTGTACCCTGCGAAGAGTTGAAATAGAAGCTCTTTTCGTCAATGGCCGTGAAAGTCAGGGAGAGTGCAGTGGAGGTATAGCAGAGGTCGATTTGCGTACGGGGAAAGGGGTTCTGATCGGGTACGGACTTTGAAAATGTGATTCTGTTTGATCTAGGACATGATGGAACGCTGACAGAAGGAACGTGAGCTGCAGCGAGGCTGGCGATAGCTAGGAAGAGAAAGGAATGCATTTTGAGGCTGTGGACGTAAGATACGAGATGAAGAAGATTGTAATCACTATTACGCACTTCAAGGTTTCAGTATTACTATTTAACTACTGGCCTACACAGACTCAGACCCCAAAATACGAGGGAGGAGCATCTCGTCGATCTTGGCGCGAAGGAAGGTGCTGAGGTCTTACAAGCATATACGATGCCGAAGTGATTGGTAGCATCGCAGCAAACATGATCTGCAACGTAGCAGAAATTGGTGGTGCGAGGGGATGTCAAGTGACTTGATAAGCTTGGGTGGGGAAGAGGGCAAATGGGATGGATGGTAGGAATCCCTGTTATCAGCTTGCTAGTGGCGTCTCTAAGAATAACCTCGGGTGAAGGTGAGTCAGACTGCTGTAGTGCGACGATAATGTGATTGAGATGAGGAGAGAAGAGGTTCTTTTGATTTTATCTCGTAGGAGAGGGATTGAAACGAAGAATGAGGTACATGGCTTGATTCTTGGGGCCAAGTTGATCCTGGTAACAAGACCGACGTTCTCGACGAATGGCTGACTTCAAGCTTGTTCGAAGAAGTGGAAAGACGATACCACCATAAGAGGCTCAAATTAACTCTACGATACCGAGTATTTCTCATGATGCGATGATTGACTTTCAACGGTTTGAAGCGCCATAAGAGCCTCATCCACGTGAAGCATTAGCCTTAGCTCAAGATCACGGAGATACCCGCACGACGGAGTTCAAGCCACCGCAGACCTAATATTCTCCTATCTAATCGATCTACAATACGACCCATATCAGAATTGTCCTTGATAGTGCTTCTATTGTCCCCAAACAGTCACATACGACCACAGCCTTCGGAGAATACGGGATCCCGTCTGCTCTCCCATCGTCAAGCCGAGGAGCGGTGAATTAGTACTCGGGTCGGTGACGACCGGGGAATCCTCACTGTTGTATGTTTTTTGTCTCTCTTCTCATCACTTTTTGGCAGTCATAATACCGTGATTACTCGGATCGTCGCTGTTGTTGTTGGTTTGATGCTTTGTTAGGTAGCATCCTCACAGCCCTACGGCTTGGCGACTGCCAATTGGCTCGTCGTGCCCCGCATGCCTCGCTTATCGCTTATCTAATGCGACATTGATGAGGTCGGCAGTTCGAACCAACCTTTCTCAACTTCAATTCACCACCAGAATTTATGCAAATGCTTCGTAAGAGGAATCACAAGACAAGAAGTGGCTGCTTGATATGCAAGTGGGTAACACAATCAATAATCAGCATTGTAACCGCAATCTAACGCTTTATTTCCAGGGCGCGTAAGATAAAATGCGATGAAGGCAAACCGACGTGTCAGCGATGCATTAGCGCGGGTCGCAAATGTCAAGGTCTGGGATATAATCAGACCTCGTACTCTCATCTTGCGCTGTACCGTCCTCAGAATCACGTCCTGGGCAACAACGCAAAGACCGACTCACGAGCTATCGAGTTCTTCTGCAGGGTTGCGGCTCCTTCGTTATCAGGGCCTATCGACCCATACTTCTGGACCAATGTTGTCTTACAATTCTGCGACCATGAACCAGCTGTCAGACATTCCATCATGACAATCAGTTCTCTATTTGAGAATCTGCAGTCAAAAGACAATTCTTCTGCTGTTGCGACCCAGAGAAGTGTCTTTGCGTTGAAGCATTACAATGCTGCAATTCGGGAACTCCAGACTCCACATAAGCCAGATATAGTATTGGCGTTACTGACTTGCCTCATGTTTGTATGCATTGAGGTTCTGCAGTCTAATGGAGACGTGGCTATCAGACACTGCCACCATGGAATGAATTTGATCAATACCTCGAATCCACCGAAATGGGTGCTGCATTATCTATTACCGATATTTCGGCGGATGAGTATCTTGCCCTTTTACTTTGGCGACTCACAGCCCATGGGCTACTCTGAATCTCCAACGATACCCGAATCCTTCTCTTCATACTTTCAGGCTCAAACTTCGATCGATGCTATCTACAACATGACTATACAACATTTCCGGCGGACGGCCGACTACCGTCTCGGTGATATGAGAAACGAGCCAGCTACACCAGAGGTCCTTCTCGAACAATATGAAATCCATGACTTGTTGGAACAGTGGAAATCCTCATTCGACAAATTCGAAGCTGAAACGCCCCAGGACCTGATACAAACATCGCTGACATCGCGGATATGGCTCTTCCATGTATACGAGGTCTGCATGGTATTATCACGCGTGCAGTTCGTCACCGATGAGATGGATTATGATGCGTTCATCCCCAACTTCACACGTATGGTCGAGGGTGCTCGAGAGCTAGCTGGACTAAGAACGAGGCCAACACCATCTGAATTCCATTTCGAGATGGGTTTCGCGCCATATCTCTTCTTCGCTGCTATCAAATGTCGCGTTCTGGAAACTCGTATTGAGGCACTTCGGTTAATGGGCGTTCTTTGTGCTGCGCAAGAAAGTCTCTGGAATAGTCATACGCTCCAGGTCGTTGCTCAGCGAATAATCGATCTCGAACATGGCATATCAGGACAAGACGTCGATAGCTTTGTGACCCAGTATGGTGTGTTGCCGCCTGATGAAATGAGAGTTCGGCACTTTGTCATCGGGCCAGCTGAATCAGGGTCTGGTGGTTCGGTGGGGAGAGAGTTGACATTTTATATGACGACAAGGGATGGCGGTCTATATCTGAAACGGGAGAGATTTCCAACCAAAGGACCGAATGAAGCTGCTGAAGGTGCTCCTGGTGTTTTCGAAGTGGATCTAGAGATGGATAGGCTGAGTTTGTCTGAGATAGAGACTTGGAGTAGCACGAGATCAGGCAGTGTTTAAATATCAAAGAAACGCCTGGATTGTTCATTCATCTTTTTTGTCAGTCTATCTTTCTTCATGAATCGTTATCACGACTCAAAACCGCGCAACCCCTCAAAATCAACCAGTCATGCGCTATTATGCCGCAACGCCTTTGATGTTCTCCACCCTAATAACCAAGATTCATTTGTGATCTATTGGAAGTCGTTGGGCCAGCACTTCTCCTTGGGCCAAAGCTTAGCGTCGTGTGTTGACGCGTGGACCTCGAGCTGGAGCTTGTTGGTGTTGACAATCTCCTTGCGGCAGTTTTGGCACTGAAATCGTTAGCTGATATCTACTTTGTGAGAGGAGAGATTCATACGATGGAGGTGGGCTTGGGAGCCTTGACGGGGAGACCGTTGGCCTTGACGGGAGCGCGAGTACCGGCAGCGTCGGCCTTCTTGTGCTCCTTGTTTCGCTAGGAAATGTCAGGATGAGTTCACCGCGGTCCGCTGATAGTTTATATCAGTAGATGACTTACGCGATCCTTCTTTGAGATAGGCATGATGACGGTGATTGAGAGTCTTAGTGGTGAATTGAGAGGTGAATGTAGAGTGAAAGTTCAGGGTCCTTGAGTGGGGAAAGAATATCGAGAAAAGAAAGAAAATGGAAAAAAACTCTCCATGAATTTGTGGAGATGGGCAGCCACAAAGAAAATCACTCCACTAAAACCCCTTAGCCAGGTGACAATAGCGGCCTAGAGCGATCGATTTGGCAGTATCAGGACCCGCATGTGTTTGTTGTTGTTCAACTATCTTATCGTATATTGGCGTGAAGATTATCCTAAACAGTCCTGATGTATTCTCAATTTACCTAAACATTTTTATCACTGAGTTTCAAAATACTGAAATGCAAAGGACTTGATGGTACTGCCAGCTGTTGTTGGACGAAACGATAGTCCTTACTAGACTTTGCCTAGGCCATTATCAAAGGTTATAGATACTGTCCTGAACTACTACAAGTCTCATGGAGAGTTCGCTATACTTTACTCATTCTAATCACAAACTTCTATCCTTTAATACTTATTATGGAAAAGATTATAAGCATATCACGTTATTACTGCTCTCTCGGCACCTGCCTGCCAGTGCCACCAATGGCGCCAGTATCAGCCGCCCTCAGCCTCTGTTTCCAGGTCTACTCGGAGAATTCATTCTCTTCTCTTCTCTCCTCCTTCTTTCAACCAACATTCATTTCAAATTTTCAACACGATGGAGGTCTCCTCGGAGAGCAATCACTTCCCGATCCTCAGATTCCCCAATGAAGTGCAACGCATCATTATGGAGAAAGCCTCTGAGCCAATGTCGCCGAACAACCATCCGAATTACCTGGCACTTCCTTACTACGGCGATCTTGCCTCTTTGGTCTTGGTCTGCCCCAGGTTCAATGAGATTGCTATGAAAACCCTTTGTTCTTGCATATGCCTATACGCCGATGAATATCGGGATGATGGTGGCAACAACCGGCTTTCTACTTCCACACGAGTCGTACGTCTGCATGAGACATTGCGAGAAAACATACAACTTCGCCGCTATTGTACTCGTTTCACATTAGTCAACAGTCGAAACAGCCAACAAGGCGGCCCTGTGGAATCCCTCAGCCTTCCCATAGACCAAACCTGGGACCCTGCGCCGCCGCATCAATTGTCTACTCCCTGGGCAAAAGCGTTTGCTTCGATTGTCCTGGATTGCACCAAGTGGCTTTTCAACACTAGAATTTTGGTCATATCTGGCCATGCACATGGCACGTTTCTCCCGGAGCTTGGGGATATCACTTACCGTGTACTGTCCTGTGCAAAAACAAGCATGCCACGCTTGGAACGCATCGAGATCTTGAAGGACATATCATACCATTGCGATGTTCTGACTCTATACGATATTCAACTGGGGTTGAGTGGCGGCTGCTCAAGCCTCAAGCATTTGATTATTCGGCGGCGTGTGCGTAACCCCTCGCGCCTACATAGAAGCAATGCTCTCTTCCCTCGGAGCGTAAGTATCCGTTCACCTTGCAGCCAAATGCACTGAGGCAGCTAAATACTGACCGTAACCAGCTGCACAATTTTAACACACGTTCTGGGTTCTCTCTTTCCAGTTTCGCTCCCATTAACTCATCTGATCATCCCAACGCAGTGAGAGATTTTGTGACCTGGCTGAAAGGCCTAGAGCACTTCACTCTGCGATGGGAGCACGAATTTAGGTTTGAAGGTAGAAAAGATCCCCAGTGGAGTCTAAACTTGGTTGGAGATATCCTCAAACCTCATCGAGACTCCATCAAATCCATCAAACTCGGCAAAATGTCCCAACCCGGTCTAGGCGACTTCGACGCCTCAAACTTTCCCAATCTCGAGACTTTGACTATGCATCACGAGGATCTTAGAGGCATTGATATCTCGAACTGCCTGCAGCTTCAAGCAGCGAAGTTGCACGACGTGGTCATCACGACGGATGATATCGAGGAAGAAATGTTTTACAATGCTTGATGCCACTATGCATTGGGATACGGGTTTTTTCAGGATTATGATGTATTTTTCTCACTTAATACAAGGCTACCTGGAGCGAAGAATAAATCGGCAAGGTCCTCGCCCAGGTCGATCCAGCATCCAGCATCTCTAAAACAATACCAAGATTACGAAAAATACCGCAGACCCACGTTCTTTTCACAGTCGATAGCGCTGGGCAGGGCAGTTACGAAAGCAAACTGCGCACTGGTAAGTCGCCCAGTGCGTGATTAAATGTTCGCAACCATGACATCCGGGACACTGGCATATCATTCGGCGAGCACATCGACGATTCTTGGGCCTTTTGAATGAGGAAGCTGAAGGGACGGGAGACAAGTGGATTACGTCGCAAGCCAAGGAATCGGCAGGGAGAATTTTAGGAGTGGTGGGAGAACTCATCGTGTATACTAGCGCGGCCTCTTGAGAGTTTGGGGTCTAGATACGATGGAATTGAGCGTATTCCGTCCAAAGTTTACGAAATGAGTAGATTTATACCTGAGTCTCTGGACTTATTCACGAAACGGTAGACTGAGATCACAGATGTACTGCCGAAATCTTGTTTAGTGCCCCTGTGAATCCTTTATCCGGTACTGTTCTTTGACGGTGCGGGAGATGGTGAAAGACGGGAGATGTTACACAGATTCCGTTGTTCAGTCTCGTTCCCAACTGTGAATGCAGGCGGTCATCCCATGTACTCTCAATCATACGTATAGTGATTGACTAAAGCCAAAGTGGAGCATTAACCTGTTGAAATGCATTTGCATCCACTTGTTCAGATAAATTCCTTGCCTCTGAACACTTTCCTCCGGTTCTAGGTCTCGACTTTCTTTCTAATACTCAGCGATGAACACAAAACTAGCGTGGTTTTATTTCTCATCTCTCCAGATCAAAATACCCTTGGCGTAAAGACCACTGATAATTCCAACGCCCTTTCCAGCGTCCTTGACAGCAGTCGAGCTCGACGGATACTCAGTGTCAACATAAAGGTGCTTCAATCCTTCACTTTCACTCCACTCAGAAACCCAAGAAATAGCTTGTAGTTTAACACAGGACTCCTTCATAGTAGGGTCCGCGCGTTCGTATTCAAAGGGGTCGTTGCAAAAACGACGTGACTGCGTGAACTTTGCCAGGGCAGGCATGTTGCCGTGTCCCGCGATCATGAGCTTATCACCAGATCCAGAGAGGTTGTCTGGTAAGAAAGGAAGTTTGATCCTGGAGGTCTCTTTGAATTTTGTGGCGTCTGAAGTATTAAACATATAAATGGCCGCTCGTGAGGACGACGCCACCGCAACGGTTGAGCTGTTGAGGATTTCGATACCGTTTGCGAAAGGAACCCACGCGACAACCCTCACATCGAGATCTGACGCTTTGAGGTTCACATGGACCACTGTTCCTGTCGGCGGACCCAGATATGTCTCCAGGTTACTCAACAGGAGCGACTGTTTCTTGGTAATGTAGTGATCGTTGGTGACGTAGAACTCGTGTCCGTTGACAGAAGCGATTGAATTTGGTGCGTTGATGAGAGGATGCTGAATGGTCTGGATGTAACTGGCAGTCAATGATCCAATGTCGAGATTGAAGAGCTCAATGCGTGATCCTGCGACGGCATGGCTCACGACGAAGAGATTAGATGTCTCAAGATCAAACGCCATGCCCAGGGTGTGAAAGTCAGATGCGTGAGGGAATCCAGCCAATTTGATCCTCTTCAGGGATTCAGCGTCAGTACCGTCGGTGACTGTGTAGTCATATGCCCAAAGTTCAGCATTATTAGTAAGATTTCCCGCAAAGATTCCCTGCACTTGTTAGTAACAATCGCCGAATATGGGGCTGAAACGAACCATGACAGTGTTGTGCCGCTCTCTTCCTGGATCACAGGCCAGAATTGCAAGATGATGCTTCTCAATGAGTAAAACATCCTCACAACTCCTTATCTGATCTTGAAATTTGACTTCATATTTCCCGATGTTGTTCACCTTGGTGATACGCGAGGGAGCATTTTGATAGAATGTCTGAATCAGATTGATCCTCTCGTACACGAAAGAAGCAATCAGTCCAATGAGTAAGATCACCTAAATTCCCTTAGTGAGTCTCATCGATTATTGTCTTTATCACTCACGAATATCGATCTTGAAGACATAGCTTTCGGAGTTTGAGTGATGAAGAGAGGGGAAGTCGGAGTTTGAACAGGATTAAGTTTCGGTGGAACCCTCGTCGCTATGACCCCAATTAAGCTTCCATGGCTTCCGAGGTGACCTCGGTCGGTTCTGGGATTTTCCAATTCCGAATGTTTCACATGCGGATTCTTTATTCGGGGAGAATAGAGCATCTATTTTGTTGAATCAACTTGATTTTTGTTGACCGCTTACTTACATGGCCGATCACTAGTGGAGTCGAACTTGGCATGTAAGCAGACGTGGAGTTGTCGCGTTTACGTGATGGCTCCGCCTCGGAATAGGCATTGATACGCGCGTGTATGCTTTTGGTTATTGGCTAGAGACTATCTTCTACATATCAGTGACTATTGGGTTGTGGTGTGTGCTCAAAAGACTATTCCTCCACCATCGACAACCATGTCAGACCCGTTGATATAGCTTCCAGCCTTGGAACATAATAGCACAACCATTCCACTCAGTTCTTCAGGCATTCCCATTCTTCCGCTTGGATTCCTCTCGGCCCACGACCTTCTCGCATCTGCTAATCCCTCTCCCTCGTTAAGGATAGTATCCATGTATCCAGGGCTGATGCTATTCACAGTAATTCCATATCGCGCCCACTCTGCCGCGAGACTACTTTTTAGCATCAAAAGCGCTCCCTTGGATGTATTATATGCAGCTTGCGGCTGTGGGTAGTTGACTCGATGTGCTGATATGCTGGCTATGAAGACGATGCGTCCTCCGGTGTTGGCTTTGACCATTTCCTTTGCCGCAGCTTGGGCACAGATGAAGCTTCCAGTTGTATTGACATCGAGGAGCTTTCTGAAGACTTTGGGTGATAACTCGAGAGCATGAGTACAGTTGACTATGCCCGCGAAGCAGAGGAGGTAGTCAAGGCCGCCTAGTTTCTCAACTGTTGAAGCCATGACCTGGCCTACAGCTCCTTCATCGGTTACATCCACAGACGCTGCCTCAATTTTTCTTTTCGGAAAGTCTTTCCTAAGATCATCCACTTTACTTATCGCACATTCCGAAGTCACGTCAAGGTCAAGCAGCATCAGCCCAGTCACGCCGTGCTGCAACAATGCTCGAACAACAGTCAATGCAATGGTTCCCAGCCCTCCAGTGACAACTGCAACGCCAGAGACTTGAAATCTTGTCGAAGAATCATCCGACGTTGAAGCTGTACGTGCTTGAGCTGCAGAAGGTAAAGATTCGATGCCGTTCGCGAGTGTCATGGAAGGAAGCTGCCGCTTGGTAAGGTCTTCGCGGGCTGCTGGATCACTCATTGTAGGAGTTGGTTCAAGAACCTACAAGATCGAAGAATAACTTTTCAAGTAATCTGTAATAAGATAAGGTACGCTACACTGTTATAGCTTGTGCAGAGAACACCTCCTCATTTTGGATGCTTAACACGTGATGCATTGCACCTCATTGGCAAGCTTAAGAGGAATTTATGCAACATTTCGTCATAATTTAGGTCAAAATCTGATATACTGTAAATGATTTTGGATGAAAATTACTGATTATTATTATTATTAAAGTCGTGGACTCGTTATAATATGCACTCATAAAGCATGTCATCAATCCGTTGAGAAGAAGAAAAACAACGCTTTATTATAAAACCAACGCTGGACTGGCTGCAGGCTTGTTTATCAAGACCACTTCAACCACCAGAAACACCAAAAACGACTCTCCCCATACCAAGACCCAACAGGCTGCAGGCTCATTTATTGAGACCACTTCAACCAACAAAACACCCGCTGTTTTAACTGACTCATTCATTGAGATCAGAAATCTTCTTTGTACCCCCAAACACCACGCTGTAAACTCAACACCAAAAACACCACCCATGTTGTAAGGAATTTTGCTGAATTTGCAGAGAGAAAAGAGAGAAAAGTTGTAACCATATTTTTATTCTGGTGTATATTCCAGAATCCACTTGAAGTCTGGCTTGCCAAGTCTTGTCATTTTGGCGAGACACTATACTCATAAGGATCAGAGTATTGCCCAGTCCATTGTGAAACTTTAGGACTTGCACCATACTCTGTCATAGAAGAGTATTCACCAGTCCAGCCAAGAGTTTGTTTTGAGTTGCTGGCTGGTGGTGAGATACAGGTGCTTTTGGGCTTTGGCCGAGACTTTAAAGTGGATTCTGGTTCAGTAGTATGGTTGTTGTATTTATCCCATGGGTCAAATGGGTTCTCAAACTGGTCTAGATACTCTTGCTTCATACGCAGCGTGCACTCTTTTGCGTCTTCATGCCATTCTCCCTCGAACAAGCTCCAAGTTGGTTCTTCTTCCTCAACTGGACACTCTGTATAAAAGTCACAGTATGAGAGGCTTGTTCGCCCAGCAGAGGCCTCTCCTGCCGTAACACTTGAGACTTGCTGAGAGGAGTATTCAAGTTCTGAGTAACCCATCTGTTGATCAGAGAAAAGGGGTTCTGACTTTGACTTTGACATTTGACTAGTGCCGCTGGTGTTGGGCATTTTGAGGAGACACATGGTATTGAAGTGACCAAGGCTCTGACTAGACCAGCTGAAATATGCCTCTACCAACACTTAAATATGTGGATACTGTCTTTAATGATGACAGGAGGACTTGAGTTGATATAAGAAGAAGAAAGGAAGAGAATGGCATGTGTACAGAGTGCTGATGTTGACTTGACAGGAGAGTTGTATAAAGAATCTCTCACCAACACATTGAAGAATGTCGGTTTGTCAAGGAACAAAAGACTAAAACACTGTTAGCAACATGTTCAATACCCGTAAGCTCTTTAAAAGTAGCTTACGAGAATCAGCGAGTACGCCGCGACGTTTTGACAATGGTTCCAAGCGTCCGCGAGAGAGTGATGCGGCAATGACGAGCTGACAGCAGAACAACTTGATGTGCTTGTAAGAAGAAAGCAGTAACCATGATGAGATTTCTCAAGTGGGAAATCAAGGGGGTGTTTATGTTCAGTGACCCCGAAGTCTAATTTAAGATTCAATGATATGCACATTTATCGGAATGGTTACATAATTCTCTGTGAGTGTTCGGGGTTCGATATGCATTTATTGTAAAGTCAGGACTGGATAAATGGGTGTTTTAGGGCTATTGTGAGAGTATTTTTGCTTTAATATGCTTTAGTAAAGGGCACTTTGTGCTGGTTGTGCGCAGAGTTGGTTGGTGGACGCAAGATGTTGTCTGAACTGTGATTCGAGAGTCAAGGGGCAGAGTTTAGGCAGTCGTGGTGTACAAATGAACAGAGTTTTAAACAATTTATGCTTAAATAATATGAGGCTCTTGTGCGCCGTATGATCATTTAACCTTTGGTGGCTCACCGCTTTGCCAGTCCCCGTCTAGGATCCTTTCTCCTATAAAGCTAGCCTCCCCGACACTCTCCCCTCCGACACACTCTCCATCCTTTCCATACAAAGTCGAACTTCAACCTCTTCTGGTCATAAACCGAAACATATGTTCTTAGGGACTTGAGAAAACTCGGTGTCTTTTCTTCTCTATGGCCGATCTCGATACCGAGCAAGTCTGTGACGACCCTCTACCCCAGTTCCTCACATATGTTTCTCGGTCCGCCCGGTCTCACCAGCAGCTGAGGCTACAAAAGACGATGCCGACGCGAGTTACTACCTTAAGCTCACTTCAATTCCGACTTTTGTCTGTTGACCATGGAAAGTGCGACGGCAGGAAAGGCAGAGCCATCGCCACTCACGGAGACGGCGATTGAGTCATATCTGGTAACAAGACCCTGAATTGCGGTCACTCTCGGCCGCGATGGTGGCGCGCATGTCCATTTAGACTCTTGAGAAGCGACGACCATTGGATAGGCGACCTGACCTTCGTGATGTGACCAATTATCTCAACGTAGCATTGGCAGGTGAAAACTGAAGACGACCGCGAGGCCAAGAATGTCATCAACGAGTTGTTAACTGTGCGTGTTTCAGCAGCGCCTCGTGGCTTCAGATTCACGATTCTCTTACATTCTCGCTGATTCACCAAACTACCATATTCCTCAGTATCAGTGGATTTTACCCTATCAGCTCCTGGAAATGGCATCGAGGTGCAGAGCATCGATGTTCACGAGACAAGAGGCCATCACTTGCCAGCAACGAGCTGATGCGGCCAATCTTTCTCATTGAACCGTTGCATTCATTTCGGCAACAACGTGCTGCCAATACATTAATCGCAAACATGGTGGCTTGGATGCATAGCTTCATGGTGTTGAGCTTCTCCATGTATGAGGCCAGAATGTTCCTGGCGGTCTACGATCGCTGTGTCGATCGATGCCATCAATCCTCACACCAACACCACTTATCGAGCATCGGTAAAGATCCTGAAAGAATACGCCTTGTCTTATCTATGACACTTATTACTTCCTCGATTTTCCTGACTCGGGGCTCACACCTTCGTCTTTAAAATGGCTAGGTAAGTTGCGTCCTCATATTCAATCTATACCTAAACTCCATCTACTGCCTGACCTCTCAGCACCACATTACCAAATTCGACATACAATCGGTTTCAAGGACGTCTTACAGTCTCCAGGGTATTATAACTCTCATACATCAAGTGATTCTTCACCGTAAACTCATCAGGCCTTTAAACCCACCAGACGTCTCAACATCAAGCAATCGCCACCCCTTCCTACTTCATCACCGATCACCTAATATCTTCAACCTCCTCCTAATACTCTTCATCTTCCCATCTTTCAAGAACTTCTGGTTCGGTGACTCAACCACCTCCACTGGTCTACTATCCAGCTCGACCGACACAAGAGGCGTAGACCCTGGCAGCTCAGCTAACTGTAATTCTGACCATGTCCCACCTGATCGTAACTCATAACCCGAAGGCGGCACACAACTCGATACTGGGGTCAAGGGCAACTCTGCTGGTCGCGAAGGTATGTCGCCAACAAGTTCAACCGGTGACGACGATGATATGGCGCTGAGTGTTGCGAAGGATGGCCTTTCGGAACTACTGCCTGATGAAACAGAAAATCTCTCCTCCACCCGTCGCCTCGTAAATCTCCGTGTCAAGTCTGGCGAGAGCATCTTGTCGATTTCAGCCTCGCTATATCCCCTCGCCTTGAGACTCTTTGGAACAGCGGGTTTGCCCCAATCATCTTTGTGCTTTGTATCTGCATTGCGATTTACCAGTATTTCCAGAATTCGCCGTCGTTCTTTACTCAATCTTCCCTTTCCTTTTAGTTCAGATGGTGCGCAGGTGATCATCAATGGGGTCTCATTTGACCCGGACACGAGGTTAACGTCTGCGCCTTCAGCTACTAACAAGCCGACCATGCGCTCGTTTCCTTTTTCGCAAGCTTTGTGCAGGGCTGTTTCGCCGTAGGCGTCTGTCGAATCTATGTCGACTAATTGTAATCCTTGTTCGTTGTGACAGGATTGGTGAACGGGCTTCTTGATCTCTTCGAGTAGCAGTCTCAGTGTTTCATCGTTATCACATCGATGTAATGGAGTGCCACCTTTAGAGTCACAAACATGGACCGAGCCGGAGATCCGTAGCAGTGCCTGGAGCGCAAGATTGTTGGAGTGCTGTACTGCTACAAGCAGGGGCGTATCGCCGTTCGCATCGGGTCTCGCATGGTAGACTATAGGTATCAGCTGATGGACGATCTCCATCTCCACGGTTGAGTCTGCAGCGGCATCGTGAAGCGGAGTACTCTCAAAAAAGTTCTCCTCTGGTATGTATGGTCTTCCCTCAATCTCAGAAGCTTCGTACCCATGCTGGCGACACCACATTATTGTGTTAGCGAGGGCATTTGGCTCTGAGGCCGGATCGTAGCCCAGTTTGTCGAATATGACTTTCTTGAAGGCATCCAAGTTATTCCACTGCCCCATACACTCGTACTGTTCGCAGACCAGCATCGATATCCGTGGTATCCTGTCCTCGTACTCCTCACGGTTCGATAAATAAGCGCCCAGCGACATTCTCAAAAACTCAACCGCACCCTCTCGATCGCGCAGTTCAGCACACAAAACCCCGACCTTCTCCTGTTCGGTACAAAATTCGACGTCATTGCCGTGACTAGTGTGTTTTTGCAAATTAGACTTGAGGTTCTGTAGCCTCTCCCACGCAAGTGCTTCATACGAGTCCACAAATGGACTACATTCTTTGATGATACGCACATAAGTTATCTCCATGTCAACCAGCTCGGTAACACTAATAGCTTTCGGGTCAATCGCCTGCATCTCTCCACCGTATTTTATCGCTTCGTCATGTGCCTTCTTCGCCATGAGTGGCAGTTTGGCATCGTACATTCGTTTCGCTCGTGATACCGCTGCCTCGAACCGGTATTGCAGTTCTATGGGGCTTACGCCCGATGGTCTTCTTGGTGTTTCGCCTTGCTCTGATGTGTGATCGTGAGGCGATGGGTCGGGGAATTCTCGTTGGGCTGCAATGTCGGCGACTTCGTAGAGAGCTTCTCTCCATTTGTGCAAATCGGTTACTTCATCGGGGTCGAGCTGCTCAGGGTTGTCATCGCTGATGCCTTCGAGAAATTGGTGTACTCTATTTCTAGAGTTATCGTTAGGCGGGTCTAATCTACCTTGTGTTAGGAATAGAAGGTAAGGAAAGGAACGAGGCACTTACAAAGATAGTGCTGAAGCAGATACCTGGAAGACCTGGACGTTGCGAGAAAGTCGCGTGAGCAATTCCCTATCATCCTGTAACCTCAACTTCAGCTGCACCCAGTACCTTCCTCCCTTCTTCACTGGTATCGTCCTCTCCAATCGTTCAAGATCGTTCAGAAAGTCCCTGATGAATCTATCGATAGCTCTACAGAGGTTCTGTTCCGGCGCCGTCATATAATTCTGTCGCTGGCGTATCCTCTCCTCCATTTGGCTCCACGACTCCTTCAACACACTCCCGGCAACTCTCCAATGCTCGACATTTCGAGGAGCATCTTTGATAGAGCTTACAGCTGTGTCGATGCGGTGCCACGCTGTCAGACTGGAAGCGATGAAGCTCTGAACGGCTGAGGCTAACTCTGCCATCTTGGAGAATTCGATATCATGGCGATGTTTTCTTGGGAGAGGTACAGCCGCGAAGATAAGACTTGCGATGACGAATACGGGATATACTGCATCACCCCCGCATTGGCAATCAGCCTACGATGATCCGTATCATTTTGTACTGTTGAGACTGTACTGTAACGTACAGCCAAGACTCGCTGAACCCGTCAGATGATGATCCTTCCCAATTGTACTTTCAAGCATATCCCTGCATCAAAACCGCCCGAGTCAGTCGCCACTTAAACGAGTGACAAACATGTCTGATAGGGCTGATACAGGCTTCCCCACGGGACATTCACCAAAGGTGGAGGTTTGATCCGCTGATCGACACTCGAGCATTTGCTGTTGGACCTGGACATTGCGTAGATGGCCTCGTACTGTATGCGGGTGCCGTAGGGTCTGCCTTGCTTGTCATACATGAAATTTGGGGGCCAAAGTTTGGAATTCAGCTTGACAAGGAAGGTGAGAACCTTGAAAGCAGGGTTGAATGAGGAGGTCAATTAGGGTTCAATCTTCTGTTTCGTCTTTCCTAATCATTCTATTTCTTTGATCAGTTCATGACTTACGATTGATGTCTTGCATTGGGTGAACAACACGTCTGTTCACCACCATGACGGAACGCGATAATCGAGAACCGCAGAAACCGAGTCTCAAGAGGAGATTGGAAGCATGGATTGAGAAACAAATCCACACCCGAGATGAATTCGGGAACTCTCTTGGTATCTGTTGCTCTCCGCTTCTGACATCACCATACTGACTTCTCCAGCCGGCGTATCTGAGCCTGTTCTTCGAAGAGGCATCGACACTCTCTGCAAAGACCTCCCTTCTCTCGAACGCGACGAGGTCGAGCGAGCGGCAGAGGTAGCTAAGAATGGAAACTACTACTACCGTCTCTCCAAAGGCTTAATCACCAATCTCTCACCCGTCGTTGAGCTCACCCTGGACGAGAAAGAAAGCCTCGTAGCAGAACGCGAGCGCCTCTTCAGCCAGCGCGGAATGCTCATCATCATCTGCACAGTCTCACTGGCAGCTTTCCTCCAAGGCCACGTTCAATCATCCATCAACGCTATGAGTCTCTTTGTCGAGACCGTTGGTATTGATATACAGAGACAGGACGACACACAGAGCAATGGAGCCGATTCGACGGCTCAATGGCAACTTGGAGGTACGAACGCGATTCCCTTCCTCACAGCTGCTTTTCCCGGTGCACCACTTTCGCTACCGGTCAATTACTGCCTTGGAAGACGTGGTGCCCTCGGGTTTTCGGCTCTACTTATCATTGCGAGCTCGATTGGGTCGGCTTTTGCGGTGACATGGCAGCAGATATTGGGGGCCAGGATTGTTGGGGGAGTAGGTAAGTATTAGGCTATTAAGAGCAGCAAAGCATTGGAATACTGATATGAAGGACTAGCCATGGGAATCAAGGCGGTCAGTGCCCCTATTCTCGCTTCTGAGACGGCAGTTGGATATTGGCGAGGCTCAACTATCCTCGCCTGGCAACTCTGGTAGGTCTGTTGCGAGCACACTACTCCCATTGTTGACATTCTTCAGGGTCGCTTGTGGTATCATGATCGGTTTCGTGATCAACTTTGTCATTGCGGCCGCGACTAATACTCTAGATGGTCAACCCAACTCCGGTCTCAACGAGCACGGAGGCCGATACCACGCTTTGCAGTGGATTGCTGCTGCGCCTGTTGTACCATCTGTCTTATTGTTTATTGCGGTCTGCTTCTGCTACGAGAGTCCAAGGTTCTATATGCGGCCGGGTACGCCTAATTATAACCTCGATCGTGCTTTTAGAAACCTCCTTCAAGTTCGACCGACCAGGGTGAGATCAGCCGACTGCATGTGTCTCAAGCATAGCTAATAGGTTTTCTAGCTTCAAGCCACTCGCGATTTGTTTCTGATTTGGTGGTCTACTCGAGACGAGGAGATCCACCAGGACCATCGTGAGAAGAATCGCCACGAAATTGCTCACCATTCCGAATACCAGAACGGTGTCAACACCAAGAATGAGGACAGGACAAGCCGAACGCTTACTTCTGGCTTGACATATGCTTCCCTCATTATACTTGTCACGAGGCTCTCTGTCTATCAGTTCAAGCCGTTGTTTACTAGACGAAGACTTAGGAATGCGCTCTGGAGTAGTTGTGTTGTTGCTCTATCGCAGCAACTTTGCGGAAGTAAGGTATAGCGTCACGATGATTGAGCCAGCCTAGCTAATAGTTGTATCTAGTCAATGTGTTTGCATTTTACTCAAGTAAAAAATTCGGGCGTCTCACTTGGGACTTACTGACATCCTTCAGATGGCATGTTCAGCGACTACGGTGTCAAGACTAGCATGGGCTACAGCTTGGGCTTCGGTATGCATCCTAACTCGGTATGAATAGCAACAACTTACAACAACTAGGTGGTGTCAACTTTTTCTTTGGCATACTTGCAATGAGGTACTGTTCAACACTTGTGAAATCTCTGCAGTGCTAACAAAGACAGGTCCATCGATATCATCGGCCGACGAAGCTGGCTACTATCAACGCTTCCCATGATGAGCATGTTTCTCATGGCTGCTACAATTTCCTACGCATTGGCACCCCAGGTTGATTCTGGCGATCAACCAAAGCCTAAAGCAAACACGGGCGGATCAATCGCTGGAATCATCTTTATCTATCTTTTTGCCGCGGCGTACAGTCCTGGTCTTGGGCCGATCCCATTCACCTTGGCATCAGAGAGGTAGGCCCCCAGCATCCAATCACGATTTGCACTGACTTTTCGCCTGTAGTTTTCCACTCAAGAACAGAGAAGCGGTAGGTCCATCATCTGCCCACCGACTCACCAACAGAGATATGCTGACTCTTCCAGGGCGCATCTGTCGCAATTTCCATCAACCTCTTCTTCGCTGGCCTCTTAACAATTCTTCTGCCTCGAATCAATGCCGTATTCGAAATGGCCGGCACACTCGGTTTCTTCGCAGGTCTCAACATCGTGGCATTCGTGCTCATCTTCGTCTTTGTTGAAGAGACAAAACAGCTCACCCTCGAAGAATTAGATACAGTGTTCAACAATCCGAAGAGTCGATTCGCGCATTATCAGCTGACAAAGCGGCTTCCGTTCCTATCCAAGAGGTATCTGCTTTGGAAAAAAGACGCCGAGAGACCACTAGCTTATGATGAGTGGGCAGTGGAGGATGGACAGCGAGGGTGATTGGATGTTGTTCGGCGAGGTGAAAGGATTTGGCTGGGCATCGATGTGTTTATGCAACCTTTCCATTCTTCTGTGATGATTTTCACCAAAGTGAGCATTACTCACCAAATAGGACTGACATTCAGTGCTCTATGTTGTATATATCGAGACTGATTATGATACATATTGATCCGATGGATATTGGATCTCTGTAATATTCGCACGTCGTATTCAAATTAAAGTTTAGTTCCCCATGGACCCCGCGCTAATGCCCAGAAATATCCGAAACATTTGGCGCCTGCATCTCCACTTTCCGCACCGACCTCGAGGTGCCAACGTCATGCTCTTCTCCACTACGCCTCGAACCATCCAACAAAGTATCCATCTTCAGCATCAACACTTGAGCATCTGTCAAAATGGCTGGTCCTCACGAGTACTCCTATGGCAATCAGCAGCAGCAACAGTACCCTAATCAACAGCAGTATCCCCCTCCGCAATACAATGCGCCGCCTCAATATGGATACTACCCACCATATCAAGCCCAACCAGCTCCTTACCGCCGAACTCCACGCCAAAACTTCGCTGTCGTGACTGCGCGACAGCTGAATATCGCTGTTCCTGTTGTCATTATTATCTTGAGTATCTGGTGGTCTCTTAGATCGCAGATCTGTCCGAGCGATGTACCCATCGGTCATGAATGTTCGTGGATGCTCTGGACGGCTTTGCCTGTAGTACGTATCGCTCCCATTCTACGTGAGACATGATCGCTGATTTATCACAGGGCATTGCGTCTTTGCTTTGGGCGGTCGTGATGAATATCTCTGCCCGTCGCGCCAATCATTCCATGTCTCACGTCCCGGCAATAGTCAACACCATCGTGCAGCTCATCCTTGCGCTCGGTGCAACGGCATGCTTCGCTATTCTCATCTATCACATGGAGAACTACTCTGTCTGGAATCGAAGTCTGGAGGGCTCCATGATCGCTCTTCTAGTAATACTAGCGTACGTAAACTCGTGTAACAGTCTGGCGAAAGTTTGCTAATAGGTGCAGAATTATTAACTGGGTTTTGTTTGGATGGTCGATTTACGAGATGAGGTTCTATCGTAAGGAGAGGCAGAGCGCAAACAGCCATATACCCATTTGAGCGGCTATCTGAGAAATCTCCTATTTTTTTGGGCTGTACGTTTACAGTACAAACAGTTTGCAGTACGCGGTTAATATTACTTTACACATTTTCGCATATCACTCTGGCTTTGTCAAAGCTGTCCCTGACTTTCGGCCTTTTCTTCATACTTGTGAATTACACTCTTGACATCATAACAATTCTACAGCACAGGGGAACGAGATCATAGTCAGTGGTTCTATAGCTTGCGCAATGCTTCTCCTAATACCTATTCTTAGTATCTACTTTTGGGATAAAAACATGAAGCTGCAATACGCGCTATAGCTGTTACAGGACTCGCTAACCCCCCTCCGATCATCTTCTGCGCTGTCTCATAATCATACATAGATGATGCCTCAAATCGACACCACGTCTTTCTCATTACCCTCTGTAGTAATACAACACCTCGCTTCATCGCATCGGTTCATCTTTTTGACCCCAATGGGCTACAGATTCCCAGCAAACCCGCCATTCGCTGCGAAGCGCAACTGGTAGTCTCGAAGGTCTGCCCAGTGTCGCAACTCCTCTTCCTCATCCTGCGGTGTCATCTGTGACGGATCCTGTGCATGCGTATCGATGCCACCTCCAGTGCCAGCACCCGTCTTTTCAAGCTTGACCAAAATGTTGATCAACTGTGATAACGCCTCCTCTGATTTCACCGCAAAAGGTCCCTTTCGTTCAGGTGCGTCGTTCAAAAGTGTCGATGCAACCTGTCGGATCTTGTTGATGAGTGATCCACCATTCGGCTCCATGTTTCGTTGCGAGATCGACCCCAAAACTGTGAGAAGATTTTGCACAATCAGTTCCCGCTCTTCCGACATGAAGTCGTAGATTTCCTTCTCGTCAGCATCCTGTGCAGCCTTTTCCTCCTCCGAATGGCCCTCGATGGGGTTGTTTTCCTGTCGTTGTTCTCCCATGTGGACATCCCGTAGGTCAAAGTACATTTCGACGAAATACGAACGTGTAGCGAGTTGTGAGACGAAGATGTTGGCTTTTTGGATCTCATACTGAAGATGCCTGCGCCGAGCGGGTTGGTTCTTGATCACATTTCGAAGATCGTGGGCAGGCTGGCTGTTGGGCCATGCAGGAGGCACGTATTGCATGCCAGAATCATCAAGACTGACCATGGTATTTGCTTCGACACCATGGTCTCCAAGCTGCAACTCTGGTGGCAGGTTGTCGGTGATGCTTTTGGCTGCAATAAGACCATCTCGAAGCAAAATGCGCTGGTCCGCCCAGGGAAGCGTGCTCATACCATAAGCCAGCTCAAGACTGACAATACCATTCATAGTAGTGTAAATGTCTATAGCAAAACGGAAGCCTGTCAACAGAGTAACACTGCCATCCTGTTGGTGAATGACTTCATTGGCGAGAACACAGATGTCATCAACGTTTTCCGGGTATGCGGGGTAGGGGAGACTGGGTGTTGATGGTGCTATCACCATGTCTGCAGAAGATGCACCAAGCTGAGAAAAGGATCTGGGAGATGTCAGTAGAGCCTGTTACGAGAAAAAGAGATACTTACCGTACGCCAAGAAGAAGGCAGTAAAAGATTCGCTTCCCGATCTGATCTTTGACATGGTTGAAAGGAAGAGGATCTGGCGAACAGTTGTCATTACCAAATGTCGGCAAATCACCAGGGTGCTTGGGCCGGCTGAATCCCAGCTCGCGGAGGAGGGTCAGGGTCTCGGCCATGAATTGACCAGAAGCGTTCCACTGATGCGTGTATCCCGATGCCAATCCCAAGAAGTAGCTGGTCGCGGCATCGTCCAGAGTTTTTGGCTGTTTGAGTTGCCACTTGTTTCCACGTGTAATCAAGGCAATCTCACGGCATCTTTCAACCATGACGATAGCTCGAGGAAACAGATGGGTACTGTGTTGTGCCTTGAGATGTTCTCTCGCACTTCGTGGGAAGGATGCGACAAGGGCACAGATCATACTCGCCAGCAAACCAAGAAACTCGGGCTTTGTACGGTCTTCACGGTTGGCGAATGACTGACGAAACGTAGGCTCGTGTGGAAATGGCGCAAGCGGGTGGATATAGGTAAAGAAGTCGTCGACCAGCAGTTCCAATACTGGCATAGGCGCAATGTATTCGGCATCAACATTATCGGTGGAGATGTTCATCAAAGTCTTCGCGGCAGTCTGCGGTGATGGAGACAAAGATCCGATTACAGCAGCTGCCACCGCTGCAGTCGCCGCCGATGGCACTTCGACCCGCGAGCGCTTGGCGGCTTTTGCGGCCTCGGCATGCTTGTTGGGTGGTCCCCGACGCTTCGTCTCGCGGTTGTAGGTGCAGTCTACACCCAGCTCTCGACACGGTCGGCACGGTATGTTACTATCGTCGCACTTGACCTTGCGCATACTGCACATGTCACAGGCCCGCCGAAGTCGAGTGAGCTTCGGGTTAATGGTCGGGTCGCGCATGACAGCTCCATTTCCAGGTATAAGCTGAGTAGGCAACTCGGTCGCATGAGGCATGCCGTCTGGAGGATCCATAGGCGCATGTGGTTGTTGGTGGCCCACGACTTCGGCGGCAGCTACGGCGGCATGTTGAAGAGCTTGGGGACTGTTAATGTGGTGATTGATAGCGTGGGCCGCATCGCTGGCGGCCTGGAGCATCTCGAGCCCATTGCTCGCGTACGCGTGAGCCGTCGCATGGGAGTTTGGTGATGGTGGAGGTGGTGAGCCGGACATGGCGGCGAGCTGCCAGGCTGTGCCGGCCTGCAGCGGAGCACGGAGCTCGTTTGGCGGAGCTGGGGTATTCCGTAAGCGGGACCCTTGAGAATGGCGCTGGACTCGACTGGTTTGAATGGTTGCGGCCGTCGCGATGGCTGATTGTCGGAGGATTCCCGGGTGTTGGAGGGTGTTGAAGCGAGGTGAGGCCGATGAGCCGAAAGGAAGAATTTGGTGGGCGATGAGGTCACGTGTTTTCTGATTATGTCAGTCTGAAATTTGGCTACCCTGGACAGCTCTCCAGAACTGTGAATTATGTCTTCAAAACATTCTTTACAGTACTTTTTCATAGAATAATGTGTATAATTATACCACTACGTCAAAATTCATCTCGGTGTCTTTGTGATGTTCAATGGCTTAGTTTCCTTTCGTGTTGGTCCAATAGGTTTGGTACAGCATCGTCATCAAATATTTGTTTCAGACTTACGAGGTGTGCAGTTCGACCCCGAACTTCTCATTCGGCCGAAACGCCAGTAGACCAAGACATCTCAATTCAGAATTTAATCCAATTATCCGTTGCCCAACAGCAAGGGTCTTGTAAATGGCTCATCGTGGGGTATAGATGTTCATCTTATGACGAAATCCTATCGGGAAATTCGGGAATCTGGCATCATGTCCCTGCTTGCGGCTGAACCACACGGATGAGTCGAGATTTCAGCATGGGCCTTTTTGAAATGAGTCTGCTCGTCAATTGATCTAGCAGTACAATGGGATTCCCATACGTGGCCCTGGCAAGTCGAGCAGCTAGCTATAGTGGCAGTCCACGCAAGCCAGAGGAGAATGCAAGAGAAGGGTATTCACGAATTGAAGAGACATGAACAGGGACTGTGTCACTTGTATTATATCCGACAAGCTTCTAGATTCTGAAACAATGTCATTGTGTAGATCTCGAACGACTTTCTGGAATATGGGATTGTCTGATCTAGCGCTCATCCTACATTTTTAGCTGTCGCTCTCCGCCGCCTTCAACGGTTATTCGAACCTTGGAGCTCACACCAATCATATTAAGCTGATTTTCCCTTTATGAATCAGCGTAACAACCATTGACTATCCCCGCAAGTCGCCGTCGATACCCACTCAAGCTGTCAAGCATCCAACTTCAGGCCCCTATATGAGAATCTGATAAACTATACTGCCAGTACAATGTTATGTCTCAGGATACCAGCTTTCAGTATTGTATTTATATAAACAAGATATAAATCTCTTAATCCACCGAATCCATCTCATCTCTCCTCGGGTGCGTCCGGCTGGCACCGATAATCACAGACCCTTGAACAGACCCACTCATCAGCCCACCATCACCATCGTCTGATAATATCGACCTGGCGTGATGCGCTCAGCTTAACAAACAACCAACGGAGCAAGGCGAGACTCGGGGAAGAGCTTTCATGTCATGAGCATGCGTATAATCGCTGAAGAAGAAAAAAAATTGTCATGGACAAGGGACTGAGGGGTAAATCACCAAGGATAGGCAATCCAATAAATACCGACGTCTGACTGCTGTTCGAGGCGTGCGATTCTGTATAATCGATCTGTTACTTGCGAAGACTAAATCCTTCAAATTAACTTGCGTCACACGAGCTTTTGCATCAGCTGAGTATTTTGCTGTTAAATACTGACTGTTCACTTCGCTTTTTATCTGGGCCCTTCGATCTGCGACACCTTCATCTAACGACTTATATTCTCACTTGTACACGAGTCGATATTCCGGGCTTTATTTAACGATTCAGCGACAAAGCTACTCATTTCGAACACAATCACCAAAGTAAATACACGGCCAATATGAATTCACGACCTATGAAGCACATTGATCGCGAGGATCTCTACACGAACCTCGAAGCCCGTGTTCAGTATCTTCACTCGTTCCTCGACTTCTCAAGCCGTACGTTACACCCAGTGCAAACTTATCATAACTCGACATCAACCTGCAATTGAGAGCAAATTTAATCCCTAATTCAAACTCAACTAAAACTCTGCGTTTATAGGTGACATTGAAGCTCTCATCACTGGCGCAAAATACGTCAAGGCCCTCATCCCCGCCGTCGTCAACATCGTCTATAAAAAACTCCTGCAATACGATATCACAGCTCGTGCTTTCACCACCAGAAGTACTTCCTTCGAAGGCCCTCTCGATGAAATCCCCGACGAGAACAGTCCACAAATTCTGCACAGAAAGATGTTTCTGCGCGCTTACCTTATGAAGCTGTGCTCAGATCCCAGCAAGATGGAGTTTTGGGAGTATCTGGACAAAGTTGGGTATGTAGTCCCCGTTCAACAGAATATATGAGTAAAGACTAACTTGGATAGAATGATGCACGTTGGTCTCGGTCGCAAGCACCCTCTTCACATCGAATACGTCCACCTTGGTGTCTGTCTCGGCTTCATCCAGGACATCATGACCGAAGCTATCCTCTCGCACCCTCGTCTACATATTCAGCGCAAGACAGCTCTCGTCAAGGCTCTTAACAAGGTCATCTGGATCCAGAATGACCTCATGGCCAAATGGCATGTCAAGGACGGTGCCGAGTTCGAGACAGGCGACTCTGATATCGAGATTGAGCGCGAGGGCTACTTGCATGGAAAGCGCATCATTGGCGAGGGCAGTGGTTCAGGTACTGAGGACGATGCCTCAGAACATCACCAGAACGCCCCGTCAAGAATTCCGCATCCTAGTGGTATGCCCGCCGCTGGTGTGTGTCCCTTCTCGGGGATGGGTGCTCCAGCTGAGGATGAGGAGAAGTAAGTGGCTAGATCTCAGATTCTTGAGATTGGTCTCAAGAGGAGATGATGATGGACTTTCAACAATACATATCTGGCGTTTGTGATAATGACCTATTTTGGGGGTGGGATTGAGACATTCGGGGTTCAAGGAAATCTTTTTGTTGCATTTCTTTAGGATAGAGTATTGGTATGAGAATCACAGAAGGAAGAATACCACGCCTCTTTTTCATTTAATCCCCAGCATTTTGGCCTTGAGAACGGCTTTCTTCAAGGTCGCAGATTTTGCTTGAGAAGCTTGCCTACTTGCAACTTCACCTTTGCACGCGGCATTTTTTCGAGCCCACAAGATTGTGGCCGCCGAAGCTACTTATCAAGGAATACTGGTTCCCATGGAAGTCAACAAATGGAGTTTTCATCACTTGCGTCATGGCGCTGGAGCTTTTGGTCCTCCTTGGAGGGGCAGCGGGCCCACGATTGCTAGATCACGATTGCTGAGTCTGGACCACTCGTCGCATCAAGGTTCCTGGGCGATTCTCAACTAGAGGCTCCATCTGATATTAATATGAGACAAGTGATTGGATCGTGATGGGCTTCTGTAGCGGGAATGACGGGCAGTTGAAGAGGTTTTTTGTCATTGGCGAATCCTTGAAATGTGCCCCTCGGTGGGGTTCTTTGAGCTCAAAGCTCAAGCTTGAGATGATATGATGGACTTGACAACGAGAATGAAAGGAAAAGAATGCTTGTAGAAAAGGGATTCCGAGAACAAAACACTCAATATCACGGTTGCTTCTGTGTGTGTCAATATCAGGAAGTTCTTGTCACTTGTAACGGCGTTACCGGGCCGGGATGTTGAATCGCTGTTCGATTCTAGAGTCTAGACAGTCTCGAACTTCTTGGAAACATAAGTCAACCTCCAATGGTAGCTCGTCGATAAACCACACTGAGGCGAGACAGAGTGAGATGTACATATCGAACGGGCGAAGCAGAACAAAGAATGCAGGCAATAAGACATACCATGTTCAGAAGGTCTGGTGGTGTAATACTGTTGTAACGGAGTCCACGAGGTTTTATCGTGAACCAACCAACAAGAACAGGTAGAAGCAGCCTGTCTTTCCAATTAGGCAGCGGAAGAAACGAAAGAAGCAATTTTTAAAGTAAACAAAGAGATAATGAGGAAATTACCACTTAAAATGACTCAAATATGCATACTTGACGCAGCCACCATCGAAGATAATCTGCAGGCAGGGAAACAACCAATTATCTATCAGCAGCTATACCTCTCAGTGATCGGATATTCTCGCACAACAGTCAAAAGCTCGGTAGAGACGTCCGAATGAAGAACATCAACTGCCGGGAACGTGCGGTCACGTTTGGCGGTAAATGGTTCAGAATATGACAGTTCGATGATGAGGCATGATGAGATAGATGGCCCGGCCCGCCCATGGCGTGTGTGTTCTTTTTAGCAATAGGTGCAAAATCGATGGCGGGGTCGTTTCGCACAGGGCGGCCCCGGGGGATAAGCCCCGGATGCGGCTCGATGTGAACGGACTGGCACCGAATGATGGCCGGTTTACGCCTCATGTTGAATGAAATGCGCACCGTCTGTTTCTTAACCTTGGTTTGGTAAATGCTGCGTCATATTTTGTCAAATAGAAGCTTGGACTATGCTTGCGCAACTCAATACTTTTGCTGCATATGACAATGGCTTAGAAGGTTCGCAAAGTATCATGAGCTTTACGCGGTGCGCTGGCATCTCGGGAGTGCACCTCCGTCGAAGGGGGTCTCACCGTCTTTTGTTTGGTTCGGTCTGGTCTGGGGGCACAGTTGCTAACTTACTGGTGCCTGTGCCGTATTGCTTGTTTGCCGTTGGTGCATTAACCAGTGGAGACTTTTGAATAGCATCTTATCGATCGTGGAAGTGGATTTTTGTCGATGATGATTAGAATTGGCGATCTTAAAGATGAGTTTCATGATGCTGGATTGAGCGTGGTAATTGAGTAGGAAGGGCTTAAGCCCAGAACGCATGATCTACTTTTGACCTCAAGCCATGAGGGCATCGTGAGATCATGAAAAGCGATATCGCAATCACTTGATTGACCCTACGAAGAAACCTTCATTGACAGTCAGCGTAGGCTTGGATACTCAGAGGATGGGAAAGCTGAATAAAGACAGATAACCAGACATCAGCAACTTAAAATGCTGAGTCAGTGCTGCCAATGCTTTCTCAGCTTCATGAATGGTTGAAATAAGCAATAAATTGTGTTTGTCGGCCGAATTCCTTTCATGACCCCTCCCCCGCGATTATCCCCAACTCATGGCACGCACGGCCACATGGAAACAAACGCCATGCAAGGCCCCAGATATCTAATTCCATGACCTTCTATATGATCCGATGCATTGCAAAAGACAGCCTCCAGCCGTGAACCTCACAAAGGGGGAGTTTTAGGTAGCAAGATACTTGCACAGCGGATTATCTCATGACATTCTGATGTTGTCAAAGGATCGACGTTGAAGATAATGCAACGCTGGTCGTCTACTATACCTACAGCATGCGTGTTGATAGACAAAGCTAGGCTACCTATTTCAGCCATTGAATGTTCACCTGTACCTGATCGGCAGCCATCTTCTGGGTTCACTCAAGTTGGCGACCCAAGTCAAGGCATCTTGGCAGCTGTCGGGCCTTTGAGAATTTTGCTCCGGCGCGTGAGCCAGAAGGTGTGCTGAGGGCTCATGATACTGCGATAAAATGGAGAGATTTTAGTTTCTGGGGTAGACAGACCTGGAGAAGTCGCTTGAAGTGAAATTGTGAATAGTTTGACGGTCAAACTGTCGAGAGACATGTTCAATTGCTTTCATTTCAGTGACTTATTAGCCACTCAGGCTCAGAAAAGTCACCATGTGCCATTTTTGCATCCATTAGTAGTATGCCCGCAAAAAAGCAAGGCACCTTTACAGCAGAGAAATGCCCCACCACCGCAATCAGTCACTGATTACAGCAGTTCCCGCCTGGATGGATGGGCATGGCTCGTCTCAGCAACACACGACGATGAGTCGCCGAAACCGCCCGGCCCGACTTTAAGACTAGACCAGACCATGCCTTGCCTTGACTTGACTTATTATGTCCCATCTTCTTGGGGCAGAACAGATACAGCTAACGTCACCGTTGCTTGTATCCCAGGTTACTCTTACCTTATCCAGCCTGTAGAATCGCTTCTTTCCCCTTCGCTTCTCCCTCTTAGTCCCGCTCAACCTTAACCATTCATCCCTCCTCCGCCGTAGCTTTACAACCTTTCTCTTCTTTCATCTCTCAAACTCAACAGCTCTTTGCTTCGCGCAGCTTGTATAGCCCAGCTATATCATTCTTCTATTCTATCCCATCACTTTCCGCCTCATCTTAATCACGGAATACGCGCGCGCATTACTCCATAGTATAACCTCCTCGCGAGAGAGAGACGGCGATCACCTTGCTCCGACAAGACAGCCCCAAAGGAGACGCCAGCTGACACCTCCTCGTCCACGATTCTCCTCACCTTGGTTCTCTATCCCTCTCCCGAGCCTGATTCTCAGATCGCACCTTGACCGGGAAAATGGCAACCACCAGCGAAAACACTGGCGCGCCCAACTTGCGCCGCCGCGAGTCCTTGTCCGAGATTCGAGCTGCCAACCCTGATTTGGCTCTGAGCGGTAACATTATCTCGGCTACCTTCAACACACCGCATTCTTTCGTCTATCGAAAAGGCGGTGATTGGGTATGTAACTAACTATTCACCTCGCTTCGCTTCGCTTCCTCAACATTTCATCTCGTATCACTATCAGTTACTGGGGTTCACTCTCTAGCTTGCAGGTTCCCCTCTTCTCCAACCAAAGCTACAGAGGAGCTCCCTCCCTGCCAGCTTCAGCTCCCCTCCCCCTCGTCACATGAAAATTGAGCCTCAGCTAAACTTTTGCTCTCTTCATAGGACTTGAAATCTCGTCGCGGTCAATCTGCTCTCTTTGACTCCTTCGCATACCTCTCCTCCGACGCTACTCCATGGAATCATACCGTTGTCGCGTGGACCGGCGAAATCGACGCTCCAACTGATGACGTCGTTTCTTCGCCCGGCACGCCCGCCCCAAACACTTTTGGTGCGACATCGCTCAACGCCCTGTCCGCACCTGTTCCCATTGACGGCAACACGCGCCTACCAACTCCTCCCCCAGTTGATGGCCTCTGGGTCCCCCGCGAGGACCAAGACCGCCTTGAATACCGTTTGTCACACAACAAAACCATCCGCACCTACCCTGTTTGGCTCTCCGATGAATCTGAGGCCACTTCTGAGGGTATCCTTCTCAAGGACCAGGCCCGCTGGCGACGATATGCTGAGCACGATCTCTACACCCTCCTCCACTACAAGCAACATGAGCCGACCGACGGCCGACGCGAACGTGTTCAATGGGCCGATTACTATAGGATGAACCAGAAATTCGCCAACAAGATCATCGAGATCTACAAACCTGGCGACATCGTCATCATTCATGACTACTTCCTCATGTTGCTTCCCAGCATGCTGCGACAGAGAGTCCCTAACATGTACATCTCGTTCTTCCTGCATTCTCCCTTCCCCAGTAGCGAGTTCCTCCGCTGTCTGCCTCGACGAAAGGAGGTTCTTGAGGGTGTTTTGGGCTCAAACCTCATTGGCTTCCAGTCATACAGTTACTCTCGCCATTTTCTGAGCTGCTGCACACGAATCCTTGGATTCCCCTCCGATACTCTCGGAATTGATGCTTATGGAACTCGTGTCCAAGTCGGCGTCTTCCCCATTGGCATTGACGCTGCCAAGGTTGAAAGCCACGCATGGACCGATGCTGTGACCGCCAAGTATAACGCACTGCGCGAGCTTTACCGCGGAAAGAAGATCATTGTCGGACGTGACCGTCTGGACAGTGTTAGAGGTGTTGCCCAGAAGCTGCAGGCTTTCGAGCGCTTCCTTGAGATGTACCCTGAGTGGCGTGAGAAGGTTGTTCTCATCCAGGTCACCTCGCCCACTAGCGTCGAGGCAGAGAAGGAGGATCTTGAGGACGACACAAAGGTTGCGACCCGTGTCAATGAGCTTGTTATGCGCATAAACGGCATGTACGGAAGTCTGGGCTTTTCTCCCGTCCAGCACTACCCACAGTATCTCAGCCAGAACGAGTACTTTGCTCTTCTGCGTGCCGGTGACATTGGTCTCATCACCTCCGTGCGTGACGGCATGAACACCACAAGTCTGGAATATATTATCTGCCAAAAGGAGGGCAATGCTCCTCTCATTCTCTCAGAGTTCAGCGGTACCGCTGGCAGTCTCAGCGATGCCATCCACATCAATCCCTGGGATCTCAGCGGCGTTGCTGAGAAGATCAATGCCGCTCTCACCATGTCCGAAGACAAGCGACAGGAAATGCAGTCTCGTCTCTACCGACACGTTACTGAGCACAATGTGCAGTCCTGGATCACTAAATTCATCCGCAAGGTGTACAATGTTCTTGGCGACAGCAGTTCTGCCAACTCCACTCCTCTGCTCGACCGAGCTCTTCTTCTTACTCAATACCGCTCAGCCAACAAACGTCTGTTCATGTTCGACTACGACGGTACCCTCACGCCCATCGTGCGCGAGCCTAGTGCTGCAGTGCCCTCGGAGCGTCTTATTCACACCCTTGACCTGTTGGCTTCAGACCCCAAGAATGCTGTGTGGATCATTTCGGGACGAGATCAGGAGTTCTTGAAGCAGCACCTTGGCAACAACAGACGTCTTGGATTCTCAGCCGAGCACGGCAGCTTTATGAAACACCCCGGCTCAGATGAGTGGGAGAATCTTGCAGAGAAGTTCGATATGGGATGGCAGGCTGAGGTGATGGAGGTCTTCCAGAAATACACCGACAGGGTTCAAGGTTTGTACACCGACACATGGTTTACTCAACGCACGCTGACGTAAATAAGGTTCTTTTATCGAGAGAAAGCGATGTGCTTTGACCTGGCATTATAGATTGGCCGACCCCGAGCAAGGCATTCACATGTCACGAGAGTGCCATAAGGAGCTCGAATCGACAGTTGGCGCGAAATGGGATGTCGAGGTGATGCCTGGCAAGGCCAACATCGAAGTCCGCCCCACGTTTATCAACAAGGGCGAGATCGCCAAGCGCCTCATTACCATGTACCACACACCTGGCGCCGAATCTGAGGATAAGTCTGGGCACCTCGAGTTCGCGCTGTGCATGGGTGACGACTTCACGGATGAGGACATGTTCCGAAGCCTTAATGCCGCTTCAGGGCCTGTGCTGGATGCCAACCACGTCTTTACAGTCACCGTCGGAGCGAGCACAAAGGTCACATTGGCCAAGTCGCATCTCCTGGAACCAGAGGATGTGATCGAGTGCGTGGCTCTCCTCGCTGGTGTCCAGGATGTAGGAGAACGTCTCGGCGAGGTGAATCTGGGGGCGCTGAGTGCTGTCGAGGGACATATTCCCAATGATGAGCGGTAATGACCGAACAAGTAGTGTTTTTTCCAGGCGTTTTTGGACAAGACGAAGACAAGATAGACAGGTGGTGGGCGTATGGAATGGATAGTGATGAAAGACACGGGAGGGTAGTATACAGAAAATGGGAGGACAGCGTGGAGATGTGTACGAAAGACACAGTTCTCAGCGTTCATGATGTTAGCTGTCGTACATGCCAATGATAATGAGTTGAAAGCCAGACAAGCCTGTGGGTTGCAGTGATTCATGTTTGACTAATCATAAGTATCGTATGAACTCCCATATCGATGCTCATGAAATGGCCCAAGTTCACGGCCTCTAGGCCATTGTGCCTCTGGCAACAGAACTTACAGTTTACGAGAATGGATTTTAGGACAACGTAATCTTCATCTCATGGTATAATCTACTGGCTAGGTTCACTAAAATAATATCGATCAGTCATTGATAACACGGCCATAAACTGAGCTACCCCTGATTTGTATCGATTAACCCAGCAAGGCTTTTGTTAAGGAGTATCAGCTTCCCCTTGACGATAGCTCGAAACTGCCGAGATCCGTTCAGAAAGTTGCCAGGAGAGTTGAAACGTCACATCTTTCTCTATCTGAGCACGAATGAAGTAATATACCTTGAGAAGGTGCCGACTTACGGCGACTTGGTCGAGTTTACCCCTGAATCCCAGTGTTCTCGGGCCTGGCCGGAGCGCGGCGTTCTTCGGTGCTTCAAGCATGACCAAGAGAGGCTCACCAGCAGACGATGGGAGCAGTTCCATCACGCTGCGGGTAGACTGTGTCACAAAGGATACTTGGAGCATCGAAACTATATTCGAGATATCAGATCAGCTGCACAAGCCCAAGGTCTCCAGAAGCAGTGCACCAATGTGTCACAGGTTGCCAACGAAGTCTTTCTTTGAACCCTCACTTCATAGCCATGAGTTCAGAGCCGCTGAGTCAAGGCTACTCCCCGAGTACGTAACCACAGGTGCGGACCTGACTCTGGGACCAGCGCGTTGTGGGAGAGTGATGCTGCCTTTCCCGTGGGCTTTGCATCATTCCATCTTTTTTGGATACGTCCCAATGCAGAGAAGCCCTTTTCTGAAATCTGAAACATGAAAGGATGTGACAGCAGAACTTGTATTCAAGATTCAGACCTCACCTCCGAGACTATGCAGCTTCTGCGTTGCCAGTATGACACAGGCAATGAGAAGTGTAACATCGACCGGGCCCAGGATATTTCCAATCATCAACTAAACTGGATGATATGTAAGATCAGGAAGGTAGACGGAGTTACCAAGATCAAATTAGATGATTCGTATCTGCCGGAAGTTTGAAGTATTTGGGTCTAGTGAAGAGGCTTACGAACTAGACTCTCGTTGTTGTAAAGCGTATCGCAATATATATATATATATCCAACAACAAACATATGCGCGCTGACGCGCCTTGGCCGCCTAGTAACGCCAACCTCTCTATCTAGATATGCATACACGCAACCTGTCTACATGAACTAATACAGTCCCGTTTCACTAGGAGCCAATGTAGAAAGCAGGCCCGTCATAGTCAACCGATCTTCACTCCTATCTGAATCAGCCTTCTCAACAATAACACTGTGATCCCTAACCCTGACACCCTTCAAGTCCCCAACACCCTCTCCGGCACCGTTAGGCATATACTCTCTCGCATACGAAGGTAGATTCACCTTTTTATTCTTTACCACCGATTCGATAGAGTAAATAACCTCCTCCGCCACAGGGAACGCTGCTCCAAGCTCCATGAGGGCTCGACACGCTTTTATGAATGTTTCGAGTTGGATAGGGCTCTCTTCAATGGCGAACAGGACTTTGAAAGCGCAGATGGAACATGCTTGTATGAGCCAGTGTTCATTTTGGATCGTGTATAGAGCTCGAAAGTGCCAGATCGTTGACATGGCGTTTGTTGCGTGGGCGTAGGATGTTAGACGTGGATGAAAGGGGCCGAAGACGGACTTGGGGACGTGGTCGAAGGGTTGAAGAATGCTGATTGCTACAAGATCCGCGCTCAGACTAGATACATGTTGGTTACCAAGAAAAATCTGCGTCATCCTGTAAAAGACTTACTGTAGTAGGATAGCAGCGGGCAGAACTGCATTCTCAGCCCTCAGCTCTTCGGGCAAGGAGAACTTCCATTCCATGATTTTAGAGTACAACTCTACAGCATTTCCTGTATTTTGAGACGGTGAAACTCCCTGCTCCAAGGGAACAAGGAACTCGAGAGCCTGCTCTGTGATTTCGGTGAAGTTACATTCAGCCTCGAATATCTCACGCTTCATCGACCGCTGAGGCGCTACGGAAACAGGATACGAGAACCACCAATACTGTGGGTTCTCGGTTCTATTCAGTGGTGAGTTTTCTTCTTGCCATGTCTTAGCTCGTGTGGGCTTCTTGATAACGAGACGACGACACAGACCGTGCATTGGTTTCCTGGGTCACATATGTCAGTGAGATTGGTTCAGCACGAGCACATTACTTACCAGTCCCAGACGTAGAAACCCCATTGTATCCAAGACAACGCATGTGCTTCGGCTCGCTGTCTCGATCCCGCAATAGCAGTATCCGTAGAACGATATACATCATCAAGTCTAAGCGCCATGTACCGCGACTGCATAAGACTGTGGAACTCAAGCGCCGTTTCTCCATCGCCTAGAGCGCTTTCATACACATACATAAGCGCCAGACCCTGTGTCACCGGTAGTGAAGGCCGTGTGTCTTCTTGCTTCAGACACCGGATGGCTTCTTGGGCGAATACCTGTCCTCGGGTGCTTAGTTCGTCCGGTATGCCGAATGTAATTGGATTCGTCGTATATAGCTATATTCGTGGTTTTAGCCTGCAGACTCTGAAAGGGGATGGTAAAGCCTCCATACGCAACTAATGGCCAAAATGGCATTGACGAGAAATGGTGAGCAGAATCGCAGTTCTGAGGATGCGCCCGATGTTGTAGGGTCGAGGTTCTTCAGGTCGTCTTCGAAGATATTTCGGTCGATAATATGGTCACACGATGTGTCCCACGTCCAGGACAACAGTAGCAAGTGGCTTAGAAACTTGTCATCTTGCATGACCTTCGTCCATCGCGAAAGAGGGAGTATATGCCCTTGGAGATCAATGGATGTAGAGTCGTCAGAGGCTCTGCGCTGAGGTTCTCGCCAGGCTTCCTCAAAGAGGCTGCCAGGTTGGTCATTTCTAGGAAAGATTAGACAGGTGTTTGGAGTTTTGTGATGTACTCACAAAGCTGTGAGCCTGGCCCTTGTTTGCTGCTGGGGTAGGGAAAGGTTCATGCGTGCCACTGAGAATGTTGGTGAGCTGGCACTTCCAGACGTTGTAGCACTGTTTGAAGTGTTGTCGCTATTGTGTCGTAGAAGAGGATTTGCCTGTTTCTGAGACGTAGGAGTAGCCAAATTTCCTCCCTGAAGGTCCTCAGTCACGCCTTTGACGTCCTGTCCGGCTCGAATTCTCCGCAGTATCTCGTCTGTCTCCTGAGGCTCTCTGGTCTTGAGCGAAGAGTAAAGACTCTCGTGATCAGCGATTCGCTCTTTTAGTTCATCGTGCTTCCTTTTCATTGCTGCGGCCTCGGCTTCGTAGGGGTTGCTGGCATAGTGACATTCTCGGCCACCAGTGATGCAGCCAGAGCACCTTGGCCTTTGACCATTGCACTACAGAAGTCAGTACGCTACCTATCTTGACACAGAAGCTCCTACAACCTTGGCTTTGCGTTGTCTGCAAGCTTGGCATGCAGTCTTGACGGATATTCTCTTGGGTATGTTCAGCTTGGGTGGAGGTCTGGGTGAGTCTCCTTCTCGAGTTGGGCCTGGCAGAAGAGCTCTAAGTCGCCCTGCAGAAGACGACGACGAAGATGGGTTATCATCCATGTTTGTCCGCAGGGGGGGTTGGACGCTGAGGGTGATGAAGCGAGTATGAGTTGCGAATGAGGCGAGAGGTTGGCGCTCTCAGCGATCAGCGACAGGCATTTTCAAAGGATCAATCAGACAATCAGCGAGCGATTCATGATTGGACAAAGCGAGAGGCGAATTATGAATACGATCTGGCTATTCGGAATTGATGTGCTTTTCCATGCCCTGTAACTTCGACGACATTTCGTCTATATATGATGCATAACGTACACGATAAGCATGCCGATCAGACAAGCATGCCGATCAAAAATCCCTCAACCTTACATCTAACCATCTAATCAATTGATTCTCAACCAAATAATATGTCTCAATCTAATAAAGAGGCTCAAATCCTTCTTGCACTTCAGGCCTATCAGGCAGACCCAAAATTAAGTCTGCGACGAGCTGCAA